ACACGACGATTCCGTTTTACGGGATTTCAGAAAGAAAAGCTCGGCTAGGGTGACCTAGGTTCGTGTAATAGGATTTCCGGAACCAACGAGTTTTCTTAAGGCCACTGTCTTCGAGGCAGCAACGTAATCGAATTGATTAACGTTAACAAATACGGAATCCCTTTTTTCCCCAAGGAACAAAGCTCCCAATATAGATTAAACAAATTTTCCAAAAAGAATCTCTAAGGATATTACACTTTCGACCCTCCCAAGCAGACACACCCCCTTAACGATAAAAGAAAACAGATTTCTAGATCTAAAAAGACTCGCTGGCAATCATAACAGTGTTAAAAAGAGTTAAAAAACGAAAACAACTGCCTCGAAGAACGGCCACCTGTTCCGAATCTGGCATAAAACAACCACGAAGAGAAACGGTCCTCGGTTTTCGAGCAACGGTTCGTCGAAGCGTGCAATCGTACGCGTCCAGGACGCTCTTGTACAAAGTATTCCTTGTATCCCCTTCGAGCAACGCGCGTATGTACGTGCGGGTGTGTGTGTGTGTGTGTGTGGGCGTCTAGTAACGATCGATCGAAACATCAAACACCAGAGTGTCGAGCGTTTTTCAGGGATGAAAGCAAGACAAGACACGAGGGTAGCCCCCGGTTCGAAATTGGTGTACAGAGTTCGCGACTCTAAGGGTGGTAACCACCGGTGGCAAGTTAGTTGTGTTATTACGTGGGGGTTGGAGATATTGAGCAGTACTTTAATTAACGGTACCACGGCGGGCATCGCCGTAAGAATCGTTCCACCCCGGCAGCGAACGAGTAATTACATTTTCGCTGCACCGAATCGTAATGTCGCTCTCGATTGGCTTCATCGAGACGGAAAGAAAAAAGAAGGTAAGATAAAACGGTAACGTCGTATAGTTGCAATTATTAAGGATACGGCCGATTAATTATCAATTATTCAAACGAATCTCTTGATTGTAAATACATTGAAAATTTCTTATATCGAACAACAATGGGATACCGAGATGATGTTCGAGTTTTCACCGATCGTGAAAACACACACACACACATAAGCACGGTTGCGCTTACTTTTTACAATTTTTAGAGCTATAAAGGATTACGTATAATAGATAGTCGTCGAACGAACTAGCGAACAGTGTTCCAACGTTCTTCGAACGTGAGAAGAGGAAGTACTTTTTGCCATTCTTAGCGTTAACAACCAAAGAGACAATGAGAGAACGAAGAAAAAATCGTGGTAGCGTATGATGTCCGTGCAAGCTTACTAGTGCCGCCGTGCTTTTTCGTTACGAAATTCATTTCGTCGCTCGTACCTATCGAACGATTTGTATGAAAGTCATCGTGAGTCATCGATGGCTCGTTGTTCCGTCTGGTGCACACAATGTATCCTCGAAATCATATATATAAAATAAAGCTCGTACAAGTACTTTCGTCTTTCAACGTAGCTAACGATTACTCGAACACGTTACACACCCATCAAGTTCCAATTTTCTTTTTTAATTTTTCATTTCAACATGGCAACGCCAATTGGCAACCAAATGGAACGACGAGCCTGTATTAAAGAGAAAAAAAAAAAAAAAAAGAAACAAAAGAGGAATGTATTTTATGATATTTTACGCATAAAACGATCGTAAATCGAATATAGCGATTAGTCCAAGGTAAACTTAAGTAGAAATGTATAAATGAAGACGCGGAAAGGTGTCGTGCAATTTACGAGGGCTGAAGAGGAACGTGTCGATTTTTCGAGCAAACGAACAATGCCTGCTAAAACGATCGTACCAATCACGATAATAGTTCATTATTAATTATCAACGTTAACGTCAATCCCCTAACGATCGTGGAAGACTACGACCATACGTTTGCTATTTCTTTCACGGAAGTCAATGAAACATCGATTACCGACCTGCAAACCCATCGAGAATCACCCTGAAATACGGGATAGAACGCTAAGCGCTGTAAAATATTGTATATTGTTTCGCGTTATTTATTTTTCAATCTTTTTAATAGGAGACGCGTTTTTACGATACCCAAGAAAATTACAGCCCATCCAACGAGACGGGACAGTAAACGTGTACTTACAAATTCACCTGCTCGAAACATGCCCGATTCACAATACACAGCCCTCGACCGAAGCGTTTGAAGAACTGGAAACAACTGTGCTCCGACTCTGCGTCGAGCGCGTGAATTTGTAAACATAAACTAGCTCGTCTCGATTAGACGGACAATATAGCGAAACGACTCGTTTTGATCCGCGGTTCTGTGCTCGTTCATCAAGCGAAGACCAAAAATGTCTCTAACATCAGATACCGTAAGAATAATCGCGTTCTGCCTAAAATTTCGGTTGTAAAACTGGCGCGCTTACGAATACGGTGCCAGAACGGATCGGCCGGATTCTAGTATGTTTATAAAATTCAACGTATTTCCAACAGCTTTTGCAGTGTGTTAAATAAAGAGAAGATGGAAGCGAATTGTAGTTTAAGCGAGATTCGAAAAGCGTATACAGCTTGCGCGTCGAAGGATCATTACAGCCCTCGAGTAAAGAAATCGCGCGATCGAAGCAAGCAATCTTGCCTTGTTCTCGAAAGTTAAGTAAGGTCAGGTCGAAATGAGAGGGTCGACCGAACGATTCGTTTTGTACGATACGTGGAGAACGATTCACGTTAGTTTGAAATAGCGAACGAAAGTGCACTATGAATCGTAATGGCTAATTAAATAGCAGCACGAAGTACTAACGAATTAATAGGGAAATTGTCGTCGTAAGGGACAAACGAATGCTGTAATTTTATTAAATGCAGCGTTTTTAAAATGCCGCTGTGTTGATGTTTCCTAAAAAAAGGTCTTCGATTTACGTTCGAAGTGGGTCGGGGTACAGTAGGTACCATGAACGAGAATGTTACGACCAAAATAACACTTACTCGAGATCGCGAGAGAATCACAGAAATGATAATAGTTTATGTAAGGCACGAAGATTTGTATTGAAATTTCGGTTGACTGCGCACAAATGAAATCAAATCAGACGCCGCGATTGAATAAAATACATCCAACGAGATGCCTAGTCAACGTGTACGTGCTCCCAGAAAATGATTTTCTCTTTCGTTTGCATTTAAAAACAGATTTTCGTTTCGTCATTCGTGTGTTAACCGCAAACGTTATGTATCGGAGAATCGTGACATCGAAAGGAAAAATAATAAAAAAAAATTAAGGACGAAGTATTCGGAGCACCTGTACACTTAAGAGTATTTATATAATGCTAACGATGTTACTTGCGATTTGGTATATGACGAATGTCAAACACGAAAGAATATTTTATTCTAGACGTATCTTTCATGCTTTGCCAAGTAAAATAATATAATTCCTGTGTTAAGTGTAATAGTCAATTATGTTTTAATAAAATCTGCCAAGATTCTTGTCAATTTGTTGATTTACCTGACTAGATATAAGGATCAATTTTGGAAGCTATGTATGTACAAGGAAACAGGCTTGTACGAGGAAAAAGAAAGAGGAATCGAGAATGTGAACCGACGTAATAAATCGACAAAATTATATCAAAATACATATAATCATATAAACCTCTTTTTCAAATAATAGTAATATCCATACATGTGCAAACTCTTTAAAATAACATGGCCACCTTATATCTCAATCATTCTCACACAAAGTTTAAATTTAAATAACAGTCTTTCATGTTAAATATTGCTAAAATGTTGAATCTGACGTATGTTTTGCATGCAAATCTCAACAATTGATTAAAATCTTAGACATTTTTATAGCTAACTATGGTATTCATTTTATGAATAGAAGTTGAAAATGATCTTAACTGTACTTCTTGACTATTAGCGATAAAAACAGGCTGTGTTTCATCCCACTCTTTTGGAATACCACAGTCAGGTACTGTATAAGTCAAGATATCAAAAGAGCATATGCAATCCAATAAGGGAAGAAAGCTTACCGTACCTATAACACAGAAATCACACGTAAAGCAGTTGAAACACTGATATTGATTCTATTATATAAATTCATTCTAATCATAAGACATAAAACCTTAAACAAGAAAAGTTACCTGTTATCTGACGTATTACTTCTCGAATTTCCCTCTGGATGGACTTGACATCTTTCGTACCCACTTCAGGAAGGCCGTTACTTGCATTGTTGTTGCTGCCATTGGATGTTTGACCCTCGTAGTCAACCTTGAAGTCCCACTTTTCCAACACTTCTTTGGTATTCACGTTTGTTATAACAAGCGTTATTTTTTGTACTTTTCGTTGGGTTAACCATTCTTGAATTTGGCCAAGAACAGTATCTAAGAACCCCTTAATTTTGTCATCTGTCGACATTAGAACAAATATGCCAAAATTTTCGGTTGGCTCGAATGTTTCTGGCGGATAAATGCCTCTTTGGTACAAAATACTGTTCACTCCATATACTGCAACAACAAAAAATAGTTTATAAGTTGATGGAGTGGACTACAATAATCAGTCGAAAAGAGAATAAACTTACGAAGATATTCTTTGACTAACTCTGCTGAGCCTTTTAGAGTAATACATTTGGCTTTCTGCTGAGTCTCAGTCATAATTGTTAAATAATTACCCAAAATCAGGAATAAATAAACGACACTACCGTTCAAACATCCAACACTTTACAGATTACAGGAAAGCCGGTTAAATATTTTTAAAACCATCCAATAAGATGTATTCTGACCGATATTGGACCAATCAGAGAGTAGGGGGGAGAGAGCAAACTTGGGAGTTTTCAGCAAGTTGATGAAAAAAACGACGCTCAACCCAATAAATAGGTTAAGGAAATTTATATACTAAAATCAGCTTGTTCAATGAACGGTCAAAACGAAATTAGGAATAACTGCGGAACGATACACCTTTGATCAACGTTAAATTTAATAATTAACTTAAATAAAGCGTTCCACAAGTAACAAATATGGTACACTACACCTATATCACTTCTCACTGCGGCGCAGTTTATGCTCGACTGTAGCGCCATTTCTATGAGGACGAAAAGTACGTAAGCGTTGTCTGTCCAATTGTAGCTAATTTTTCAAGCTCGCTACACGCGTCGACCATGGCATCCGTCGAGGAATTGAGTGTCTCTGCCCTCGTATACGACTATTTATTAAAAAAAGACGCGTCGTTGGCGAAAGTTTTTCAGAAGAAAACAAAAGCGGTAAGGTTATACAGATTTTACGTATATACTTTCGTTAATCGATTTTACGGTGCCAATGCCCATGCGGTAGACGAAATGCCGCCATTCGGCCACACCACGTGGACGATATATTTTCGTTATTTTTCGTTACAAGATTATTTTAAGCTTAAACCTGATTATCAAACTATTCAATCTTTCTGTGTAAATAAATTAATGTCATCCAACGAGTACCTGATTTATATAAGCAAAATACAGATGGTTTTTTGTATAATTAGCGCCAACTTCACTTGCGTTCTTTTATCTTTTTTTTAGCCTGTGTTACCGAAAGGAGCACCAACGATTCAGGAGGTTTACCTATATTTTCAAAAATCATCTCCGAAAAAATTAAACGTAAAAGCACAAGCTAAAGAGTCTAGTTCAGATTCAAGTTCAGAGAGCGAAGATGAAGCACCAAAGAAGGTTCCACAAATAAATGGCAAACCTACAGCTAATGCTGTAGCGAACAATCAACAAGAATCTTCAGAGGAATCTTCCAGTGAAGATGAAAAGCCAGCATCAAAAGTAACTGCAAAGGTTAAACCTACTGTTAAACCTCCATCTAAGACACCCCCTGTAAAGAAAAAAGAGAGTTCTGATGAAAGTTCTTCAGAAGAAGAGGAAACACCAAAAGTACAACAGAAACCAGTAGTAGCATCTAAAGCAACGCCTAAAGCAGCACCTAAAGCAAAAAAGCAGTCGTCAGATAGTGACTCTGATTCAGACAGCGAAGAAGTGACCAAGACAAAAGTAACTGCAAAACCTGCTGCTAAACCAGCTGCAACACTGCAAACAAAAGCTATAGCGAGTAAAAAAGAATCTTCAAGCGAAGACAGTAGCGACAGTGAGGAACAAAGTCCAGTCAAACCAGTATTAAAGAAACCACTGCCTGCTAAACCTACAACAGTAACACCTGCAAAGAAGAAATCTTCAAGCGATGATTCCGATGACTCCTCGGAAGAAGAGTCCACTAAACCAGTCACGGTATCTACTCCAGTTGTTAAGAATCTGGCACCTTCGAGCGACGATTCTGACGATTCTTCTGAAGAAACAACCACAACAAAAGCATCGGCCGCGAAACATGCTCAAAAATCTGTGCAGGAGAAGAAGAAGCTTACTCAGAGTCAGAAAGAAGCAGTAAAACCTGGAAAACAAACTAAAGCTATCCCGGCAAAACCAGTAGTTACACAGGAAGAATCGTCATCCAGCGATGATAGCAGCGAAGAAGAAAAACCGGCGGCTAAAAAGCCTGCTCCTCCTACGAAAGCAGCAGCAGCTGCAAAGAAAGCTCCTGCCAAGAAAGAAGAATCTTCCAGCGAGGATAGTAGCGAAGAAGAGGAAGCACCAGCTGTTAAAAAGCCAGCTCCAACACCTGCAAAGAAAGCTCCCGCTAAAAAAGAAGAATCTTCGAGCGACGACAGCAGCGAAGAGGAACCACCAACCAAAAAGACCAAGGTGGCAGCACCAGCAAAACCTGCCGTTGCAGCGAAAAAGCAAAAGTCTTCTAGTGAAGATTCAGACGATTCCGACGATTCTGACAAAAAACCAGCTACAAAAGTTGCAACACCAGTACCAGCAAAAGCTGCGAAGAAAGTACCAGTAGCGGCAAAGAAAGCATCTTCTAGCTCGGAGGACTCAGACGATTCCGAAGATGAAAAGCCTGTAAATACGACTGCAAAGACAAATGTTAAAGCAAAAGCAAATCCCAAAAAGGACTCGTCCAGTGAAGATTCAGATTCATCAGAGGATGAAAAACCAACAGCCGCGCCTATAGCTAAAGCTGCCTCAAAACCAAAAGCAGCCAAGAAAGATTCAGATTCAGATGAAAGTGACTCTGAAACGAAACAGGAGGTAACTCCGGCAAAGACGCCAGGAAAGGCTGAGAAAAGGAAACATAAAGAGGTAGAACAGGATGAAGACGACACAGAGAAGCCCCCAGTAAAAGCTCAAAAGAACAACTACAGCAATTTCGTGAAAGCAGGCGCCAATGTGAACGGTGATAAGGTATGAAGCCTTGATTGGTACTACCTACATTCATAAAAAGAAAGAACACTTTTTTCATGCAATTTTTTGTTTAGCAACAAAAAAATTCCCCATTCCGTCGAGTAAAGGACGAGGATGTTTCATTGGATCCCAAATGGGCTAACAATTCGTTTGAGGCAAAGGTAAATGCTTGGAAACATTCTGAGAAGCACAGGTCACTCGCCGTTTGAGACAAGCTCGAGGCCATGTTTCCGTGCATTCACCGATCCTTTAAACATAATTTGCATTTAAAAAAGAAACTAAACAAAATTTTCCAGATGAAAGAAGAATGTACCGTGTAGAACGGCGATTGACCTGAGTTTCTGTTTTGTTTTAGGAGGACGATCAAAAAGAGGGTGGTTTTAAGAGACACGAAGGAAGGGGTGGATTCGGTGGATTCGGTGGAGGAAGAGGCGGTTTCGGTCGTGGCGGTGATAGGAGAGGTCGTGGTTTCGATAGGGGTGGACGCGGTGGCGATAGGGGTGGACGCGGCGGTGATAGGGGTGGACGCGGCGGCGATAGAGGAGGTCGAGGGGGATTCAGAGGTGGTCGTGGAGGTTTCAGGGGTGGTTTCGATAACAGAAAATCATGGGGTGGAAACGATCAGGAAGGAGGTAGATCCGACGGATTTAGGAGGTCATGGGGTAACGGCGATGGTGAAAGGGGTGGTCGCGGTGGGTTCAGAGGGGGTAGAGGTGGTTTCGATAGAAACAGATCGTTCGACAGTTCGCCGCAACAAAATAAGAAAATAACGTTCGACAATTGATGATTAAAAAGATGATACGTTGAGGTGAGGCGGGCCAGTTAATTCGAAGTAGTCAAGTAATCAAGTAAGTTTTAAGATGGTAAGCAAAAGTGTATCGTTTCTTTCCAACAGAGAGGCGCACGTGGTTCTTGGGGAGAGAAAGCAAATCTGGATCTCAAACATACGAGAGGGAAAGCTTTTCGCCACGAAAAAACGAAGAAAAAGCGTGGTAGCTATCGCGGCGGTCAAATAGATACTAGTATCAATTCCATTAAGTTTGACGATTGATCAAGCACCTGTATAATATAAATGTTATTAATCGATATATTTATATTAAGCGGAAGATCATACAAATTTAAGAATTTTTAAGTTCTGCTTGAGGGCCATCATCCAATTAACAATTATAAAATAATACAGAGTTCAAAAAAATATTTTGCACTTTTTTTTTTTATTTTACTCTATTTTAACTGCTTCGATATAGACGTTTGCCGACAAAGTAATTACGTGTAGAATATTTTTTTGCATTCTGTATTATTAAAATCAATGTGTGTTGATTTAGTAATGTTTCTGCTTTTTCTTTTAAGCAACATCAACGTAGTTGTCACTCGATTAATCGTAAGATTACGTGGAACAGTGTAGGACTTCAACTGTAATTAATTCGATTTTAATGTGATTGGCGTTAGTTCATTTCCACGTAGTTTGTCTTTTCTAAACAATTAGTATCTACAAGACTGCGACTTTAATTTGTGTCGAGTATACCAAAAAATTTTCATAAATTTCCACTGCTTATTTGAAATTCGTGAAGTAAGGCTTTACGAGTGCTACTTCGTTACTGACTAGCTACTGTATTATAGATTATTGGATGTCTATCGCAATATGTAACATATTTCCGTACATTTATCGTTCCTAACGATGAATAGGAAGTTCAGGAAATATCATTTATATATATTAATTAATCCTCGTGTTTTTCTCGTTATTACAATCTATTGAGAGAGGATTTTCTACGGAAGCATTATCGATATGCGGTTTTATAATCTCGATTAAAAAAAGCGTATTGTGGTGGTTTCTTTGTAATTAGCTATAAGAATTCCAACAATGAAAATGCAATGACTTTTGCAGTGATAATACATTCAAAAACCATTGCATTTACTAAAACATGCAATTTTCTGAGTTGATAATTTCAATGGAAATTAAATGTCCGTCAATGCAAAAAGAATTTTTGTACACATACAAGACATTCTGTTGATTAAGACCAATCGAATAAAGAAGTACACGCGTAACAAGAAATCTGTTATACTTATTCATTGTTCATTTTAAAAATATCCATATTTTGTACATTATCATCATTGAACAACAAGTATAAAGAGAATATAATCCTAATGGTTGTAGCTGTTTTTTCAGCTCTTTCCTTTTAATACTTTAACGAGTTCCCATTTTATAGAATCCGTGATTTTTGTAATTACAAAAGGACAATTGTTTCGAAGACTAACAAAAGTTGAGAAGAAAAAGGGGGAGATCGTTCCAAGTTACCCTTTTTCGCTTCTTCTTCTTCAAGTTTGTTCTCCAGTAAGAAGAAAAAAAAACGGTTTCGAGGTGGAACAGGGACCGATATTCTTCACTCACGTCCCCTCTTTCTCCCCGACTACTCTCGAAGAGCACAGAGAACAGCGGTTACTTACGATTCTACAGTCAACCTCTGGACATCCACCTGTGAGGACGGAGGTGTTCGACCCCACGACATCCGGTGCGGTGACATGAACGGTGTTTAAGAAACTCGTGTTCCCTCGTTTTAATCCTGCACCTTCGTTTAACCGTGTTTTTCGATCGATTAATGTAACCGATTGATCAATCGTATCATCGACATCGGACCGAGAAAAGGATTCAAACACAAAGTGTTAACAGACACACACGGTTCTCCTCACGGTGAGTGACATCTTATTAACGTATTAAACATTTAAGATTTGATGACTTAAAAGTATTTCAAAATAGCACTTTGGGTACATTAATTTGAAGGGCAAACTTCGATGAAAATGACTATATAAATCTTTCATTAATATTTCTAATATAAAATAATTAATTATTGATTGAATGTATAGCTTAAGACCTGATTTTTCTCTTCGATCAATCTTCACCATCATTTTAATTTTTTGATGAATATTCCATTCGATAACGCTGCTTCTACTTCCTGATCGTTAAGTTCAATGAAGTAATTGAAGAAAAATTCTAAAGATTCGAAGAATCTCTAAATACTTCTGATCGTTAGCGGCAATGACCAGAGGTTTAAGCGTTAATACGAACGATTGCTATGCAAGTCAAATACAAAATTACTGTCAAGTACTCGACAATTCGTGAAGAATTTGTGAGCGATAACGAGCTGTTGGCGATGAAATGTTCGCGAATACCAAGGAAAAAGGAATTTCAACCGCGTAACAACTGCTCGACAGTTATAATAATTTATTCATGAAACGAAACACCGAAATGGGTGTACCGTTAACGGAGACCCAAGGATGAGTAAACGTATACTCGATAAAGAACGTTTTGGACGATTCATCTTTACCGTTAGAATCGACCGCATGACGCTAGTTCATGGTCCAGGAGGAATCGGTTCCCCCGCGGCTTCCGGAAGCAAGGTTTTTCTATACAATCTTTGCTATACTTCTTATCGACTCTGTATTTCTGCTACGCGCGGTTCCGGCAGTTGTACCGGTACACACGGCTCTTCCCCCCTGCCTGGAGATTTTCTTCCAGTTCCAGTTAGCGATGTTTCATTTCCCATATATTGCCACGGGATCGGAAAAGATAGCTCTTCTAATTATTCTCTCTGGTCGAATTAGCATAGTAGCCGACAGGCTACTGGGAAAGAAGAGGCTCCTAACGACGTGAGAAGTTGCGGCTCGAATAATTGTTTCTCCTTGAACCTGAATTACCGTGAACGCGCGAACTCGTGGAAGACCTCGATCTCAAGTTCAAGCGATTCTCACGTGCGATTCAAGTCTCCGTCGACTTTATCTCCTGTTTTTTTATTTTTTTTATTTTTTTTTTCGCAGGATCTCCGTTATATAATCCACGATATCCTGTATTACTTCGAACGTCCTTATTGTACGATCAACGTCAGAAGGAAATGATGAAAAGTTTTCCATTATGCAAGGCACTGTTACCTTATCGATTCAATTGCGTAAAGAACGAGGACTCGAATTGAAGATATTCTATGCTTCCTGAAGAAATAGATAGACAGCACCGGTTACGGTCAATGGCCAGCCTTGAGTGCTAACCATTAATGATTTTCTTCCTTTCCTATTCCCACGCGTAATTTATCACTTGGCCGGACATCAAATCGCAATTTTCCACCAGCTTGTTTTTCCCATCCCGTGTTCAAAACATCCGGTGGATATCGAATAAATATTACGAACAGGATCTAACGTTGAAAAATATCGTTGATTTAAAAAATTTCATTTGAAAACGAGCAACAAGCCGTATTAATCGCATGCTATGTCGTGTTGCTTTCACTCGTCTTCGAGGTACGTATAGCGGAAGTTGTATAGACCCAGCAACCTAGAAACCCCGAAACTCTGTATATGGATTCGTGTATCGATTATACCCTGTTAATTGTTATTCCTAATTGCGCTCGGTCGTCACCCTACTGTATAGTCTTCATCGGTGAAGAATCTTGAAAGGGAAAAAGTCTAATTCCTCGTGCTACCAGTCCGTGAAGCGGAAAGAAATGATAACTGTAGCCTTCAAAATGATCATTAAACCTTTCAATTATATCTCGAATAAGTAAATCATATTTCTCACTTCTACGAGAAGCAACCGTGCCAGAAGTTACGGATTTCATGATTCCAGGTATTCGAGAAAATGTACGAATTGAACGGTTCACCGGTACGTGCGACGATTCGCTGGATTTTTTCGCGACGAGTCACACTCTCAGCCGTTGCTAGTGTCATTTACTTTTGCTCTTGACCTCGTGCGAACTCTAGGTTCGAAGACCGCGTTCTTGGATCCTCGATAATCCGAGTCCGGCGTTGACTTTGCTTGTTTTATTCATGAACCACCATTGCTCGCCAATATAATTAGCAAGGACGGGATCCAAGTATATCTGCGAGTAGTCGTAAAAGTTGTAAAATTAGTTCTCGAACCGTGAAGGGAAAAGTTAATTATCCTCTGTAATTAACTTCTTATAGTCTCTGGATACGTGATACACTATCCTTTTCCACGCTTTCCTTTCGGAATGTATGTATATAGGTCCATAATCATTAGCATTGTGATCGAAGTAATCGCCCCAGAGTATTATCATATTATAATTGATGTAATTTCAGATGTCCAGGTACATCGGTCTGATTCTCCTTATCACGATGTGCGGCCACGTGTACGGCAGCAAAAGGTGCGAGGGGAATGGTTTAGGCTTGAAGTACGTATGGGGAGACGCTTTATCCGATCCGGCAGACTGTGTAGGACCAAACAACATGCAGTATCCGTCGTAAGTGTTGCTAGTGGAATTTGATAAACGCCCCGGTCTCTCGCGATACCGTTATCAAAACGAACGACTGTCGTAGAGCGGCGATCTCGAGGAGTTACAAGAACCTGTGGGCAACCAGTCGAACCGCAAGAGCTCATCAGCCTCGAACAATTGATCCTGAATTGACGAGGCAGGCGCTTCTGCATAATTACAAGGTCGCTCGTGGTGACTACTCGATCGCTGAATCCTCGCGCAACGGTGAGTCTTTCGAGGAATTTCACTTATTTCTTTATACCTCTTCGGTCCATTAGAAGTATTTCAGTTCAAAGTCCTGTAGATCTTCGAAATAAATGAAGATTATGTAGATTTGTCGGAGTGTTTCTATGTATAGAAGCAGGAAGAAGGCTCGAATCGAGACGAGACGTTGGAAACACGCGGAAGACAAAGTTGTCCCTGTTGTTCGGGACGCAACAGTAGTCGAGCCGGTTACCTGAATCGCGAGTAATTACGCTCAGCTATAACCTACATCCTCCCCGTTGAAGCTGTGTAATTTATTTATCTTCCGTTCGTTGCCTCCTCCAAATGTATTCATGTTACAATAGTTCATCCGCGTACTGCTGCACATGACTTGCAACCACCGTACTGGCTGGTGCATTGATTTAATAATTACTCCGGTAAACAAACCGGATATTCAACGAAGGTATCGAAAATTTTATAAAACAGCAAGGCAGACCGGTTGTACGACGCGCAATCGACACGTTGCAGCCTTGAATAATGCAGTTGTCCTTATGACACGAAAACCTGGTTCCAACTGACCAACAACACCCGCCATGGTGCTTCTACTCGTTCCAGAATACCTTTGAAATTCCTTTGAAAAATGCATTAGCCACACGAGAGGGGCATCGCTCACCTACATCGATACAACGTCCTTTAAATAATGGCTGGCTGGTGCAGCAGGACGGTAATAAGGCACCGTGTTATCCGGCCAATACAGTTATCGCTCGTTCTGCTCATAACGGGACACCGGCGACCCACTGGTCGTTTCGAACACAGAGACGAAGGAATTCCAAAGAAAGGGCGTCGATCCATCGATCGAATTAGCTCGTTCTTCGTGAGCGTTACCAGTGTCCTTTTTTGGGATAAAATTCAAAAATCTGTTTCTTTTTTTTTTCTTTTAGAAGAGACTCAGAGAGTTTCTAGGTCAAGGTAGCCAGGTAGAACTAGCAAGACTTCTTAATTATACGTGACACTTGATCCTTTTCTTTAAAAATCCATTGAAAAATCTCTGTGTAATCTTCTTCTTTTATGCTTCTGTTTTCAGGACGCGCATTCACCCCAAAAGAAAGCTGCGGTTCGCCAGCTAGATTATGTAAAACTAGGTACAACACCACGGCGCCGATGTACGGGGTCAGCTTAACCAGTGGACAGCCGGTGACCATCGTGCAAAAGTTTCCTGACCTTCTGCAGCAGGTCGTGTTCGAGGTTTGCGAGTGAGTATCGAAGTTCATTTAATAATCTGATTGTATCTGTTATCCGCTGTTACTTTCTTAGCACGTTCGCTCGTGATTCTTAAATACGTACGCGACGTGATACAAATTGAAATTCATCGGGTTGTCGCGTCGAATGTGGCACAGTAGGCTTAGTTCTGACCCCCAGGGTAAGGCTACCTTTCAAACGTTTTCGGACCGGTATTAACCCGTGCTATTATCGAGGCGTGACAGGTCGCGAATGAAGGGAAATCGGTAAAAAGGAAATGACGAAATTGTTTCAGGTCGAAAGAGTGCGACGTGGTCCACGGCGAGTGCACGCAGACGTACGTACCATACCTGTTTCTTGTGATTCCTCTCGGACCAGTGACCTTGACCGGTCAAGATTACGTTCTCGTTGAGAGCGGTTGCGTCTGCAAGCCGAGAAATTCGGCGAGCTCCTCGTCGGAGTCCGCAGCCGTTCCAAGCTTCTAAAGGGTTCTTTGAACCCGAGTGATCGGCATCGAGCACACCGGATAGCTGGAGGATAGCTCGAGAGCCGTGTCGAATGCGACGGAATCGGTGGATGGTGACCCGTAGCTCGAACAACCTCGAGTCCGAGAGACCTAGTGACCTCTTTCAGACGTAGCTAGCTAAGAATGCTGAAGAGCAGCATAGAAGATTGATAGGAAAATGATTTCTCGGTCGAAATCTAGAAAATGGACGATATTATTACGTACCTCTGCTCCGCAACAGGGTACATACTCTTCATTACCATAGAACGATCGACTTCCTTAGCTTATCCAGAGGAAGGAAACTCTTCTGGCAAGCTAAAGACTCTTCGTCTCGAATTTTCCATGAAATTAACTTCCTTGGAAAAATAGGCGAATTTAGCATCGAGATGACGAGAAAGAGGACGTGCATAGATCCGAAAGACTCTCATCGATGTGTCCTCGTTAAGTCGACAGAGTTGTTTCATTGTTGGATTCGCTGGTCCGCAAACTGTCTTCCTGTCTCGAAAGAAGGGAAGGAAACATCGCTAAATTGAAAGGAAGTTCGAAGAAGCTATTTCAGCGTGAAAAAAATAAATCGGAGCAGCGACGGTCGTTTCGCGGAATCCGGTCTCGGAATCCGATCGAGTTCACTAGACCTGACCGCGAGAGCCGGTTTCGAGCAGGTGTACAGGGCAGCTATAGTGTTCGGCGAGAAGCATCGGCCAGTTTATTCTTTCGAAACGCATCGTAAAGTTATATCATTTGCCTGGGACGGCTCGTAACCAGCCGGAAACGTTCTTAATGGCGTTCGCCGGTTCTCCGTCGAACGGTCGACGTCGTTACACGATCGTTGCTCGTTCTCTTTCGTTCCATCACACTATAATTCCTTCGAACGCGTTTCCTTGTATCGTATACACCCGAACGGTGCCAATTAATTGACCGGAACGGATGTTCAACGAACGATAGTATCCCTGATTTTGTTTTTTCGATGCATTAACGCGTTCCATGGCGCGCGAAATTTGAAATTCATGGTAAATCAACTTGAAAAATTGCATTCATTTTTGTTTTTCTTATTTGAAAGTAAAAAGAGAACACCGTGAGGTAGTAGTAATTCATGCAAAACGAAGAACAACGTTGTTTTGCATTAAATTTAATATAAAAATCACTTCTATCCCACGATCTTCCCTGGTGGGAAGAAATTGGAAATTGCCAAGAATCACGAAGAATACCAAGGAAGAATGGCTCGTTCTTATTCTAGCGTCGAAGTCGGTTAAATCGCTCGCGAGACACGCCACTGGCCCGCTTATGCTTCTCAGAACCGGACTTCGCTTCAACGCTGCTCGCGTTGGAATCATACCGACAAACAGGATGGACGTGCAGTCCCAGTACGAATGGACCGTACCATGAATTCCGATGAGTAAAATGTACCGTTAGTCCTGCTTTGCGGGACCCTTCACCTCGATATACTTAGCCCGGTTATTTCATAGATGAGGAGACCCCTGTGGCGCCCAAAAGTGGCCGAGTTCATTCATATCTCGCCACTTATCAACCATAGTCGTAAATGATCACTTCGTACTGGACGCAAATATTTAATTTAATATATAAGCCTGAATAAAATAATTCTGTTTCAAAAATTGCATCTACAATCAGACGTTTTTTTCTTCATTCGACAATTATAAATGCATACCTCGTATCTTAAAACTTAATGAATACTTCTAAAATTTTTAATTATTACAACAATTTTAATTGACAGTTTACGAAACAGTGATAGTTAAAAAGGAATCGAGTAGAAATAGCAGAATTTGCATATTAGTATTCTGTGCCAGTGCCCTAAAAGGAGAGTGATATAAACAGAGAAATGCCGGAATGTTATACGTGCAATGAACGACTTCTTTCATACCGCATCTATCATCTTTGTATCTATAGTTGTAATATTCAAGCATGTATTTATAATTTATTATTAGATTACGATGTATTATGTGAATGAATGTTTCTTTGAACAAAATTCAATTCTTGGTATTCGTTCCCGCACCAGTCCTACCATCCTAAAACCACCGGAACTCTCAAGGGACGATGCATCGGGGTCCCTAATACCCCGGATGCCATAATGTTGGTGTGCAAAGAGTGCTAAGGGGTCCCCAACACCCCAAGATGCTATTAGGTCGGTATACAGAGAGCGCCACCGATGCATCCAGGGTCCCCGATACCCCGGAATGCCATAATGTCAGTATACAGGGTGAATCAACGGTGCTTCGGGGTCCCAGACACCCCAGGATCGAATCAGGTCGTACCCATCACTATCCCGAACAAGTGAGTTTCACGATTTGTTCGTTTTTATGTCTTATATTTCGCTAGATCCGGTCGTACCCATCACTATTCCGAACAAGTGAGTTTCACGATTTGTTCGTTTTTAGGTCTTATATTTCGCTACTTGCTTCGGGGTCCCTGGCACCCCGGTGGCGAAATATAGGTATGCAGCGTTACCGGTACCTCGGGGTCTCAGATACCCCGAATGCCGTAGTGTCGGTAAGCATAGAGTTATTGGTGCTTCGGGGTCCCTGACACCCCGGATACCAAAATGTCGGTATGCAAACAGTGTCACCGGTGCTTCGGGGTTCTCGACACCCCAGATGATATGTCGGTATGCAGAGATAGTCACTGGTGCTTCGGGGTCCCTGGCACCCCTGATGCTATATTATTGGTATGCAAAGAGTGACTGGCATTTAGGGGTCCTTAATACCCCAATATGATATCAGATTGGTACGCAGAGAGCAGCATTGTCGCATCGGGGTCCCCGATACCCCGGATGCCAATGGCGGCATCCAGGATGCTTCGGGGTCCCTGGCACCCCGATATGATATCCGGTCGGTATACAGAGAGCGCCACCGATGCATATGGGGTCCCCGGTACCCCGAATAGCATAATGTCGGTATGCAGAGAGCGTCACCGCCGTATCAAGAATAGTAGAAAAATTGTATTTATTTGGATGAAACGAGTGTATACTATGTTTGTATACATAACAATGTATTACTATGTTAATTACTTTATCAATTAACATAATAACCTCGACATATAATTGCATTGGAGCTACTATTTGTATTGTTATAAAGTATTAGGTAATAGATTTTCAATTAAGGCAAATTATACGTGTATGAAAACATACTGAAGATTATACTTTCTACTTTTATATGAAAAATTTACAGGTATTATACAATCATGAATAATAAAAAGGTTATAACCTTTGGGAAAATTAATAAAGATTTAAGTCGGGAATCATCTCAGAACACAGAAAATGTAAGTTCTGGATTTGGCGTATTTGGTAAAAAATTACCAGAAACCAATGTAACAAAAATGAATGAGATTAAGCCAGAAGATGAAGAAGAAACTCAGAATTTAAAAAATGTTATGGGTATAACAGGCTTTGGTAAGAAGGCAAAGTCTTTTGATGTGCAAGAAATGTTAGAAAACATTACAAAAACTATCAGTAGTAATAAAGCAACTGCTGAAGAAAAGAAATCTAAAACTGAAGAAATTGTTGACAAATCTGAAGAAGAAATTAAAGATAATACCAATGATAATAAAAATAATGATGACAATGAGGATGATGATGATGATAGTTTTATTGGTCCTCCAATACCTTCTACACTTCAGGATTCAGCAGATACAGGGAAAATGATGAAAGTAAAAGATAATGATGTTGACAGTGACGAAGATGAAGAATCTGACAGTGAAGAAACACAATTAAAAAATAAAATTCCATGCAGTCATGAAGTTACAATGACTCATGGAACAAAAGCAGTAACTGCTATTGCAGCAGATCCTTCTGGAGCAAGGTTAGCTTCAGGTTCCATTGATTATGATGTTTGCTTTTGGGATTTTGCTGGGATGGATTCATCTATGAGAAGTTTCAGAACTTTACAACCTTGTGAGAATCATCCTATAAAATGTTTACAATACTCTATGACTGGTGATGTTATATTGGTCATATCTGGTTCTGCACAAGCAAAAGTTTTGGATAGGGATGGTTTTGAAAAATGTGAAACTGTCAAAGGTGATCAATACATAACAGATATGGCCCGCACAAAGGGACACACAGCTGGATTAAATAGTGGTTGTTGGCATCCATTTACAAAAGAGGAATATCTCACATGTTCACAGGATAGCACTTGTAGAATATGGATTTTATACAGACCACGTGCTCATAAGTACTTAATAAAATGCAGGGCACAAAATGGAGTTAAAACTATACCAACTACATGTGGTTATAGTAGAGAAGGTAATGTGGTGGCTTGTGGTTGTATAGATGGTTCCATACAAATGTGGGATCATAGAAAAAATTTTGTTAATCCATCACTGATTCAGAGAAATGCACATGCACAAGGTGCTGAGATATCAAGTTTAAATTTTTCTTATCTTGGACAAATGCTTGCAACCAGAAGTTGTGATGATACTTTGAAGCTTTGGGATTTAAGAGCATTCAAAACACCAGTTTTTGAAGCAACAAATTTATATTCTCGGTATGATACAACCGACTGTATGTTTAATCCAGATGATTCAATTGTTGTCACAGGAGAATCTCTGAGTAAAGGTCAAAATACTGGTAGAGTTCTGTTTTATGATACCAAAACTTTTGATCTAATTGATGCTATAGATGTAACAAATTCGCATGTCATTAAGACATTATGGCATCCAAAACTAAATCAAATATTTATTGGTTGTGGAAATGGAATAGTTAAAGTATATTATGATTCAAAGAAGAGCTTGAGAGGTGCAAAATTGTGTGTTGTAAAAACGCATCTGAAACAGAAACACATTGAAGTAATGTCAACCCAACAAATTATAACTCCACATGCACTTCCACTATTTAGACAAGACAGGCCTAAATCAGTTAGAAAACAAATGGAAAAAGATCGTCTAGATCCAGTTAAATCAAGAAGACCAGATTTACCAATTACTTCTGGACAAGGTGGAAGAGTTGCTTCTTCTGGAGGAACTCTTAGCTCTTATGTAATTCGAAATTTGGGACTCAGCAAGAGGATAGAAGACGATCAGGATCCTAGGGAAGCTATTTTGAAATATGCAAAAGTAGCAGAAGAAAATCCATATTGGATTGCTCCAGCATATAAAAAAACACAACCACAAACAATATTTCAGACAGATGAGCAGGATGGAGCATCAAGTGCAAAAAAGCCAAAAACTTAGATTATGCACCGTTTTTGTATAAAGTTTTATGTTATTATATAATGTATGACGCCCTTGTATGTAATAAGTATAATTAAGAATAAATGTTTACTGAATAATACATAAGCAAAAGATGGTAAAACATTTCTAAGCAAAGAATTAAACCAAACTATAACCGACTTATGGTATCACACTGGTAGATGGCAGGAGTTCACCGGAACGATTTTCTTAAACCGATTTGGCGCGAGACTATTAATTTTTAAAGTTCCGTCCTCACGGTTTCGTCGTACCGCGTAGGCATAGGTAAAGTTGAGTTCGCGAAGGAGTAACTTGTAGAGGGAGACGCTTCATAGGACAACGAGGAAATCGAGGACCCGAATCTAAATAAATCGATCAGTAAATAGATCGAGCCTGCTTCCTAGTGATTTGCGATTGGATAGAAAGGGAAGCTGGGGTCAGAGGGTTGAGGGGAGAAGAGGCCGTGTATTTGTGGCGTTCGAGTCGGCAGCTACGATCGTCTTCTGGCAAACTTTATCGTGACACCGTTTTGTACGTGTTCGAGAGTCAGTCGGTTCGTTTGAATCGATCGGTCCTTGGGTTTGATGTCCCATGCGATTTTCGATCGATGAATCCAGTGATATAGCAATTTCCTCGGTGGTGCATTTACCGTGCATCGTGGTGGCAGCGTTCCTGCGACGATCCGCCGCGCAACTCACTGGCAAGTAACCCCGTATCATTGACTAAAATTCTCGCACCGCTAGACTATATTCGTTACGGCCGTTGCGCGGCCACTTCCGCATACATACTACGAATTCCTCTCGGTTGACGCCGCGCTCCAGACGCCATCCTTTTTGTTTTCAATTTTATTTAACCAATCTTCGATATGATCTATCGTAGATAAACGTACAGATCCGAGATCGATCACAATAACGAACAGGAAGAATGTATTGATTCATATATTGATTCTTCGAATCGAGATGCTACATCGACTGCCAAATTTGAACGTGACGTGATTTGACCGTGAATATTTCATATATTGATTTTCTTTAAATAAAATCTATCAATTATATCTACAACGTCAAGCAGTCGAAACGATGGTTCCTTGCATATCGTTTTCATGATTTCCAGTTGACATTACGTAACGGAAGTGAAATTTGGAAAAATATATTATTTCCAAGGATGTGAATGCTTCCTGTCCATGTATTTTGTTTCTCTTTTTTTAAATCAAAATTACAGGAAGTAAACTTGACGATGTCAACGCCAAATGTAAAATATCGATAAGAAGAAGAAAGCGACTGTATAAATGTTGTTTCTATAAAGGTTCTTTGGGGGTTTAAATACGGAGCGACTTACTCTTTTAGTACGATCGGTGAAGCGACTCGAGGAAATTCAAGCTCGTGAACTAGTTCCGTTTATTTCCTATTATATAATCGATTGAATCAACACGGAAATTACTTTCAAGACTAATTACCGTGGTCGATGAATGTACTTCCTTGTACGATTTTCTAACATTAACGTAAATATATAAATTTCAGATGTAGAACAATATGGCTGTTAGCATAAAGTTCACGAAATTCGACAATACACCATGGGGATTTCGATTAGCGGGTGGAAGCGATTTTCCACACCCGCTGACTGTCATCAGAGTACGTATCTACCTTGTTACTGCATTGTTTGCATCTTTTAAACACACTATCATTAATAAAAATTCACATATGAAACCCCTGACAAACGTTTGCATGATCGAATGCAACGGAGTATGCCGGGTTGCATGGACACAGGGGCGTCGGTAAGGTAGACTACACGCAACAATTGTTACCATATAGTAAATTTCTACATTATCGACAAAACGCATAAGGTGAACTCAACGAGCTCACACATCTGTTTAAATTCAAAGACCAAAATAGTAAAAAGATCATTTAATAATAGAAAAGGATGATTTAAATGCGTCGGCGTTATAATTTCCTGTTTTCACTGCGATAATAGATGAGCTGGATGTATTTCTACTTGTTATTGTAACTTGTTTACCGGATTTGATGTATTTATAAGTACCTTTTGCGTATTGCAGTGACTATGGAAGCAAATACGTTCAAACGTTCATTAATTTTAGAATATCACTTTGAGGTTTGAGTCTAATCAATTGAGAACTACCAATGCGTATCATTAATTAACGTGTCACATTTGTTCAGCAAAGAAAAGTAAATTGAGTAAATAAGAAGAGGAATGTTTTTAGGTCACAGAGGGAGGTCTCGCGGAATGTATGGGACTGAAGGTTGGCGACGTCGTAGTAAGATTAAATGATCAGCCCATCGGTGGTTTAACTCATGGTCAAGCGCACGAAGAGCTAATGAGAGCAGGCAATAATTTTGTCTTGGGTGTAAAGAGGTAAACCTCTCCTTTAATTAACACAAGATAATAAAATGAAATTGTAGAAAGCTTTCGTTTCGCTGCTATCCCTACTTCCGGCGGAAATAGAATGCGACATTAACCGTGACAACGATCCGATATCAATGTCAACGCCAACGTTGTATCGTTGCATCGAATTGATCTAGTTGGACAGCGAAGCTTAACTTGAACTACTTTCGATCGTCTGAAAACTTTATTTCGAATGCTCGATGATTCACGAGACAGATATTGTCCCGCCATGAACGTTTGGAATTCGCAATTCGTTATCGACTTTATTATTAACCATTGCTCGGTATATATGCCGAGAGAAAAAAAGAAGGTAATGATAAAAATAAGGAGATTTACAAAATCGTGTAAAATGGACGACACGTACCTGGTGCGTACGACGCGTATTATAATAACGCAGCCAGAATATATCCCGGCGTACGGGCAACGTGTGGCAACGAATTGCAACACTTATAAATAGGTGACCCAGAATGAAATCTGTTTATCATTGGTTGGCGATTTTATTACTGGCATTTACACTGCACACATTTGTTCCTCTATTCCCTCATTACCCTTTCGCGAGTGCACCGGCTCGCACTAGGCTTCGGAAAAGCGAGTTAAAATCAGCCATTCGTTCTAATTTCGTTCATCTAACTCTGAGGTGGTTAAAAAAGTGTCCTGACAGCTGACAGCTTGGCGAATCGTAAATTCGTTACAACGAGGAATATTAATCAGTTTAATTGTTGTACAGAGAAGAAGATCCACTGAAGGCTGTGGAGGCGCTGTCCGAGGAGAACATCGTACCCTACAAGATCCCTGTATGTATTTTAAGCTCTTCACATTTTAACGGTGATTTTATTAAAGACACGTAACGTTGTTTATTAGCTCGCAGATTTGCCACCGGTCTTCCCAGAAAAGATATTGACGGAGGAGACTGTGATCGAGCAACAAGAGATAACGATCGTGCAGAAGGTGTACGAGGAAGAGGGGAAACCTGAAGTGGAACCGCTCCCGGAGAAGCCTCAAGACGCCAATAGCGAGATCGTGCCGAATCAGAATCTCACGGACGACGAGATTGCCCAACTGATTTTAGAGGAGGAAGAACTTTTAAACGACAAAGGCGTATTAGGGTATAATTTTATCGTTCAACACCGTTTGATTACCTTTTTCGGTCGAGTGGCCATTTTTTATCCTTCTGATCGTTTGGCAAGTTGCTCAGCAATTCAAGCGCCGCAAACTCAATCTTTCTGCCAATATTTTAATACGCTATAAAGGTTGCATATCAAATGACTAGTTTTGAAACATAGAATGTCTGACACGATTTGATGACCGAAAAGGGTTAATCTAGTCATCGAAGAGAAAAGAGAGAGAGAGAGAGAGAGCAAAGGCTAATTAATACAATGGTTGCAGGGTGAATTTTAAAAAGCTCAGACCACGAGCTACGGTATTAAAGCAATCGAAGGTGATCGAGGAGCTTCGAAACATCGCCACAGCCGAACCTCCTTTGGTCGAACAATTGAAACGTACCTCGGTCTTTCTACAGAAGCCCGAACGACCCGTACCAGTGCCCCGTAAAAAGGAGGAACCAGAAGAAACCGAAGTCGAGTCGTACAGAGTGGTGATAAAGAAACAACAAAAAAGGAGTATCACCGACAGGCTGTTGGAGAAGGGTTTGCTGAAACCCGAAGACGCGACAAAGACCCCCGAGCCTCCGACTCCCGAGGTAAACATGGAAAGTAATGAATCGGGGATGAAGATCGAGGAAGACGATTCGTCGATCGTTTCGTTCAAGCAATTCGATGATAATTCATCTTCAGAACCAACCGTCACGTGTTTCGAGTTCTCTTCTCTGTGTGTCGAACCGGAAATCGAGATCTGCTCGATCCCATCGTCTTCTCTAAATCTAGAATCTGAGAATCGTGGAATCTCGGAATTGGATATCGTACCGGTACAATCGTCTAAACGCGAAGAAAAAGAAACCGTAGCTTCGCCGCGTCGACAGTCGAACAAGCACAAGTTGAAACGTTTCTACACGAAGGGTCACTATTTTCGAAGGTGTCTGTTCGGGAAGAGAGGTCACGGTGAGGTTAAAAAGTCGGTCAAACCAAAGTCCTCGTTCGAGGAATGTTTCCAGGATGCTTGCGACAACGTGAAACCGAACACGTTCCAAGAACGTCGGCGTCGAAGTAGCCTGGAGACATCCCGAATCAAGGGTCGTTACCTTGAGACGTACTTGAAGCGGGAAGATAATTGGATGAGACGCATGGTCGATGGTTTGTTCGACCAGCCTAACCTCGACAGCTTTCTCTCGAACAAACTATTCGGTAAAGTGTTATCGAGCAAACGGATCTCCTCGAGGAGAACCCGTTACGCGGAGAAGATTCTCCTCCGTAGCGTCGAATTTGTCGCGATTCGTCTTCGTTCGGACATTCAACGATACCTCGAGCAAGGTGGCTCGATGAACGATATCAGTTCCTTAACATCCAGATCGCGAATCGGCAAACGTCTTTACTTCAAAGGTCGCTACTTCCAGCGTATATTTTGGCGAAACGTCGCTCGTATAATAAACTACTTGAAGGGTGTAACTTCTTACAAGGAACCACGAGGCCGAGACAGAAGGAGGAGTTCGGTAATGATCAAGATGAAAGGTCACTATCTAGAGAGATATTTAGAAAATACTTTGTTCGATCTGGACGAGTTTCGCGATCGTTACCCGACCCGTTCATCGTCGTTTGTCGCCTCGAAGAGGAAATTGTTCGTACGAACGCGTTACTTCGAACGCGTCCTCAGAAAACACTTCGAATCTCTCGGCTTGATAGTCAAGTATATATATCAGATTATTTCCGATTCTTCCGTCGTTATTCCAGGATGTGCACCCTTGAACACGTGCCAAAAGCAATTCGTTACGAGCGTCGAAAACGACGCAGCTCTGTCGAATTTAATTCGATCCTCCAAAGACTTCATCTCGACAGAGGTGTTCCATCGTGGAAGTAGACGTTTGTCGAGATCTTGCAGAGGTAGTTCCGGTACCCTGAACGTTTCCAATGTTGGTAAAAACGGTCTGTTCGGTCTGAATTGGTTCAACAGAGAATCAACGGAACTAACGACTGGTGATAAGAAAGGCGTACAAGATAACGATCGCGACCGTCGTAGATTGTCTTTTGTACCAACGATTCTGTACGAGGGTCTGACGAATCATATAGGGGTCGATTTCACACGATTGGTCGCTTACGCTTTCGTGCCTTGCACCTCCATCATTTTGTTGTACATGTACAAGTAATATGTTCGATTCGAAGCTTGTCGTCTATCCGTACACGTTCATTTTAGACGGTGTTATTAATAATTACGATTATGTTTAGATTTAAAACGACGTCACTTGTTCTAGGACATCATCCCTAACAGACGCTAGATCATCATGGATCATCTGTAAACGTATATTAAAAAAAAAAAAAAGAGAAAAAGAAACAGTGTTCGTCGTTCGTAAAGTGTGTGTTGTATCTTCTGTTCAGTGTAACCATAACACGATTCTAGAGATAGCGATTGTACTTGTTTCTAAGGCTATGCAGTCGTGAAAAGTGACTGATTTCTGATTAGTCATTGAAAAGTTCATACAATGCTATCCAAATTAATTAATTAATGGATTACTATCTAATTCGTGGTGCCGGTCACCAGGTACCCCTGTCGCAACTTTTCATTTTGATCGTGTGACTTGCATGGCCTAACAGGTACATATAACGTAGTACAATGTTTAAAGAAAAAGTCATCTCGCGTTATCATGCACGCAGAGATCGATGCATGTTGTATCTATCTATCAATATACTGTTCTCATTGTCAATGTGATGGATTGTCGAGAAAATAGTAAATTCGAAATAAAAAGCATATATTATCTGGATGCACCCAATGCTAAAATCTAGATAAACCTTAACCTGTTAACAGGGGAACACGAGTTTGCTCGTCGTTGAAAGGCACGTGGACAGTCAACGTCAGAATAATAAATAATAATACGAGGGATATTTGAAGAGTTTTTTATCCTATCTTTACAAAAATTAATTTAATTCACACTCTTCTTTTTTCTTCTCAACTTCAATATTTCGAGTCTCCAACCTTTTTCATTTAAAGAGAAATAATTCTAATTTAAAGCTTTCTTTCCCCTTTGAGAATCCGACAGTTAACCCTTTGAGGTCGTATTTGATACGAATACCCTCCTGATGAAAATTACTTAGCGTCAAACGTAACTAATTATAATCACAAATGAACATGACCTCGTATCCGTTTTAATATCACTTATATTTTCACAATTAAACTATTCACCGTTCCGCGAGCCTCGTGTACTCTGAATGTTTTCGTTTGAATCCAGGCAACACCGGCAGCCACCCCCGAGCCAACTTGTTCAGATCAGCCGCAATCTCGTCCGGAATCGAAAGCTGAATCGAAACCGGAAGACAGCGAGGGAGAACGCGAAGGAAGAACACCGGAAACAGGTTGCGACGAAGAGAAGGTTGATTTAGAAGCATCCGAGGAGGAGAAAGAAGAACAGACGACACGGGAGAAGGTTTTGGGAGAGATCGAGAAAGAGATGGCTGACTTGGCGTCGAAAGTGAACAAGGAGAAGATCAAGGAACTTGTGAGCACAGAGATCAATCTGGAGAAACAGTTGGAGAACGTTCAACGACAGTTGTTAGCGTTGAAACAGCTACCAAGCGAGATCGAGAGTCACCTGAGAATCGTATCTGACCAACTGCAGAAGATCATGGAGCTGAGCGGTGTCCAAAATGGCGCCACCAGTAACGGCGAGGGGCGACGGGGTGGGTTTTGCGATTTTCTAAGATTACATTTTCGCGGGGATAGGCCTCGATAGGTATATCCCGAGCGAAGCCCACGCGTACGAATATTTTCAAATTTCACGCGTTCGAGCCTTTTGAAGCGGTGCCAAGCGTCAACTATGCACGGAACATACAGGGTTCCGTTGCGAAACCAGACTGATGGTATCCGTTCGCGTTTCTTCGGTATGACTTTGAGATAGGAATCTATTTGGAATGTTTCTGACGATGAATAATTTTCCCTCGCATTGTCTTCGATTCGTTGTTGTTATTACGACCGTTTCGTCTTGGCGGCTAATTATGAACAGGAGACTGGGTCAATCGCGACTTAGACCTGGACGAATTTTTCCATGAAATGATAGAAATTGAGATATACGTTCACGTTGCAGAAACCGAAGAAGCTCGCGAAGATGCGAAAGAATCGGAAGAGGAGCACGAAGAGGAAACGGAGGAACAGGATACGACGGAATTCACCGAAGACTTTTCGTATACGGCGTTCTACGATGATACCCAACGAGTAACCGTGAGAACCGAGGAGGTGGTAGAGGAAGAAGAAGAAACGGAAACGCAAGAACTGGAGGGAACTGTGTCGGTAAAGAGCGAAGAAGGAAGCAGAGTGAAGAAGTTCGTCGTATCCTATGAGACGAAAGTTTTAAAATCACCAAGCCCTGCACCTTCTCATGGTAAATACTTTTCCAAAACTTAATTTCGATCCTAATAAATTTAAGTTTGAAAAAAAAAAAAAATTAAAGATCGGATAAAGATTGTACGAAACAAGGATAACGATAGCAAAGCGATGTGTATTATAGGAAGTTTCGAACCAGATCCGAATCTAGCTCCGAAAGATCAAGTTATTCAAGAGTTACAGGTATTCCAGAGAATGATATGGAATGTATATTCAATGTATAATAATCTCTGTTACTCTCGTTCTCCCCTACTGTCTGTGATTCAAGAATTCCATCGTTATTTGTGTACCAAGGAAACTTCATAATTTTTATATGTTCTCCTTCTATGGATGATTTTTTAAATTTTTTTTTTGAAATGTCTGAGTAACTATGCGAATCTCAAGTCCTTAAACTTTGTACAGTTAACGTTACATCCGTGTCGCGTGCATTATACCCAGGTGATTTTATCGAGAAGCACGTGAATCCTATCGTGACCCTATGTCGAAAGTATTTCTGGCTCGTGAAAAAACGTTAATTTCAATAACCATGGATGGTGGAATGACGTTTTACATGTTCTTTTTTCGCAGCAAAGAGTAAAGGAAAGAGGGAGAAAACGTTCGCAAGATCTCTGGCCCCAGGCTAAGCAGGTGGAACTGACGCTTGGTCGTAGATGGAGGTGTCCGAATGATTTCTTCAATGATGAAATGATTGCCGAAGTATTATCTTCCCAGGCGGAAGTTATTCGAGGCAGAGCCCTAGGGTAAGGTCGTGTAATTTAATATTGCAACCAGCGATGGGCTACCAAAAGAAATGAAATACATGTAGTACCTATGTTTATTAATAAAATGCAGTACTTCATTAATAATATATTCATTTCATTCTCTACGTGAGTCATTCATTTCGTGATTAATATTCTAAATATATCATTTTTAATCCCCCCCTTCACGTGTGAAAACAGCCTGAAAGGCTTGAAAGTTATTCTTGAAAATTATAAGATAACACATTAACGATAATTTGATGCAAGCTATTGACGATCGTTTTATGATTCATCGATTTACAGAGTAAATTTTAAGAAGTACGAGAAGACGAATCTACCGAATTACGATCACTTAATGAACTCGAGTGTCTATAAGATGATTCATAAGATGGAAAAAGAACCGAAGAAAGGAATTCCAGCTAGACCTGCCAAAGTAAACGCCGCCGAGGACATAATCGAGAGGGTCGTAGGTATCCCATACGATCCAAAGGATCACTAAAACATTCCATTCATATATATTTTACTTCTATTCTGTTTTTATTTCAGAAATCCCCAGCGTTGAGCACCGCGGATGACAGAAGTACTCGAAGCGTCAGTCACTGAACCCGTCAAGTCATCGATGAGAAGAAAAAAGAATTTTCTTTTTTAACGAGAAGACATTGAACAGAAAGTACCAGAGCGTCGATAATTAAGAAAGAAGAAGAAGAAAAAAAAACAACGCTACTTCAAAACGATATATGAGTACGTGCGCTACGAGAGTAATCAAGTATAAACGTAACGTTAATTAATCAAAGTGCGTGTGCGTGTCGTATATACATGTCTGTAAGTGCAAGCATTGTGAAAAAAGAAAGCACGTTATAAAAATTAAGCGTTAATAAAAAAAGGATTGATTCTTTTTTTTTCGTAAATCGTCATCTGAACGATACTTTCGAATCTTTTTATACCTGCACCCACCTCAAAGACGGAATGGTACCAAGAATCGTGCCTATTTTGACGCAACGATATCGAACGGTAGGATGGTCACGTTCTACGCAAGATTCTTTCACGGAATCGGATATCCGAGGATCCGTGGTCCGCGTCGGTTCGCGGATGAGTCGCGCATACTTTCACCTTTCCGTGGATTTCCGACTTCTCCTCGCGTGTACCGCATGCGTACGGGTTGGGGCTGAGTCACTTCTTACCGTGGCCAACCAACATATTCCATCTCTTTCCTTCTTCATCTTCTATCTTACTCCCGATGGTCGTCTCATGCTTAGGGTCCGAGAACGTGACGTCGGTCCCGAGCAATTTATGTAAAGCATTCTAGGCATGATTCACGAACTAGTTCGCGCCCTCGTGACCGCCACCGGCGCAAAAAATGCAACCACTCTCCAACAGAACGAAAATCATGGCTCATCCCGTCATGCATATGCGCTTCGTTCCGATAGCCGGATGAATTTCAGATCCTACGTCATGCGGATGACGTTTCTCGTTTCACCCATTCGCTTTTCAACGCCACCCATCGCATGGGTGCTCCGCGTCTTTCTTCCATCTAACGGTCGTTGGCTAGGGGACGCTGCCGTTGCGATTAGGGATGCGATTAGATACTCGCAAATCTTTCTTCTTTGTTTTTAAACATTCAGAAGTTAAAAGATTAAAAGAACGATCGTGTTGAAAAGGAGCATTAATCGATGGATAGTTGTTGCAGGTAGGATCGCGAATGAATGATCGCGTGGAAGGTTGCATGGGCGGACGGTGTTCCGAGCAAGGTGCTTCTCTTCATGGTCGAAGCACCGGGAGCAATGACAGAAGGTGGACCGGTAGGAATCGGTACGATCGAAGAAAAAAGACGGAATAAAATGTCGGGAATGCCATCCCGATACCACCACCACGTATTCTTCTTCATCCTTTTCTCTACATTTCCCTCTTCCTTTCTCTTTTGATACCTTTACAATTCTCGTCTATTCATTCTATTATCCTTATCTCATTCCCGTTTCACTTTCTTATCTCCTTCAGTTATTTTTTTTTTTTTTCTCATTCTTGCTACGCGTTTGCGAGCTGACCAACAAAAGGGCCCTTTTCTTTCATTCTCCTTCGGTTCGTTGACTTCAAGGACTTTGTATTAATACCAACTTCCGGTTCTTCCTATCGCAGTTGATCTTCCATTATTCCTTACACTTTACTTTCCTTATCATTTTTGCCCTATCGTCATTTTTTATTTCACCTCTTCAAGGTTGCCTCCGTACGGAACCACCCTAGTTTACCCATTCACCTCTAAATCATTGATTGGCCGAGTCTTCTCTAGCGTTATCGTTCCCCCACACCTTATAATCCCCGCGATACAACGAAAAATAGATAAATCTCTATGATACTTTCCTTCCTTATCCCATGAAATGCTGCATCTATCTTTCTCCTCGTCTTTCTATCTCCAACCCCCTCCAATGGATGATTCTGGATCGCGGTCTCGTTCCTTCCACCGTGGTGTCGGGTCTTTCTATCCCTATCCCCGCCCCGTTGCCAGAGCGTCGTCAGAGTCGAATCGGATGGAAGGAAGGCAGCCAGGCTAGGCCCCGCTGGCCGACTGACCGTCCTCCAAGTCTGTTCTACCTTTACTCCGGTCTGCGCGTTCTTCAGGAACGTTCGTGCCGTTCTACCAAATCGCGCGATTCCGCCTCGCTAAAGGCAGACGTCAACCGTGACCGCCGGTGCAACGTGTATTCTTTATCTTTTGGTTTAACAAGTTCAAGATAATCAGTTTTCCTCTTTTTTTTTTATTTTTAAACCGACGAGGGAACAGTATTTGTTCCTCGCCTCTTCTTCGTCACTTTGTTCGCCGATCACACGAGGAGTTTATACTGTTATTATTCTTTTCAAAGCTTCGTCAGTTGAGTAGAATCAAGTGATATGGCACAGCTGATCAGCGTTAAGCTGTCCAGATTCGATGGATCCCCTTGGGGTTTTCGTCTTCAGGGTGGCAAGGATTTTGGCACTCCTCTAGTCGTGCAAAAGGTGAGTCTCTTTTGGTTCTTTTTCGAGGGAGATTCCTCAGGGTTCGATTTGACAACTTTCTTAGGGATGAGTATAGGAAAGTGGAAAAGTATTTGTATAGGTTCATTTCGTGATGTTTTATCGTATCAAGAAATCTTTCTTCTTTCACTCATTTCTAGGAATCGCGTATACGTTACACAATTATCAATAATGGTATCTTAAAGTCATTATCAAAGTCGACAACTTCGATCATCTTTGACGTCACGGATATCAAAGATCCCTGGTGAGTCTATGAATTTCCTCGAAAAGGGAAATGGAATTCTTATCCAATGGTTCATCGTTATCAGTTCGGTGTGATTTCTTTTAAATGTGCTTCAAGTGCCTTCGATGAAAGAGTGATAGTTTCAACTGTACGTGTGTATACAGAGCGTTCCATGTCATTTCAAGAATATTTCATAAATTTTATTTAAAATATGTGCCTGACAATAGTCGAGTGATATTTTATTCAGAAACGTGGGTGTAATCTTTTGTTTTTTTAACTCTTACCTGGTCAAGGCTCGTCCATCTTTTTTTCCTCTGTTGTTGTCATTACAGTCTATAAAATGATATTACGTAATACACATGCAAACGCCAAATTATTTCACGCGCATCGGTAGAAATCTCTGCCAACTACGTGCGAAACGCTCGGCTCGTCGTGGTCGCCGTGTTTTGGCGAACGAGGCGGGCTGTAACACGAGAAGCTTTTGGCTACCATCGACTTTCGAGCGAATTTTCAAACTTTCTTCGTTTATTTCCACGACTCGTTTGTCCATTGATGCAACCACTTACGAAATATCAATGCAAATATTCTTACGTCAAGCTCTGTCCTTGTCGGATACTCCTCCTCTTCTTCTGTGTATCCATCGTCGTGTTTGTTATTGCTAAGTAAGAAGATAAAATGATGGATCATAACTTAAATTATCGTGCTGGAAGATGAAAAATTTCCTGTACGATTCGTAGCTCGTTTACCTTTGATTAAAAGTGAAATATCCTGGCTCGTGTCAATGAAGATAGAGCTGTGCAATTTTCATACGAATCTTGCGGTTTTTCCCTCGGATATCATTCAGGAAACGATCGATAAACGCGAGTGAATCTTGTTCGAACGTTTAAACAACTTCATCTTCCGATCGACATTTCGAACTTGGCCTTCTTAGCAGCACGTGCTCCGTTTATTTTACGAGGCCGCAAATACGACGTCCGGCCGCCCTCGAGTTTCTCGGAAAGGAGAGAAATATGAGTCTACGGGGATGCGAAAGACTCCCATCGCACCAGATTACAAATTAATCGCGTGTAATTGCGAGTAATGAAGCTTCGCGGATCGTTGCGAATACTCTTTGGATGATGGATTACTCCTTCCATTTTTTGGGTGCCATTCACACTCTGATGCTACGTTTTATTGAAATTTTCATTTCTTCTTATAATCTGCCAATGATATTTGTGCCTGAAAAAAGAAATTTTCAATTAAAGTATATAAAATCAATTAAAATAATACTTTTGTTATCGTGCTCTCTTATTTTAATGAGCACTAAAAGGTTCGACTGGAATATTTATTATCAAAATACAAGGAGTGTTAAAAAGGGGTAGCTGCTTGAGAATGGTTGAAAAACTCTCGGCTAATGTTTTGAGAAGGCTGGAAAAACAATGATGAAACAATCAAGGAACAGTTTTTAAGAAGCGATGCATTAAGGCGTGTTTAAAAGGAGAGAAAAAGGAGAGACAGAGAGGCAGAGACGCGTCGCTGGTAATCCGAGGCAAATTATTTGGGCGTTCTATTTCTAGAAGGTGCCTTTGCGAAACTCGCAAGCCGGGTCGAGCCCTGCTCGCGAAGACAACGACGAAGGCAACGTCGTTAACGACGTCGTCGTCGTCGTCGTCGTCGTCGTCGACGAGGAGGTTCGAGCTTCCTGGGCCGCGTTGGTCACCGCGAAAATAAATTTTTCAACGGAGGGAGCGATCTCGTGTCGATCGATAAAAATACCAATCGGCTAAGGCACCACGTGCGCTCGCTACTCTCTCCGCAAGAAGAGAAAAGAAAGATTCGAAAACTAACAGGGCAATCGTGTAGAATAGACTGTTTTCGAAAAGACACGCGTGAAATTTGAAGCGTGCTCGAGCGGCTCATTTTTTCTTTATCCTTATCCTTATCAATGCAACGTCTACGTTTTAAATGAATCTAGCAGTGAATTCTTCTTTTTCATTCAGCCTCGCTATTAGTCAGATGAACTTTTTTTATGAAAGAAATTTGCGAATTAAAATTTTGCAAAAATAATTTCCTGCTACGTTAATCTCGAATAACGTTCCACAGTATTTCAGAGAAAAAAGAATAAGATTGGATATCGCGTTTACGTTCTCGTAATCTGGAAGAAACAGCTGCACGCAGATGCGCGCGAATTTCCGTGATTCCGTTCCGATGCAGTCGTTGCAGTCGGTGCAACGTGGGCGCGTTGGTTACGCGATATTTCGTTCCCGAGCGATGCATACACGCCACATTATCGTCGCAAGGAAGGACTCGACATAAATTCCGTGTGTCGTTAGCCGATATATAACGTCGCGTCGATAACGCCTTTTATCATTACCATTTTGTTTTTACCATGTCACCGACGACGAAACAACCTCGATATCTAATTATTAACCCGTACACAGGAAAGTCCAAGGACGCGAACGATATAAACAATAATCATTGTTATTTTTTTATTATTTTTTATAATTTCGTTTCGTCGATCTGGAATTTTGTTACAAAGGTCGGACGCGTTATTATCGTTTCCGATAAGATCGAGGAATGCGCTTTTAACGAGGATAATTACTCGTTTCCTTTATCAAGGCTATACATCCATGTTGAATCTATATCTTAATTATTTCGCTCGTTAAACGCAGGGCTCATCGAAGGCAGTTTATCTCGTTTCAAAGACCGTGGAAAATCGACAACAATGTTACGCAAGGTTTGACGTTAACAGGTAGCTAACTCGAAAATACCACGACCAGTTACACTTCCTTCCGATAAAGGTTAACACACGAAATGTGGCAATCGCTGGGATTTTGCCAGACTCGCGTGGGAAGTAAACGAATTACCGGATCACCGTTGAAAAATGAAGAAGTTATCGTTGCCGCGTGAAACGAAACTGAAGCAAATTATATACCGTCCTCCGTTAAAAATGGAAACAAATTTTTCAAATACCTCATCATTTTTCACTGATGATGCATTAATTCGCACTGGGGTTAGAAGCGATCACGACTAACGCTAAAGTATTCGAACCAGGAAATGGCAGAGATGCATTCGAAGTATGGACTTGTTGAATGTAAATTCAGTCGAAACGAGATGTTTATCCACGGATCGTTTCCCTAATAGACGTTTGTTGGATAAGAAAACGTTTCAAACGCTGTATGAACGCCTACGAGATACAGGCTCGTCCAAGAAACGGGTGTCAAACGCGAATTACTGAAATACACTAACGTAACAAAGTCAACAAATTAAATGTGAACATAACACACTTTTATAGAAACTTCTATCATTGTTTTCGCTCGATCGAAGTAGGTCTCGCGCGTTATGAAACTCTTTGTATATTTGGCAAGAATCATCTCGAGGACGGGCTGTTATTTAAAATGAACGTCATCTGACAGAACTGTGCTATTGCATATTTTCTTCTTTTTGTTTTTTTTTTTTTGAAAACGAAGAAAGGAAGCGTAGGAGGAGGTGGAAAACAGAGTACGATATTTTCGTCATTATCGAAAATAAGCCGTGTGGAGTGGAGTCACGGTTTGCGAATTCTGTTTATGTCTACGAGGCCCGATTTCGCACAACTCCGCGTGTGTTGTACGCTCGATTTGTTTACGAGCAACGCTAGAAGCCGGCTGCAGGCGAATTAGAAACCGACCCAGGATGTCGCCGGCTGCCCTGCACCGGTTGCAACCTCGTCATTTCGTCGAACGATACAATAAGACCACTAAGAGTTTCCGCTTTTCCACGAACCCCTTGATCGTTGAATTTATTTCTGCGAATTTCTCATCAAACTATAGGAAATCGAGGCAATCAAACTAAAAGGAAATTCAAGTTAACGTTTAACTTATTGTCTCACAGAGAAGGAAAGAATGTTTAGCTAATAAATTAACATTAATGGCAGAGAACGCGAGAAATCCTGGCACGGGTAGATTTGGCACACAGGAAGTCCAACGCTATTTACCGATTTAATTTTTATCCGTCGAAATAAAATATTTGATTATCTCTGTTAGCTGTGCACACTGCATAACTGAACCGTCCCGTCGTTTGCGAAACGTGCTGGCCAAAGTTCCTCGTGCAGAAAGTTTCACGGTGAAAGAAGAAAAATGATCATTGAACGGCATAAACGTGGCTTTAAACTTGACACAATTGTCGGAGAAGCATAAAGATCACGTTTCTGGCGAAATGTCAAACGTCTTAGCTGATAGCACGAATCTTTGATCTTGAAACGAACGGTTAATTATCCTTTCGAGTTACAACTTACAATTGGAACAATTGAAAGTTTGTTCGAACGAGCTCGTGTATCGCGGTTGTAACACTTATGCAAGAATCGGATGTCAGTGGGAGTTTTGGCCCGGTTCTCTCTTCTGGAGATACAGATTTTCAGAAGTCTGTTGCACACGGTACCAAAATGCATTTGGCTAGCATACGAGGAGCCGTCGATACGATAATCTACTAATACGATTTTCTAATTTTCGTCTATAACTAGGTGCCTCAGGACTTTGACATTTTGTAAAAAATCACAAGATAGAATTCTAGGCAAAGTTCTAAGCTAGGCTCCTAAGATTGAAGGTGTCCGAACGTGCCTTAATAAAATTATAAAATGCTGTAAAGTTTATACAAGAATTCGACAACCCTGTACATTAGAACGAACACCGCTCTTCCATTACCGAATCGTTCGCGAGGAAGTTAACACGGTTGGTTCGTGATATATTTTTTTACACGCGAATGCAAATGTAACCAAGGCCGGGAACGCGTGCATTTGCGATAAAAGTGCTCGCGTCTTTTATTCAACAATTTCGAACTTAAAATTTTTTCGCTTCGAAGATTTGAAAAAGATGATTCTAAATACGAAGCAGCGTTCTCTGTCGATCGTCGAGGATCCTGTGACGCGTAATATTTCGCGGAAGCTCGAAAACGTATCGGGATATTTTGCTCTCTTTCTTTTTTTTTTCTTTTTTTTTTTTTCTGTTATTTTCAATCGAAGCTTCTCTTTCCGGTGGCCAATCGTTGGTCCGTCGTTGCAAAGAGAATTGCTGCGGAGGCCGAAAGGAAGCCCGGCCCGTGGATATTAATAGAGGCCGAGGCCCGGTGGCGTCCGCCACCGACGAGCTTACACCCGTGGATATAAAAATATCGCTTTTATTTCTCACCGCGTCCTCCCGACTACCCAACATTTCGAACATTTTCCCCTACGCCACCTACCTCTTTTATTTTACACGATTATTGCCTTCGAATCCCATCCTTTTATCTCCTCTCTCCCTCGTCATCTTCTTCTTGTTCTTCTTCTTCTTCTCCTCTGAAATTCCATCGGAGCGTTTCTTTTCACGGTTTTCTGCAACACAGGAAGTGGCTCCACAACGCGTGGACAACCAAGAAATTATAATTTTACATGAGTTTCGACATGCTCGTTAAGTTGGAAACTTAGAAGAAAGCTTTATAATTCAAATGGTTAATTTTTCAAGGTACTTGAACCTGTTGAAGCTTCTTTTTTTTTTTTCTTCTTTAATTGAAATCGTATTTGATTATTTTCTCGTTGTATCGTCGGCGAAACGAAACGAGAAAAGCCAGACAAGGCAGAGTGAAATTGTATCTCGATGACGAGGTCGAAGATTTAGGAGCAGGCATCGTAAATGCCGATTCGATTTCGGGAATGAAGAGAGACACAGTGGGAGGCTGTTGTGGGAAATTTGCCAAAAGTCAGACCAGAAATCAGTCTTCTCCCGTATGTTTGCCCCGTTCCTTAGGCACCACGTGAATTCGTGGGTAATACGACACCCCATCGTCGTCCTGATCGCATCACCATTACGACATCATCGAACTTGAGAATCATCTCATTTTTTTCCCTATTCGAACTAATTTTAGACTGTACGCACGCGAAGCGTCCTGTCTTTGAATGTAATCTATCGCCACAATAGGACGCCGATGAAGTACCACGAGGAGCGATTAAAAATACCGCGATAAGCGTAATCGACATTGTTATGTTCGCGTCGCCCCATCATTTTCATTATCAACTAATGAAGAACCGAGGTGAGCTCATTCTCAGACGCTCGCACCACGTCATCCATCGTCAACAGTGACTCGCGAGCACGTTGCGTTCCATTCTTTAGCCCCTTAATCACTTCTAAATTAATTCCATATATATTCGTTCGACTAGGTATTTCGACAGGGTACTCTTTGTGGTTCGCGTCGTCATTCTTCCGTTTCGAGTGTGTCATCGGGCCTAATCACCTCCAGGAACTGTATCCACTTTCACGCATTCGTTCACCTCGCTTTCCTCGTTTCCTTCTCGAGAAACCGTATCTGTTCTAAGGAAAAAGTATACTCGCATTCCAATCTCTTTTGCGCTAAATATGCAACGATCCCGATAATAGTAAAGACTTCCGGTGGTCTTCGGTTAGTATTTTCTTATAAAATAAAGAAGGTAATATATCACTCACTGTTACTGTCTCGCATCCTTGCTCTCGAAGAACTCTCTAAGAAAACAGGTGAGCGAATAGAGGCTAAACAGCGTTGAATTATGAACGAGAGAGAAAAAGAGGAGAAACGGAATGTTGGAAATCTATTGACGCATTTCGCGAAAAATCATCGAATCTCCGGTTGAGATCCGGAGGAGGTATGGACGTCATCGATATTCAGCCTTCCGTAGAAGGAGGTTTACGACTTGGTTACACGCGAACGATGCGAACGACTGTGCATACACACACGTATTCTTGTTACATCTCAACGAACAGCAACATGGAGCAGAGTTTGTTTGAAAAGATAAGACCAGGTCGAACGTAGGCCAATAATTTCGTCCTGACGTCACTGTCTATTTCTTCTGTCCTGCCTTAGGGTAACAAAGGCTACCGTGTGCGAGCTGTCGTGTCAACCACATTGTTTCGTTAAACTAGCAAAACGTGGACTTGGAAATTCTTCCCCTCTGTCGATTCGTTCCTCTTGGTATGCATCCCTGTATGTACCAAATATCCGTCCGGAAAGTCGGCGACGCGCGGCTCTGGCGCCTAAGTTTCTATTTCAAATCGGTAGCGACGTTAATAGCGACTTTGTCTTCAACTTTTCACTCGGCTCGTCTAACTCTTTCCGTTAGACCGGTGATTAATCTTCCGCTTGCCGGTAATAAAATCCCCAACGACATCAGGTCAGACCCGTGGAAACAGGAACGTTGTCGAAGACGCGAAAGTATCGGTGACTTATTTCCATCGAACACGTTCCCTTTCATTTGGTCCGATTGAGACCCGGTGTCACTGACCGTAGCTCTCTCTCCCTCTTCTCTTGTCCAGCAACGTTTTTCGACGAGTATCGCACCAGCGCTATGAACGAGCCTTAAGTCCTCAAAGTGAGAGAAAGAAAAAAAAAAAAACGAGCAAAGATGCATTCCAGCATGGAACGGTGGGATGGATCCGTCTCTGATAACCCGCCCATTGGAATGCGTACCTCGTACACCTTGGCTTATTCTCCCTCTCGATTCGACTGCATTCAAGTGCATCTACTTTGCTGCATTTCGCACACCGATGTATTTCGGCTGTGTATTTTTAGCCGCGTCGTTATATTAATAATACCTTGGACTACGTGGGCTACCGTAGACACGCGTGCACTAATGAATTTGCCATGTTTCTCTTGAAAAACATTTTTCAAACTTTTATTAACTAATAGCAGTCAATGGTGCTACGAATTTATTTCCAACTCATGTCGAAATCGAGTGTAATTAATGGACGTTCGATCGAAAGCCAGGTCTAATTCTTTCTATAAACACGTTCGGTGATTTATTACAGTTATTTTCGTTAAGAGACCTCGGTTCATCTCGGAGCTTGAAATAATTTTTTCCAGCATACAAACAAAATGTAGGTCAATCCCTCGAGACACGTACGTACATACAGTCGAGCAAGAAATGCTTTTTAATCATCGATGACTGGCTCTCTTCCTGGACTTTAAGCTCGCGTCATGGGGACGAAATTGGGGCCAGAGGATGAGTGGTTCGATTCGATTCCCGCCTCTGTCTGTCTCCAGAAATAGGACCGTGAAATTGCCTCATCGTTGTTGGGGTAATAGTTGGATACGTTTACCGTTCACGTTATTATCAACAACGCTGTCATTCGGTTCAGAGTATCGCGTTCCATCGAAATCCCTAACATTCTAGGGAACCCTAGAATAAGAAAGCTACTTGGTAGTCGATTAGAACTCGGGGATATCCTCTATTACCGCGTTCCACAAATAATCACGGGACAAATTCCCAAGCGAAAGCGTGTAGATTCCTCCTACAATTACAGAAGTCACCAACCAGGAAGCTAGTCGGTTGGTAGATTCGTCCTAAGTGAAGTCCCCTCAAAAATAGCAAGGGTCGGTATCATAAGCTCTCTGTTTAATGTCCTAACATAGGACGTGGACGTAAGTCAGGGTTAAGCTTGGTGGGCACCGTGAAAGCCTGTCTTCTCTAAAAATAGTCTTGGACCGGTTTAAAAATAGGCCCCGAACGGACACGTATACGTTGCTTGCCGGTACGTAGCCACGAAGAAAACCGAACGAACAGATAGAATGTTGCAGTCGAGCACAAGGTGCAAGCAGCATAGTGTTGTAGAGGTATACGGCATATCGGGGGAACACGTATGTAGCTAACGTTGCCGTGCCACCGCGTAGAACCGCGATGAATGAACGTGAACCAGCGCGAACCCGCGTCTCCTTCTCACTGTTTCAGCGCATGCTTCGAGTAATAATAGCGTCCGACGATTTTGGATAAACCGTACACGCGGGTTACCCTCCGCTTCGCGCCCTAATGGGGTATACTAATTTTCTAATTAACTTGACGAAGAGGCGTGTTCGATGGCAAATGAGCTCTCTTAAGTTCCTTTCTTCCTGCGATGTTAGTAATTTGAAAAGCGAAAAGGGATCGAAAACTAAGCAAGCTAAAAATTTACTTGCCAACTTAATATTTATCAAGTCCTATCGATTGATTTACGATTATCCTGCAATGGAACGAGATCGGATAAATATATTAATAGCGTAATTAACCTCGGGTAAAATCGCGGTTATAAGAGTGCTGGATAGGTGTAACGCGATAAATTATGATGATTTAAAACGGCTCATTGATCACGCGAGGTAATTCATTTACTTAATTGCACTGGGTCCGTGGCGCTCGAGGAACGATAAAGCTGTGCGTTGCATAAATCACGATCGACAGTGTCGTTATAAAATGAACGTCTCTGTAAAATGTGTTTCTCGATCTCTTTAAAAACGTATAAACATTTTAACCACTTGTCGTTGCGATGGTACAATAATAAAATTCAGAAAGAGGAATTTATCGTGCATCTGGTTTGCTAATAGTACGCGTCGAATGGATGGCTGCGGACGTGTAAAATGTTGTGTATTGCAGGTTAATAGCGGCTCCCCGGCGGAAGCAGCTGGTTTGAAGGCCGGCGATGCAGTTATCAGGGTGAACAACACCGAGATGTACAATCTGAGACACAAGGACGCGCAGGATGTTATCATGAGAGCTGGAAACAATTTCGAGATCACTGTACAGAGGTAGCGACAGGCACGACCGTAATCTTAACATTATCTTTCGTCTAAACACGGTGGAAACGAAACGGACTAAGAGCCGGTCCATCTGTCCACTTCTCGTCCGTTTGTATTTTATAACAACTGCATCGCGCTTCATTTATTTGGCTACTGTTGTTGACAGAGGTGGCGGTACCTGGAAGCCACACGTGTCTCCGATAAGTTCAACCCTTCCGTCGCCATCGCCCACGTCCTCGGTTAGCAACATTGCTCCAGTTACGAAGACATCGTTGGCAGCCAAGAAGCAAGACGGACCACTGATCGGAAGCGGTCATAATTTCAGTCCAAAGCCATTCGTTAGTGTCAATTATATAAAGGAATTTCAACCTCGTTTTACATTCTTGAAATATGACGTACACGATGCGATTGTGAATAATTCATTCGTTGCAGCTGAATGGAACGGGGGATGGTTCGATCAAATCCATCGTTAACAAACAGTACAACAGCCCTGTGGGTATCTACAGTGAAGAAACGATCGCGGAAACTCTGTCCGCCCAAGCGGAAGTTTTAGCTGGTGGTGTTCTTGGGTAAGAGAATCGTTTGTTAAATTCGAATAGCAGAAAATAATGATAAAGATGAATTATTTGTAGTGTAAACTTCAAAAAAAACGAGAAGAATTACAACGCAGAGAACAGCGAAGTGTTCAAAATGGTCCAAGAAGCGGACAAAGAACCAAAGACACCGGAACCTGGTTAGTAACCGCAAACTAGTGCCTTGAAATTTCAGTAGCAATGTATCCATGTTCCTTTAAAATTACTCGAGACATTGTAAACTTACTATTGATACTTCAACGTCTCGTGTACAAAGAAAAAGATTAGAAAAGAAATAAAAATTTCTGGAGAGATAGCTTCATAATGGTCCTTACGTGCAAAACACGAGGGAAAAACAGTTTCTCTTTCACTTACCTAAACAACAGCGAAATCTCTCCAGTGATTTTTCGACTGGATCAGCTGGCTCTTAGCCTGTTGCATGCCGGTACGATAACTTCTTTGCGAAATAGCGGAGCCAACTGCACAGAGCGGCGTGATTATGCCGTCGTCGCCGGCCCTGGCAGGACTGAGGCCAGTCTCCGCACCGGAAACCAAGCAACAGCCACCGTCGACGCCGCAATCGAGCCTTCCACCTGGACAGAACATATGCGCTGAATGCGAGAGGCTCATTGTGTAAGTTCAACGACCGGGACGCGTGTCTCGTCGTTATTCTCTTTCTTTCAGAACAACGCAGACATCGTAGAACCGGAAAGGAAAATAGGATGTTGACTATTCGTCTAGTTACCCTCGAACGGTTTCCTTTCGACGAAGAAGAGTATGTTGGGCGCACACATTTTAATCGTTTTCTTTTTTCCAACAACGAATCGAATAGCTTGTTCGCGATAATGAAATAGTTTCTCACGTGGTAGTGTCACAGAATGGTTTCTCTACTTCCATGTCGTAGTATCATCGAGAACAGAGTTTTACTCGTCGGTGAGCCACGCCGTTGGCGGAAGGGCCACATCGCCGAGATCACCCACGCCTCTATTTCATGCTCTCCACGGCTTTGGTCCGGCTATGAATTCCAATGAAAATTCGTCGAGACGTCAACCACAACGTCAGCAGTCCTCCTCTTCCTCCTCAGGCTCGTCGAGCGTCGTCGTTTGTAGCAACTGCGACCGTGTGATCGTGTAACTATTCACGTGAAACTCTCTTCACGGGATGTCTTTAGCTTCACGACGAATTATGTCGCTTCTTTTTATAGTGTCTCTTGTGTAGAAAAGTAACACGTTTGTCGCGTGTACCTGGGAACCAAAATTGCAAATTTATAATAATTGATTTTATCTATGGATTCCTCATGTTAAAACAAATCGAAAAGTTCTTTTCCATTTTGCGATCCGACGCTCCGTTCTCGAGATACAAGCGATTGAAATTCGAGGTCCTCCACTTCCGGTGCGCGGCCGCCGCGCCGCCCGGAAGTGGCTCTCCGCAACTTTCATCAGCTTATATCTCGAGAACGAAGCGTCCGATTGAAAAATAGTAAAGGACTTTTCGATTTGTTTTTCAATAAAGAATTCACTTCACTAAGTTTTAAACAAAACTGAATGTTTTTGAAATTTGTTCAATATATACTAAAAAAATGGTGATTTTCGTTCCCGATGTGTCTTTTACGACCGATTCAGAGTACGTAAGACTTGTACGCTGGTATTTCATCTGAAAAATGCTTTTAAACAAGACAAGAGACCGTGCATTTCGCATTCATCGTTACGTAGATTAAAAATTGAGTCGAGATTGTCAGTGACGATCGAATATTTTTATGTTTTTTTGTCTAAATATGCACGTTTTGCCGCTATTGTTTGAATGGAAGCACCGATTACCTTTTTGACTCTTTTTCTCTCTGTCGCCTCTGTCGTTAGTGTATCGCTTCTTCGAAAAAAAGGACGAATCCCTTGATTCATGATTCTCATCGTTCCACGGTGGTGTGGCCATTCATGGCGATCATTCATCTTCATGGGAATTGCACATCTATATTCTCATTCTTCAACTTTTATTTATTGGGGTATATGTAAACTACGCTTTCGATGTTGTGATTTTTCTTTTTCTATTTTTGAATATTTTTGTTATCCTTTTGTATCGATGTTGTGTTTTTGTTTTTCACTATTTTTATGTGAACACATTTTGAATATTTTTTCTTGATTTTTGCTTAACGAAAGCAATTATTTTTTTGAAGATACATAAATATTTTTTTACTGAAATTCACTTCACGTAACAACACTACTCAAAAACAGAGTAAAAAAATCTTGTGTTCCCAGCCTCCATCGTCGAGGTATCGTGCCCTTCCCTTTTTCTTTGAAAATTTTTAGATAAAAAACTCGTGGCACATCCGACAACAAATCACTCTGCGTTCGTTAAAATATTCAAATAGTGGAGAGATAAAAATTACTCCACTCATTGCTTTCTTTTTCTTCATAGGGGTGTCTTTGTCAGGATCAAGGAGAAGAATCTACACGTGGAATGCTTCAAGTGCTCTACCTGTGGCACTTCCTTGAAGAACGTCGGTTATTATAACATCAACAATAAATTGTATTGTGATATTCACGCAAAACTAGTCGCCAGACAAAATGCACCTGCTGGAATGGTTCCAATCACCATGCCACCGTAAGTATATGAATTTTTCTGCAGTTCAGCAAAGATTTGCTGCAATGTTACAAGGAAACGCGTGCCGAGTCGCGATGAAAATCTAATGGAATATGTTCCAGAGGCGGAAAGGCTCCAGCGAGCACCATTTCCGCTGCGCTAGCAAATGCACCGTTGTCTCCACCTTTGAATAATCACGCATCGTCGCCTCTACCGTTCTCGGTAAGTATTCCACGTGCAATTAAACACATTTTTATCTCGTTTGCTTGAACGCTGCTTGCAGTGGTCGACATTTTGCTTCGCGAATGATTCTACATTAATCGTTGAACTTGTTTGATGCCTTCTGAAGCGATTGTAAATTTCAATTTATTCTAGTTTGAACAAGCATTTCGATAATCGAATAATTTTCTTTTAAATTGAAATTAACACGTGTGGTATTTGCCTGGCACTAATCGCTTTTCCAGGCTTGCAATCGTACGAGTCCTGATTACGGATTCCCGAATAGTCAGCTATCGTCCCCGAATAGAAACGGATGCATCAGCAATGGCAACTGTCACTGGGAATCGAAAACGTTTACGAGCACGATCACCATACAAACGGGTAGCACAGAGGTTGGCGATACCCGTGAATCTTATCTTATATCGTAAAACCATCGTCGAATCCTTCGATGTTTCCTTTTGTTTTCCTATTTATAAGTTGTTTCTTTGTGCTCGTTGATATTCTTGTTAAAAAATTAATGAAATTTTTCATCTCTAAATAACTCTTCGCTTCTACTAATAGGAACTAGAATGAAGACACATTTAGAGTATTGCAGTCTAAAATAAAACGATGTTACTCATGGTTAAAGGGGAGAGAAAGAAATAGGAAACAAGAAGCAGATTCGACGAAGAGGAACAAACAACATTACGAAATAAATAATCTAAGTCATCGTAATGATATTCGACCTGTTCGTCCTTCTGACTAAAGAAACTTCCTCTTTGTCGATCGATCGACAACATCATCGAATAATGATCCTTCAAATTATTTCGATGCGATGACTAATTTGTTTTGGCCCTATTACGAGTGTGCGTGTTAATTGCTCTTCTCTTCCTCTTTTTTTAATTGGCCACCGCCACGTGACATCGTTCTGTCGTTTTATGTATTACAGCCCACCCGCCTTGGCACCTCGCCCATCGAACCACCCAGTTTCCGATCAGTCCAGGTAATGTCCCATACGTGGCTCGTCTTAAACGTCTCGCACTCGAAACCTTACTCTCGGTAAGGTACATACACCGGTTAGAGTTCCGATGATAATCACGCTGCTTTGAACACCAGATAATGCACTCCAGACAAGTACGTTGTGCTTAAGAAACACCAACGAAGAGATCCTCTTCTTTTATTTGATTCTTATCTTTTTTTTTTTTATTGCCGTGTGATTCCGCTTGAATTCCTTTTATATCTATTCAGTAAGTGAGAAAGTTAATAAATTTGTTATTAAAACGATGGTTGATTTTTTGTTCAGCAAAGGTGTTAGTGTATAAAGAAGTTATAATTACTGTGAATAATTTTCAAGAAGGTATAGTCAATTTTAAGCGTGAAGCATGGTGTCAAGGCAGCGGAGAATCGAATCACCAGTAGTGTATATCGTTTATTTCCAAACTAATTTGCCACTCGTTGCATTATAAGCACAGTAGATTTTTTATCGTTAGTTGTCAATTTAGTGGCCCAACTAATAATTAGACGTAGCAATGTGCATCGCATATGTCATGTTGTTTGTCATTATGCCTCACTAATACGTTCAATGAGATCATTGTTGTTTGCATTGTTCCCTTTTTTTTTTACTCGTTCGTGTCATATGTCATTACTTCGTAAACGAAGATGAAATACGGAATAGTAAAGTGTATTTTCTATCGATACAGGCGCCAACGTCTAACAATCTAATTGGTCCCAAGCCTTTCGGAGGATCCAGTGCTTTATCGTCGCCACCGTTAGTGAATTCAGGAAACAGCACTCTTCCACGACCTCAAAGTCAAACTGTGACTGGTAAGTTTCTTTTTCTTTCATTCTTCTCGCGAGATGCTCGTTGGTAAATAGTTTCACGATTTTTTATTACATAATTTCGATAAAGTTACGTAACGTTGTGAGATTTTTAAGTTAGAGGGGAAGAAAAGATGAGCTTCGAAATAAAAGAACTAAATTTCTTTCTCTTTCTATCTTGTACAACGATAATTCTATAAAACACCTCGCTAAGTTTACCTCGACTTGTTACGTGCATGAAATTCCGCGTCGCGACGCGAACATCCCGACGATAATTACGACAGGCACGCCAACAGGAGGTATGTGAACCTCGAAGGAACGTTAACAGGAAACAAAAGCGGAAATCGCGATGTCGTAGCAATATATCATCGACGACACGCTCAGCTACTTATTATCTCATTCGTAATCTGAAAGGAACGATCTCTGATCCCAACCAAGTATAGTACCTGTTTGTTTTATCCTTGGCCTCGCTTTGTCTTCGATTATTGCAAATAGGTCTCTGGTCGAGTTTGCCAAAGCCAAAGATTACGCCCTTCGAAGATACAACGAATAAATTGCGAGCACAAAAAACCTGCTGACCGAATTTCTCTTAGCTTTGGCTAATACGCCCTATTTGGCTTCTCTCCTCGCATATCTTTTTTTTTCTTTTTTATTGTCTCTTTGTCTTTCGCGTTCTAGATGATTGATAATAATTTTCGATCGTTTGCAAGCTCTCCTTTGAACTTGGCTTTCATCCGCTCGTCGACGGCGAGTTCTGAGAGCTGCGACATATCATGTCATTCATTCACTCATCGTCTCTAATGGCATTTCAATTCTAATAGGTGAATTTTTACGTTCATTCGAAACGTTAATTAATCCTCGTTATATTACTTAATGTATACTCGAATTGGGTGCCTCATAGTCGTAGGGTTAAAACTCTATGGAGCCAACGATGATGCAGAGTGATAGAAACGAAACCAGGACGATTAAATCGAGACCTGAATAGCGAATAAATGAGTCGAGACTGCTTCGATAAAAAGAGCTTACGTAATAGTGAAGACACTTTGATAAAACTATTTCACGGCTTTTAATCTTGTATTCGCGATATTTAACCCTTTCAGACTTAAATCATTTTCACGATGGAAGATACCGTAATTAATGACTAACGACAAGTTGAATATTTTTCTCATTTTTCACCTTGAACCATTCAATTTATTCCTCTACAATTCTTTTCCTGTCCCAATCGCGCGACTCACCCCGTATATTAATTCACAACGGTGAAAGGGTTAAATCGAAGAACTTTGTATAAATAAACGATTCGAAGAAAGACGTTTATATCGGGAATCATATTCATTCATACTCCTCATTCCCGGACATAATTCTTTTCTTTTCTTATCTTTTTTCAGCCGCTTCATCTTTCAACCCGAAACCCAGACCCTTCTCCCTCACATTCGCATGAGTCGGTAGCTCTCAGCTGCGCCGTCGTCGTCGTCGTCGTCGTCTTCATCGCTGACATCCGAAATCGAAAACGATCCGATTTATATGAAATTATAAATTATACATAGAAAATGTATACGATCGACGTTCACGATTTTTCTTCAATCTCGAATATTAAACGATCCCATCGTCGCTAAACATCATTGGCAACACTTCGTGCTTGTTTGTTTCGTCAGAATTCTGCTTTCACGCAGCTTTCTATTCATTGAGATTTCGAGATCGAGAAAGTCGTGAATGGTGAATGATTTTCTCGACAAGTGCAGTTACGAAATAAAGCGACCAATTAAGCCGATCAAGCTCTTCGTTAGATATACGTGTACTGTTTCCTTCTTTTTTTTTTCCATTTCATATCATTCACACGTATGTGAATCCATCGAAGCTTCGTCGAAACATCAAGTAATCCTTTGCGTTGACGATTAGTATTTTTCGAGATGAACATGTCAGCTGGGTGAAATGAAAAATCAACGCAAGTGGTTAAATATGTTTCCTCGCTACGCTTTCGAGAGGAAGTTGGATCCGAGTTCCCTTTTTCGCGATCGTCTAGAGTTTTCCCTTTTTCGCAATCGACCGTCTACCCCTATAGATCGTTCACCGATAAATATGTTCGAGTGCCGAGTGATTTGAAGAAGTGCGACTGCTCACTCGATTCGCTTAATTAATCGCTTTCGCTTTTCTTCGCCTCACGCGTGCCTCGTTTAATCACAGAGACTACTATTTTGATTTTAAGCTGCGCTTCTTTTTTATTTAGCGTCCTGGACGTGCTCGTGATTCGACGAATAAAAAATTCTTTGTAACAAATTATCAGGAATAAAGAAGAATCACGAGCACATACCGTTCAATGTGCTTCTTACTCACAGCTTATTTCTTTGTTCTTTTTTTTTTTCGTTCTTTCTAACACACCCTGACCAATTACCTATGTGTATCAATCGCATGAACCAAACGTTTCGTGTGTCTTCGTGTACAAATCTGTTTTTTTTCGTTCACCCGCTATCAACATGTTCCACGTGGAAATCCGAAATATCCCAGAAACCTCCGAGACCCACGAAAAGTCCTATTATTACGAGCTGGTGGATACCAAGACCGATTACCATCCGAGTTCCGTGAAATCGAAAAGTCTTAATTGGCCACCACCGAAACCAATCGAGGACATAACTTATCCCACCGCCAGTCCTTTGTATATCGATCCAAATCCTGTCCTCGACCGAAGAAACGTACAAGCAGTGAAAGAGAAGTGTATCGAGGCCTGCGAAAAAGCATTGACGAGGATAAGGGGTGAAAGCACTGATCGCGAGGTCGAAAGGGTCAGTAGACAGTGTTGTTTCGACGAGGATCCGATGGATCGGGTCAGTTGTCCAGGGCCCATTTACAGGAAAGTGGAGCTGGTCGAGACCAGCGGTAGACAATCAAAAAGTGAAATAACATCGAGACCCAGCTCGACCGACAGCGTCAGAAGATCCTTGACACCGACCAGGATCGTTCAACCCATACCTAAACCATGGACAGCTACCGTAACGACCGGGAGTAATCTCTACGAGCAAAGTTACGGCGGGACAGAACCGCCAAAAGTCTGTAAGAAGTTCCATCAGAAGGAGATCTGTCAACGGGAGAGAATCTGCGAGAGGAACCAACCCTTCCGGGAAGAACATCGTTCCTATCGCTCTGAATTCAGTCGAACGGAACAAACGATCTGCGAGAAACCACCGCTTCCTGTGCAGCACACGGTGAAGCAGCAGGAGACTAAGGAAGAGATCACAGAAGTTGACAAGGAAGTGATTGACTTGAGACCAGCTGACGAGATCGAGGAAGATGATTCCGACGGGAAAGGAGTCGGAGGAGAACACGATTTTATTACCGAGACTTCCGAAGAAGACGTGGATGGACTGCACGTGAAGAAGAAGATGACATTCGAGAAGACCATCGAGAAGATCCCGTCACCTGCACGACCCAGCACTCCGATGATAGAGGAGTCCGTCGCGGCGGAGACGGTCGAAGAGGCGACGGAGAAGATCGAAGAGAGTTATACCAGAAAAACTGCTACGCATATCGACAGAAAAGTTGAGGAGTCTGAAGAGAAGACGGTTGTAGAGTCAGCTGAAGTGGTCACCTCGGCGGTGGACGTTCAACAGATGCTGGAGAAGGCGAAACAGGAGGAAGAGGAGCAAAAGAGAGAGGAAGAGGAGGAAGAGAGACGAAGACAAGAAGAGGAAGAGAGAAGAAAACGCGAAGAAGAGGAACAGAGGAGAAAACGCGCCGAGGAGGAACGAAGGAGACAGGAGGAGGAAGAACGAAGCAAACATGTCGCTTTCGAAGAAGAGGAAGTGGAAGAAGTTCGAGAACATCCACTGGGAAGAACAGTGGTCCGTGAAGAGAGGGTGACGGAAGCTGAAAGTGACACGCCTGGACGCAAGAAGCTCATCAAGGAGACTTACGAGGAGATCACGGAGGAAGTGTTGGTCCAGGAACGCGTCAGGAGGAAGGCGATCGAAGATGAACGCAGGAAGAGTTTGAGAGAACAGGTAGAAGTTCATCAAAGTTTAAGAGAGCAACAGGCACCCAAGGATCGACGCGTATGCTCCAAGTATCCTCCGGCTCAAGAAATCATGGAGACTAATAAAAAACGAGTTCAATTCGTGAAACAGACCGATTCAGGTCCCAAGCCCATACCGCATTCTGCTCTTCAAAACGCTACCCCCAAAGAGTGGAAGTCTGAAATGGTGAACGCTTTGACCACGGCACCCGATCGACCTTTCACTCCTCTCAGCACCTCGTCGAGTATAAAGGAGGTTTACACTGAAGAAACGATATACTTGGATCACAGGTGTCGACCGAAACCACCGCCAGAGAATCTACGACCCATTTCACCGTTCCAGGAGGCGCTTATGATCGCCCCGGAACGTCCTTACACTCCTCTGAGTCGCGAAATTGGACCGGAAGACAGAAACGTTTGCAGTCGGTCTCAGACCCCCGTGCTTCAGGACGGGAGTAAATACCCTCCACCCGCTGGTCTCCTCTACGGCGAGGGTAAACCCATCGTTCCACCGTCTCCTAAACCCTGTGGTCCACGACCGTTACCGACACCACCGCCCGACTTCCGTCTAAGGGACTCATCCGCGTCTCCGGTGAGATCTCGACCCCAAACACCTTGCAGCAAAGGCATCACAGCTTCCTTGAAGAAGCCGGACACTATACCTTCATATCAGAGGAACCTAGTGGCTATGAGAAGAGGCGCGGTTGAGAGTCACACGTATCTACCCAGCAGAACTCCGACGCCTACTCCGGGAAGATCAAAGTCACCCGCCCATGGACCACCAGAACCTCCCCCCTGCTATACGAAGGCTCATGCTCCCATGATCAGAGAGGATCCACCTCCCACCAAGCACAGCTCCATACACTTCCCAACGAAGAAGAGCGTCTCTTACAAGATAGACGAAGACACTGACGAGGGACACAGAAAAGCCGAGTACGCCGCTAGCAAGACGGTGGACTTTGACGAGAAACGAACCGACGATCCCGGTCGAGAACCTACGGACGCGGTCCATGCTCAGTACCAAGAGAAACGGTTCATGACTAGCGAGGAAATCAACGAACAGAAGCTCTCGCTGACGCAGAAATCGCTCGAGGTTACCGAAGACTTTGAGAGATGCGAAAGAAGGGTACCGGCCAGACCTTTGCCGGAGCCTCGAGAGAAACCATCCAAGGGCTCGTGTGCCATCGGTAGAACGAGCCCCTGCAAACTAACTCTGCCTTGCCCTTTGGCATCCAAGACGGAAACGAGCTCGAGCGTGCAACCGGTGTACACCAGCTCGACGGAAGTGCGTCACGTTAGCTACGGCGCTCCACCCTGCAAACCGTGTCCAGATACCGGAGTAACGGTGCTGCCTTGCAAAGCTCATTCTGATCAAGGCACCAAAGCGGGTGTTGTAGTGGTGCCTTGCGAGGGACCTAAGCCCTGCTGTCAAAAGTCAGGCGTATGCGTGGTTCCAACGTCGGATCGTTCGGGAGTTTGCGTGTCTCCTTGCATGGGTATGAAAACGGGAAGCTGTGGCCAACCGGAAGGACGCTGCGGTCGGGAATCAGCCTGCGAGATCGAGATTCCAAACTGTCCAGAATCTGGAATCTGCGTGGCACCCTGCGCCGATGGTTCTGTCTGCGTGGCACCCTGCGGCAAACCCGGCCCACCACCGTCGGCTAAACTTCCTTTTCCTCAAATCTCTTTCCCGTACGAGGGTACTTCCGCTTCTTCGCCTTGCAAAAACTCCTTCCAGCCTATTCACAAGCCTCGCACTAATCTGAGTGGGCAGCTCGCGCGACTCACTGCTAAAACCGGTCACAATGTACCCACTGTTCAATTGTACAAGCCCCAAGCTCAAACTGATGCAGCAAGCTGTTGCGAGAGCAAAAGCTATTGTCAAAAGACCCAATGTTACCGATCCACCGAAACTCATTGTCAATCGGGTGGTCAATGTTCAAACAACGCCCGCTGTCGAACCGGGACTCAATGTGAGAGCCAAAATCACTGCCAGGACGGTATCCATTGTTCCCCGTCTAGTAATGCCCAGAGTATAGTAGATCCACCAAATTTGTCATCCCACCCGGATCTAGGTAGCGGAATCGGTGGTCTCGGTGGTGCTGGCTCCAAGAGCGGATCTTTCGCTGGTAGCAGCGCACCAAAACGTGGAAGGGGAATACTGAATCAAGCGACTGGACCGGGATCACGGGTACCCCTTTGCGGCCATTGCAACTCTTACGTCAGGTACTCATCGGTACTTTGCTCGTCAGTGTTGTTTGCTTGTTTTTTTTTTTCCTCATGCCTGATTATTCCTCTCCCTCATTGTTTTTTGGTTGATTATGAATGACCTGGATTAGTTCGTCAGTTCGTCTAGACAATTTGGTGTAGGTGGTGATCGTTTCAGGAATATCGTTGGAGAATATTTTCTTGATTGTGCATTGAATTTGTGTATGTGTTTCTTTTTTAAGTTGACAAATTTATTTGTTTGGTTAAATTGCTTTTCAGGAATATGTACTTTCTTGATATTTTTAATTAACTTTGCGGGGGTCGATCTTTCAGACGAATGACGTTGATATAAAAAGTAATTAGGGTGAATCTTAGCTTCGACAATAATTATCTACCACGACCGCCGCAGGGTTGATACTGATTGTCTTCTGATCGTCAGTGTGATTAACAGTGTTCACTTGTTTGCACGATGTTAACAGCTAACGAAGAAAATACTAATCACAAGTCGAACGGTCTCGTGATAAAGCCAACGTGCTGTAAAAACGACAAAGGGTGCACAAGGTTGGTAAGAGAGAATTTATCCGTTTCTTCAATTGTTGCCTGCTGTGTTATGCTTTGCTTCTTCGTGTTCAGTCGCTCTTGTAAATGGATTTGTAAAGGTGATTGTGATCGTTCAGGGGACCTTTCATCACCGCTTTGGGACAAATCTGGTGCCCTGATCATTTCGTCTGCGTGAACACCCAATGTCGTCGACCTCTTCAAGACATCGGTTTCGTAGAAGAGAAGGGCCAACTCTATTGCGAATATTGCTTCGAACGTTTCATCGCTCCAAGTTGCAACAAATGCAACATCAAGATCAAAGGCGTAAGTATTCACCAATTGAAGAGGAAGCAATTTGTTAAGCATTCGATGCGTTAATTTATCGATATTCCTGTGGTAGGATTGTCTGAATGCAATTGGAAAGCATTTCCACCCTGAATGCTTCAAATGTTCCTACTGTGGTAAACTGTTTGGAAACAGCCCATTTTTCCTCGAAGAAGGCTTACCCTACTGTGAAGCTGGTTAGTACAGCTACGTTTAATTTAACGAAGAATTTCATGATACAACACCGAATAAATGATGCTACTAATACACAGATTGGAACGAGCTGTTCACAACAAAATGTTTCGCGTGTGGATTCCCAGTTGAAGCTGGAGATCGCTGGGTAGAGGCTCTGAACAACAACTACCACAGCCAGTGTTTCAACTGCTCGGTACGTAATATATATAGAAAATATTTTAAATCGTCACTTACCACGTTAATTAATCTTCCTTGGATTTGTGTTGCAGATGTGCAAGAAGAACCTCGAAGGTCAAAGCTTCTACGCGAAGGGTGGTCGTCCATTCTGTAAAAATCATGCGCGTTAGAACCAACATTTAAAATAGAAGAAAGGGTCGAAACGAAAAAGAATAGGAAAAGTCGAAAAAAAAAAAAAAAAAAAAAATTGAATGATTAACTTTACCAGCACGAATTCTTTCTGCACGAATTATTTCTTCGCTTGCCGTCGACGACAATTAAGAAAGCAAACGATTACGAACGAATTACATCGATTAATTATCATTTCTCCTGCAAGAATTCAAAGTCGATCGAGGATAAAAGAAAGTGTCCTTCGTACTTTAAGGATCCCAGCCCCGAAACGATCGCGTTTCTTCGGATTTCCGTGCTTCCAGCTTTTACGATAATTATTCGAGCAAATTCTTTGCCCGACAAAATGACAATTGACAATCGCATGGCGAAATATCGACTAACCCGATTCAATGATAAACCCGGTGAAGCTAATTTACATGAATTGGCAATTAATTTCCAACGAAAGGATAATACGGTCACGTAACTTGTAAACTTTCTTTAAAGAATATTCGTAAGATTGCCAGATTAAAGTGCTAGCCTATGAAGTTTGAAAATTCTCATTTTGAAAAACGTAAGTCGACGTAAAAGTGTCCAAAGCATGGAGATCCGTCTAAATGGCAAAGTTTCCTGAATTTCATGCGCTTCGCATCGCAATTTCAGCGACAAGTTATTCGCGTTTCCGGTGATGGACGAGTCTCGAATACTTGGTGTAATCGTTGCCGCAGAAAATTCTGCAACGAACGCGCATCAACTTGGTCTCCTGCTTTTCGATCACGCAAAGGTCATGCGAGCAATTAGTATTACGGGTATTATCACATATTTCGTACTATCAAGGTGCATAGAAACCGCGTCGACACGAAAACGCTGCCTCCTTGGAGATACGAGGGAAACTGACCTGACATTCGATGAAAATTCTGACGAGGAAGATACCCTCCTCTCGTCGAATCAATTATTATTCGGGTTTTACTAGTCAATCATCGATGATGCTCGAAATGTATCGTGCAGGGAATAAAAAAGAGAAAAAAACGACGAATATTATAATTCTATGCGCGTGGATCGTCAACTAACTTGTTATCTTTAACAAGAAGAAAAACTAGAATCCTCGTAACGATGTAACTTATTTTACCCTGAAATCAGGGCGATTCAAGACGACCGATAAATAACACAATCCGTTCAACAGCTCTTGTCTTTCAGAACGAAGAGAAAATCTGTCTGTGAGAAAAACTATAAAAGGAGAATAAGATTGCACGCTGGTACGTTGATACTTGAATCGTTTTAAACTGCCTCGTTTTCAGGGTACACGATGATAAAAGTGATGAACGAGTTGATAATCGGGAAACTCGTACTCGATAGCAGTTGCCATATTATTATTTTAGACAATGTTACCGATTTTTCAGTGCCATCGTCGCGGGCTCGTGTCAAAAGCTTGCGAATCGAAGGACGATATATTTAAATGTACGTTGTATAGTTTAGTAAGTAACGAAAGAGACGAAGAAGGATATCGAAGAAATTCATTTGACGAAGTCGATTTCCTTTAAGAGCGTTCAACATTGCTAATCGATTATGCAATTTCGCGATTAGGATTAATACTAATTATAGATCGACTGCTGGCTGAATATCGCACGAGCCTTTGTATCCGTGTTACGTGTTGCTTACAATAAAATTGAATAAAATGTTCACGATAAACTTTCCTTTCTGTTAATATTTCCCTGCATCTCCTGTTTCGATGCATGAAAAAAAAAACAAAAGAGCATTTCGCAGTTAGGTGTTGAAAACGGGACGAGTTTGCATCGTATGTAACACGGGGGTAACCGGAAACACGTAAGGGATCGGTCGTAAACGATTTTTCGTTTCTAACGAGGAAACAACTCTTTCGTAAGTCTCGTCTCATCGATTTATCGTTTAAAGTATAACCTTGCGGTACCTCCTTCTGCGAATACGGACACGCGACAGACGTTTTTCTGACGGATCATTTTTGTCGCAATAGATACGTCATCAACGCGAACTTCAATGAACGTAGACGTACGTCGAACAGCTGTATAGTTATCAAATCGAATGGATTCATGAAACTTTGTATATCATACATGGTGATGTACGTAAAACTTACCCTAAACCCTTTTCGCTTTAAGGTATTTTTATTAATACCACCGCGGTGGTGGCATTTCTACCGATTTCAAAAAAGAACAAATTTTTCCAAAAATAACTCTGTACATCTACTAATAGTAGATTGTAATTATATTTCCTTCCTTCGTTCAATCGAAAAACTCATTTTCTAATGAAAAGGTATTCTATAGAATGATATCGATGAATTCTACCCAAATGGGATTAAAATAGAATCTGGTCTTTAGTCCTGGTTTTTTATCATCGATTCGAAGGAAGCACAATTACTAATGTGTCGCGTGTTCACGATAACGATCTGCAAACGAGCGACATTCAAATTCTTTCAGAAGCTTCCTGCGAGACTTCCGGTGTCCTTGCGGTGTCGCGGTGTCCACCGAAAGCTCATAAAAGCTGGAAACCACCAAGGAAGCCAGCACACGAGTAGCCTGCGCACCTGGGATCAGGTCAAAGCGATTGCGTACACCGTAACGTGGCTGTGCACCAGTGAGAATCGAGATTTCGGCTTGCTTGCATGCCACCATTCCATCGAAATATTTGAATACGAATTTTAAACATGTTCTTTAACATAAACGCTTTTCTAAATCAACAGAATATCGCTTAAAGGTTTTCGTGAACGAAAAGTTAAAGATGTAACCGAATAAAAAAAAATATCATATTTACTGTGAGAGGTGAGTAATCTTGTGTCCTTAACTTCTTTCTAATTGGAACTTATAGCGTTACAATTGTTATTACTTTTATTTAGAAAAATAGAAGACTGCCCACCAATCATCAGCTAAATAATGATCCACTAACAGAGTTTATCCTCTTTGATTTTACTAAAATACCATGTTTCGGTATGGCTGTGAAATACTTGGATGGACCATTCGTGTTCAGATTGAACGACAGTGGTACAGGTCCGAATCTTCTGATACAGGTACCAATTATTCGAATCGAATTTATTTATATCCGAATGGTAAAGGATTTTGTTCGAGAGAATCTATAGTTTTAGCAGTGTTCTCGAGACACCCCGTATATCCGGTGTGTAGATAAATCGTAGACGGTTCGTTCCGTCGTGCTTTTATGTCGCTCGAAATTTTGTTCGTCACGGTTACAAACTTAGCCCCTGCCCTTGAACTGAATGCTTTTCAAGGTACATAGATACGTAAAGTTCAGCCGGGACTCGACGCGCTTTTGCGTGCACCACTTTTAGAAGCGCAACGGCTATTAACTAAGTAAGCGCGACATGCAATAATAATAAAAAAGAAAGAAACAAACGACTCTTCTACGTTCATTTTCTTGATAGTAGAATTCGTTGATCTAGAATGAAATGATCTACGATGTAAACGCGATCGTCGACCTTTCAGATCCATTATAAAGTTTGAAGAAAACGTTGCGCGGCTATTAAAGCCGAAGAATAAAAGTAGGCTACGATAAAAGTAAATCCACTCGAATTTAATTGTAATTAAAGACCTTGGCTCGCTTTTGATATCAGAAGCAAAGCATTCCTAATGCTCAGATAACACGAGAAATAAATCAAGGGCATTCTACGCTATTTTCGCGTGCACCTTCCGAACTTTACGAATCGTTGAATGCGTAATATTCCAAGTTAATCGGTGCTCACCTAACACGTTTCCTCGACTCCTGACTTTAAGCGCAATTAAAATGATCAATCCACCTTCTCGTAGATCGAGTTCTTTAAACGGTCGTTTACAGGAAGGTTGTTGCATATTTTTCACAGATTTGCACAGAACGTGGTTGGAGGGAATACACTGGAGAGAATAACGTATTCAGAGATCGATGGAATCTATGGTGGAAGTCCGGTGGTTTCCCTTTACCTTATTACAAGCCGCTACTACCATGGCAGGTGACGATGCATCCAGTTGTACTTTTCCTTTCCTCTTCTTTGCTGTTGAAATTAAAGCACGAGTAATAAAAATGAATAGGAATTGAAAAAACTAATTAGAAACTTACGCTTCAGTTCGTCAACAGAATACCAAAGGGGGGATCTATCTGCAGAAAGGATAATCTTATACGCCACTTAAGATGCATGAAGAAGATGTATGGCTCGATCTACGACTTCAGGTACTCTATCCAGAACACATTAGTTGACTTCAGAAATGATTCCTCTTAGAGTAGGCAAAACGCTGATTACCTGAAAGAAAAAATTGAAATAATGTTAGTATGAGAAAAAATATAATGAATCTCGTTAGTCCCCCAGGATACAATTTACCATCAGAGTACACTAAATTAGCGGAAGAATGCAGTCGTTGCGAGGATGACAAAGTTTGGATATGCAAGCCAGTTGGTCAAAGCCAGGGCAAAGGAATCTTTCTGTTTCGTGTATGCACTTTCCAGATGAACAGTAACTTCATCGTCAACGTTGTTGAAATCATTCGATACATAACAATGTGTTTACAGAAATTAAGCGATCTTATGTACGATACCACGACGGTGGTGCAGAAATACATTGAGAATCCTCTTTTAATCGGAGGCTACAAGTTTGATCTACGATTGTACGTGTGTGTCCCTTCGTATCATCCTTTGGTAATATATTTATACAAGGAAGGCTTGGCACGATTCGCTACAGAGAAGTTTTCTTTGGAACACCTGACCGATCCTTTTCGCCATCTCACCAACTTTTCCTTGAACAAGTTGGGTCCAGGATATACTGAAAAGAAGGAACGCATTGGTGCTGGTAATGGAAAAATTATTGTTGAAGATGGTTAAAAATCTACGTACATCATATACCGATTATCATTGAAATATTTGTTAGGCTGCAAATGGACTTTCAGACAACTGAGAAGGTATTTTGAGCAAGCTGGATACTGTGACTGGTTTCTCTGGCAAAGAATTGCTTGTTTAGTCAGCTTAACGATCTTAAGTCAGGCTACTGGTATTCCAAAATCTTCTAATTGCTTTGAATTCTTTGGATTTGACGTACTGATTGACAAAAATCTGAAACCATGGTTACTAGAGGTGAATGAGTGTTGCTTAATCCGGTACAATGAGAAATCTAAATAATTCGATACTTTCTTCAGGTCAATCTTAGTCCAGCATTGAGCAATGACTGTGAAATTGATTCAGAAGTAAAGAAACCTTTGCTGCACGACTTGTTCGATTTATTGGGTCTTCCAGTATGCAACACTGGACTCTCCCTCTTCACGATATGGTCAACCAACCCCGTTGACGATGATGTTGAAGCGTCTTCCAAGTTCTCTACGGGTCGAACCACCAAGAAGAAATCAAAAGGCCCTCAGGAAACCGATACTTTCTTAAACCTGTGCACAGAACTTCAACCTACTGTATGTAACAAAGTAACATTTTAGCAAAAAACATACACATACCAAAAAGTTTCTTATTTCGTGTCGTTGATCTCCAGCTTAGACAATCATCTACAAATGATTCCTCAAGCTCATGGTCTCGTTACAATCCGTTGCTAATGGACAAATATATTCCACGCGGTTTTCGAGGCACCAATTCAATAAATCATGATAAGACGTCGGTGTGGGATAATGGCAAAAACTGGAGCACCCCTTGTGCGAAGGAAGGAGGGTGGGTTCGGATTTATCCATTGACTCCATTCATACCTGACAATAGTACGGATTATGTACCATCATCTCTATCAGAAGATTCACGGATTGTGGAAAAACAAGTTAAAAATTCTGTTCTTTGCATAAACAAGTAATAGTCTAATAGCATTTAATTGACAAAGATATATAAAAAGATCATAGCATTACTAATTGTATTTTTGCAGATACTTAAAAGCCGCAAAAGAAGTACATAAAAAGAATGATAAATATAGAGATGAACAGTGTAATGCTTTGCTACGTAAAGCAATGGAATTGAATACTGAAATTTGGCTGCCACCTAAATAATTTAAGCACGACGTTGATACCTTTTTATATATCTGTTCATTTTCCGAGTGAATCAGCACGATACGCTTTGACCAATTTATTTATACGTGATATTCTGATCTTAATCTTTCTAATATTGCCACGTTCAAAATGCAATTTTAACAGTCAGAGTTCGTAATATTTTTGACAGTATAATAGATTTTTGAATCATATTCTAAATGCTAATGGTTAGGCTTAACGAAGAGGGTAATTGTACTCTTTTTTTCTATAATATGCTTAAATATAAAATACAACATAAAATTAACCGACGAATACAAATGAAGAACATCTTTATTGACCAAGAGATTCTCGGTTTATTGAATGTTTTCTTGAAAATTTACATTAATTCACTCCTTTCGCTGCTAACCTCTTGTCACGCTCTTCGGCAATCGAAAGCTTGACACCTTTGTCTCTTGGTAAGCTAATGTACGGCTTTGTACCCTTACCGATGATAAATACATTGTTCAACCTAAACAAATAATTTATTGTGAGATTCGTTGTAACTGGCCAACTTAAAAAATAAAATACAACATCAGTTTTGTCTCCTTAATAGGTAATACTGAGAGGCCTATGCAAAGGCAATCAGTGACCATCATTAAGGAATTTTATCTAGGACAACTTTGAACCACAATATGTATTGAGAATATATTATAGCTTCGATAATGGCCATTATAAAAATTAATTCAATTCGTTTCGCAAAATCTTTGAATCATCGTGTAATATATTATATAAATAAAAAGTGAATTAGGAGATATTAGGAGATACCTTGTAGCAAAAGTGTGCCCTTGTGAATCCTTAATATGACAAATATCAAAAGATCCTGGATGACGCTCGCGGCTAACAACCGTACCAACACGCCCTAAATTTCTTCCTCCAGTAATCATACAGAGATTACCTGCAATATAAATATTGAATAACAACATATTTCATACATATACACTCAAGTTTATTCAGGAATAAAAATATAATACCTGAATCAAATCGAATGAAATCTAAAATTGCACCAGTTGCTATATCCAAATGGATGGTGTCATTTACTTTGATTAGAGGGTCTGGGTAACGAATGGTCCTTCCATCATGTGTTACCAAGAATGGAATACCTTTTGGTCCAGTCTGAACACGCTTTACTTTGCACAGTTTATACTGCAACAAAAGAAGAATGTTATGTTTTGGTTGCAATTTTTATTGTTTAACAAATGATAAATACCTTAGCTTCTTCTGGAGTAATTCTGTGTGTAGTAAAACGACCCTTAACGTCATAAATCAATCGGAAAAATTCATCAGTCTTGTTAATAGTAATGACATCTGAAATAAAACATAAATAACGTTAATTGTAATTTTCGATGTATTTTACGAGATTTTTATAATTAAGAAAATGTACGCTTTTTTGGTAATACAGAAAGAATATTTTATTCAGCCTGTGACCGTATCAAAGTACTTATTTACTATTGGCCAATGTTTGACTATGATACTTCTTGTTAAAAAAGTATTATAGCTTCGATATGGCCCTGTTAGGAACAGGTGATAAAATAGCTGATACACTTACCCATAAACCCTGCAGGATAGTTGGGATCAGTGCGAACTTTTCCATCAACTTTAATTAAACGTTGCATCACAATTTTTGTTACCTCACAATTAGTTAATGCATACTTTAATCTATTACGAAGGAAAATAACAAGAGGAAGAGATTCCCTCAACTTGTGGGGTCCGGTAGACGGTCGTGGAGCGTATACACCGCCCAATTTATCTAACATCCATGCTTTAGGCGCGTTAAGACGCTTCAAATGCTTCTTCGGTCCACGAGCCTGCAAATTAATTTGAAATATTTATTCGTAACGTCAAATAAACATACATACTCAACAGTCTTAACGTCAAAAGCATTACTTTACACTGCCAGATTACATTTTTCAGGTTAAATTACTATTTAAATTTTTCTGTTACTTTGTAATTTTACTACAACTTTTAATGAAATGCAATTATAACTCGATTCACGTGAGAAACTCATTTAAATGAAAGGATGTCAACAAATATTTACGTATTGATATATTTGAAGTAAAGAAATGATCTCTGCCTATACAACTTAACCACATTTCTATCATTATAAAAATGAGACAAATTAATGAATAATATGTGTATTGATATTCACTTTAGTTCTTGTAGGCTACATTTTTAGTAATTATTAAACGATGCAATGTATTGTACACCCGATGTAAATGGATTTTACGTTGACAACACACTCCTGACTTACCATCTTGGTTTTCTAAACGGAAAAGGCACTTGCACGCGCTCTTCCTATACACATCAGGAAATGCCTAACAACGCCATTACTCTCAAAATGGCGGTTGATTGTCATGAGCTAGTATTGTTGTAAATAATATGATGTTTTAAATTAGATACATATTAGATTTTATAATAATATGCAGTTTAAAATCATGCGTATTATAAATAAGCAACTATAAGTAATGTTCGGAAAGTGTCCGACCTTTGACGGACAGACGCCTATATATATATAATTTACATATACCTCATTATTTTTGCAATAGTTATAATTTATTTAATTTTTGTTTTAATTTTTCCAGCTTTTTAAATCAGGAACAGAATAAAGAGTATTTGATAATATGTATATAAGTATTTTATTGAGTATTATATATAAATGATATCAAATTCGAATGCCAATGTAGAGAGTTTAGATACATAGTTTTAATAAAAAGATAACAAATATTCCGCGTATATAATAACATTAATTTGAACGTAGTACTCCAACAATATCATCCAATAAAGAGGATGCACCAATTCTAAATAAATCTTTAGTTAACCATTCATCTCCTAGTTCCATTTGAGCTAACATCATCCATTCCAAGGCATCTTGTGAAGTCTTAATACCACCTGCTGGTTTGAAACCGACCTGAGAGAAATATATTATAATAATGAATGTATAAAAAATCAAATAGCATATTTAATTGATTTATATTAATTTTATACCTTTCTCTTAGTTGATGCATAATAATCTCTAATTGCCTGACACATAACTATTCCAACTGGCAAAGTAGCATTTATTGCTTCCTTTCCAGTAGATGTTTTAATAAAATCTACTCCAGCCATCATTGCAATCATGGATGCTTTATATACATTTTCCAAAGTCTGTAACTCTCCAGTGGAAAGTATTACTTTCAAACATACTTTATTACCACAAGCAGCACGAAATGATTTCAGTTCTTCATATAATTCATTCCATTGTTGCATCAAAACTAATGGTCTATTGATAACAATATCAATCTCATCAGCTCCTAGCTCTACATCTATTTCTACTTCACGAAGTCGTGTTTCTAATGGGAATTGCCCAGATGGAAATCCTCCAGCCACTGTTTGTAAAATAATAATAATTTATATACTACATTAATTTTAATACAAATCACAAGGAACTATGTTACCAACCAGTATCTCTATTAACTTTATGTTCTTTGTCAAGTTTTGCCATTACAGCTATTACATCCGGAAATCTTAGAGGGTAGACACATATAGATGCAGTATGTACAGCTGAATTAGATTGCAATTGAAGAGGATTTACTGCCTGTAATTATTCAATTTCATTATTGTTCAAAGACCTACAAAGATTTTCAGAACTTAATGAAACCTTTGGTACCTTTGCACATACAGCTTCAACTTTTGCAGGTGTATCATCAGCTCCCAAAGTAGTTAAATCAATAAAACCTATGGCTTTCAGTAGCCAAGTAGTTTTCATATTAGGTTCTATGGCCTTTGCCTTAGAACGCACAGAATTAATTTTCGCATCTATACCAGATTGGTCAAAGTTCATTTTAGCTGAAATAACAGAAAAAGACACAATTAAAAATCTACTCCGAGATATAATTTCGATTAGAAACTATAATTTAATAAGAATTAATCACGTACCCTTAGCTAATTTTTGGATATCCATTGTGATCCTTTAAATATTCACGAAGGTAAATTAGTGGTATACAAGAGAGATACAAGAACCAAGTACGCAAAAATGAAATGAAATCTAAACTTACAGAAGTTATCATTTAAATATATTTGTTAAGAATTGATAACAACGTAACGGTTCATGATCCTTGATTGTTCAGACATGATATAACGCGTCAGTGAAAGTGTGGTCGTGCAATCATTTATATCAATGTGTCCACAGATTACTTTAGATCTTACAGGGATTCTCCCACTTTCCTCTTATTATCATGATCCGTCAACATCAATTAATACTACACCACACGTGTAGAACTTGCAATTTTCTTTCGAAAATTATTCAAATAATGCCTAATTTTAGATTAGAAATTAAAATTAAAAACATTACACCCCTAAAAATAGACTACTCAGCATACACAGACGTAAAGTCAGGGACCATGGTAGGTCCCTTCTTCGTGAGTTTCCCCGGCTTTCCCTGAGCTCCTGGCATACCCTTTAGGTGGCTAATGACGGCTAAAGGGATAGTGACGATGCAGGGGAGAGGATCCCTTATATGTATATAGATCTGTGGTGTCCCATCATCTGCATATGAGCTTTTATGCGGAAGAATTTCAATTCATATTTCTTAATTATAAACTAAATTTTATAATATTTGATAATTAAGAATTACATTATTTTGTTTTTAAATCACTTTTAATATTAATTTCGTCAAAATGAAGATTTTGAAAATTCCTGTTTCCTCTGTAACGTCATCTTCATTAGGGTAGCCTACCGTGCTTGATACTGTACAGAATCTTTCCTTGTAAATAACACTTCTATGTATATTCAGTCTAATTGACCGTTGGTTTATCTCTCGTTACGCAAGCCTATAAACTATAGTGTAGTCAAAGCTGGACTCTGGTTAATAACAGCTTGACAGCTTGAAGCAAAGAAAAGTGTATAAAATTAAATAATCGTACACGGATCAACTTCGTAGCTACTTTTCGATGGTATGATCTTGACAATCGATATCCTTTTTAAAAATTCAATTTTTAATCAACACCGAACTCTGAAAGTTATAAATTAATTTTATGGAATCTTTTCAGAGAATATTTTGCGATTTATTCTTTTTATAAAGATGCAGATCATATTTTCATTGATTTTATATAGCATGAAAGTATAGATGCATGCATTCATATGTGTAATAATGTATTACTTTAGCACTTTAATCACAATAAAGAATAAATTTTTGTCAAGATAATACATTAACTTGATTTATTTAGTTAATTTAATGAGTAAATTAGTTTGCAAATGTAACTGAAAAGCAAACAAATCTATACTTCAAATAAACGTATATTGCTGAAAAGAATTTTATTACATTAATACTTGATAATACCCCTTATATCTGCAATTGCTTAGTAAACTTAAAAGCAGAATTCAATAACAGGAATTCTTTATTGCTGTACAGTAGATATATTTAAGTATAAAATAAATAAATAATGATGTAACAGAAATAAATATTTTGAAGTAGGTATTTAAAATATTGCATCTAAAAAATCTGATGACGTTTTTACGTTAATATAATTTCTTCCGAGAAAAAACTATTATCAGAAATTTATCACTTACTAATTATATGAATAAGTTACCAATATGAACTAGTAAAATTTCTTTGTTAATTTCAATTAATATTATCTATAATGTTGCCACTGTTCCCAGTATTGTGCAGTTTGCATTTCAGAAAGTCGTGACACAGTTCGATCGAAAGCAAAAAGTTCTTCTTCTCCAGTAAAAAGATTCGATTTATAATCATCCTGTTAATAATAAACATTTACGAAATAATATATTAACATTTAAAAACAAATTTTCATTATTCTACTTACTGAACCACGTGATATCTTTAAATCATCCATTAACATTCGTTTTTCATCTGTATATTCACTATCGCCTTCTGGTACAAAAAGTTTCGTATGTGGTACAGCTGCAGATATAACAACTCTCACCTAAAAAATTTTATTGATTTATGTAATGAATTTTTTTATTATTTTAACAAATTTAAAATTTCACTATTAGAAATAGTCTTACCTTGTTGTCATACAATGAATCAATTAAGGTAATAAATCTTCTAGTTTGAGATTTTAATCGAAAATCTAATTGTGGTACATCTCTTATGATAATCGTATGGAATATTTGACTTAACTTTAAATAATCACTGGCTCCAAGGGGCTATAAAAAAATTATATTGTGTTAAGAACCCAAGTTAATTATAAATTATTAATACTACTCATGAAAAAGAAATGAAATGTAGCTTACTCTATCACATAACTCTTCAAAGGTTGAATCCAATACCTGTCCACAGGTTCTTTCAAAACTAACGTTACGACCTCTTATAGAAAGAATACGCGGTCTCACAATATCATTTTCCATTGAGCATAAGTATTTAAATACTTTATCTACATCACTTACTGCATCTTCCCCTTTTCTACAATTAATTTCTTTATAAATATTTTTACATTTTTACTGTATGTTATATCTATGAATATTTTTTACATACATGAAGTAGATCTTTTCATCACTAAGTCCGTTTTTCAACCTGTAGTCTATACCCGAATCCAAAGAATGTATTATACAATAATTTTTTAATACTTGTATAAATGGAACAAAATTTCCTCTCTGTAATCCATTCTTATATAAATCATCAGGTGCTCTATTACTAGTTGCAAATACTATTACACCACGATCAAAGAGTTCAGTAAATAATCGTTTTAATATCATTGCATCTGCAATATCAGTTACCTATGATATATATATATATCTAAATTAATATGTGTCTTATTTTATCTTATATAAATGACTATATGCTTCATAGTTAAACCTGAAATTCATCAAAACAAAGTAACCAAGCTTCATCAGTAATAGTTTTGGCAACTGGTGGTATTGGGTCAAATGGTTGGAGTTTTGTACTGACAGTATCTCTTACAATAGTTTTTTTTACTTCATGTACTTTACTATGTACATCAGCCATGAAAGAATAAAAATGAACTCTCCTCTTCTTCTCAATCTGAAATGATATAGTTCAAACCAACTATTTACTTATTATTTTAATTAAAAAATTTAATTCATATATTCATTGGATATGAAATAAAAATTACAAACCTGACAACACTCATAAAAAAGATCCATCAACATTGTTTTACCTCCACCTACTGCTCCATAAAGATACAATCCTTTTGGTGGCTGTTTTCTTTTTCTTCCAAGCCATTTGTCCAACAGACTAAATTCTTCTGGCTTATACCCATTTATTTCATTATAAATATTTTCCAATGTTTTAGCAACTTCCATTTGATGTTCATCTTTCATTAATTCTCCTCTTGCTATTTTATTAGTTAGAATAGCAGCTGGTCCATGATTCATTTGGATAATATCATTAACATATCCGCAATTTTGTATAAGAACCACAGGTTGAAATCGTGACAATAAATTTGAAATATTATGGAATTTCTTAGGAAGTAAACAATTCATTGTGGAAAATGTCCTAAATTGAAGGTCATTTTTTATTACGTATTACTCATTACTTATGCGCGTATTAATCGTCAAATAAAGAAATATGCTTACCTTTAAAAATAAACAATTTACATATGTACATTTAATTTAAAATGTTAAACTAAGTAAACATTGAAAAATTCCCCATACATTCACTTAAAACCATCAACATATTCGATTTAATTTGTATTTGACAGATAGTCAAGCAATGTGCTTTAACCTTTATATTACGTACGAAAATGTATTACACATATCTGTACCTTAGAATAGAGCACACACACCAAGAAATTTAGAAAGATATAAAGTATAATATGCAGGTATATACATTGAATAAATGAATAGCATATTCGATGTATATGAATTCTTCTGTTACTTTCTTTATTGTAACATTACAATCGATACTTCTGTATTATTTTGATGGTAATAAAAGGAAATTTAAAATGAAATTGCATGTAGTTTTTGAAATATTTATCTATCGCGCGTGATCTCATGACGTAATTAAAATAAAATATGGAAGTATCCAATACCGCTATTCTTAATGATGATTTACAATAATCGTCGTTATACATAAAACCTTATTCACAAAGTTTGTTTTGTTTCATGAAAATTGGAATGAATACAATATTATCTATTTTAAATAACCATGTTGTAATTTAATTCAACCATGTTTTGTACAAACATATATGTATACATCTGAATATTTTGTATGAACTAAAGATTTCATTTACAGCAATAAACTGAAAGAGTCAGAATTTTAATAATTATGAATTGAAAATTAAGTTTTCAAATTTTTAATCGTAATGGAAAATTTTTGTACTATATGAGGGGCTATACAAAGGCAGTCTTCGTTTATCTGGGCTAATTCCTTCTCTCGACGAGTAATAGCGTCTTTCAATAACTTTATCGAAAAATCTACTTAATTTAACAGAAGAACTGGATCCAGCAGCTAATGACCTTACCTGACGGCAATCCTAAACAAAAAATATAGTTAAATAGTACTGATGCATAATAAGTAAGAAAAAAATGTAGCTAACATACCAAAAATATTTCATCAGCACCACATTCCTCTGCAATGGTAGAAGACCTTCTATGGACATTTGATCTTACTTCTGCAACTAAATCCAATTTTGTACCAACAACTAAGATTGGTATCTAGAATAATAAATTTTATTTATATAAAATGATACTGAATAAAATTAGTACACATTTATGCTGTCCTTGTTACCTGGGTAGATCCTACAAATTTTTCAGGATCAAAATCATCAAATGGTTTTGATTTTATATTATTATCTTTACTTAAAACTTCTTCAAGCCATTTTTGAAGATTCTGTTGTGATTTTCTATTTGTTAAATCATGCACTAATATGATACCTATTATATTATTAATAATTTTATGTTATTAATGTTATATCTTATATTTTTTAAAGTATTTACACATGTTATATTTATACCATTTGTAGGATTATAAAAAACGGATCTTGTGTTTTGATGATTTTGACTTCCACCAACATCCCACAATTCAACAAAATATCTTCTCTGATTAGGAGTTCCTTGTTTGTATTCATGTAATTTAACTTCTATTGAACAACCTATAGTCCATGAAGGATTACTAATAGGTTGTTGCTGGCATATTAAATGTACTAATGAGGTTTTTCCAACACCTAAAAATAATAAATGTTGTTAAAAAATGTTTCTTCAATAATTATATCATACATACCTATTAAGACTATAAAAATCCTATAACCTACTCATAAGACTTATTATACAAATCAGAATGATACAAAATGAAATGAAGTATACGATATAAATAAATTGAATAGGGTAATGTTATAGATCGTACTTTTCAAAACATAAACAATAACACGATGATCACGACAATAACAAAAAGTGAGAATCGTGTAAAATATATTCTTACCAGAATCGCCAACAACAATAATTTTAACTTTATCAATCGCAGCCATTTAATAATCTTTAGTAAAACATTTAGAAATGTATACTTGTTATTCCTTTCCTTTATTTCCCTTATTTATCAGATTTTCATTTGACAACTTCGTTTACTGTCAACATTTAACCTAGGAATAATTGAACTTATAAACAAGCATTCACTGGCAAAGTTCTCGAATATTTATCGTCATTTGACGAAATAATGAATTTTATCTTTTTGTTTTTTATTTTATTTGAGTGAATATATGCTTGATGTTATGCTATGTATTTTAATTTACTTCTACTGATATTAATACGACTTATTTTATAATAAAGGTATATACTATTTATGCGATTTTAAAGGTTAGTATCTTTTGTTACAGAATGAATTAGCTTTTGTAAACATGAATTTATTATTAATAATTTCTATAGGATAATTATAAGATTAATTAGATGGCATCAGTTTGTCAAAGTATAGGATGTAGCTAAATAAGTTTATGTAAATATTCTAATGTACTTGAACTTTATTTTACTTAAAATAAATGTATTTCTTTTTGAATAACTTTCAGTAATTTGGATAATATTTTAATATATACAATGACAAACAGAATGGGTGGTGAGGAAAGACTTGTTACAGAAGTTCCAAGTAGTTTGAAGCAATTAGCACGCTTAGTAGTACGTGGATTTTATACAATAGAAGATGCATTAATTGTTGATATGTTAGTTAGAAATCCATGTAAGTATATTGTTAAACTTTATATCATAATTTATTTTCTAAAGGCTGTGTTTTAACTAAAAATATATTACATTTTTATTAGGTATGAAAGAGGATGATATTTGTGAGCTTTTAAAATTTGAGAGAAAAATGTTAAGAGCTAGAATATCTACTTTACGTAATGATAAATTTATACAAGTTAGATTAAAAATGGAAACTGGGTCAGATGGTAAAGCACAAAAAGTTAACTATTACTTTATTAATTATAAGGTAAAATGTTATTGAAAGAAACTTGATTTTCATTAATGATATATTAAATAAATCATGTTATACATTTGTATTTTAGACTTTTGTAAATGTAGTCAAATATAAGTTAGACTTAATGAAGAAAAGAATGGAAACTGAAGAAAGAGATGCTACTAGTAGAGCTAGTTTTAAATGTACAAATTGTTTGAAAACATTTACTGATCTTGAAGTAAGTAAATTATTTATGGACATCACAGCAATGTTTCTCAAATTTTTTGAAAGGTAAATGGTACTTTGAGAAACATTGTTTTATTGTTTTACATAGAGATGAATTGTAAGATATTTATTAACATGATATAATGTAGGCAGATCAGTTATTTGATATGACTACTGGTGAATTTAGATGTACATATTGTCGTGAGATAGTGGAAGAAGATCAATCTGCCCTTCCAAAAAAAGACTCAAGGCTGTTATTAGCCAAGTTTAATGAACAATTAGAACCTCTTTATATTTTATTAAGGGAGGTAGAAGGTATAAAGTTAGCTCCTGAAATACTAGAACCAGAACCAGTTGATATAAATACCATTAGAGGGTGGGTGTTTTTAATTAAGCTATTAATGTTATAGGAAAATTCTAAATTATTTATCACCTTCTCTTTCAGTATTGATACAAGAAAACCAAGTAGCTTAAGAGCACCTGGTGAGCAATGGTCTGGTGAAGCTACTAGATCATCAGGTTTCCTAGTAGAAGATACCAGAGTAGATGTTACAATTGGTGATGATACTATTGATGATAGTGCAGCAAATAGAAGAAAAGAAAGACCAATTTGGATGATGGAAAGTACTGTTATTAATTCTGATTCACAGGTAAATTTCAGTTTAGAAATTGATTACTAATAATATTTTAACACTTGTTACTAATGATATCTATATTTAGCCTGATGGAATAAGTACACAAGAGAACATTTTGGATAAAGCTGCAGCCACTGCCACTAATACGACTACAACGAATAACAAGCAGGGTGAAGATATTATGTCTGTATTATTGGCTCATGAAAAGAAAGGAGGAACAAATGCAACAGCTGCTATAAAATCTGTATTACCTCAAGAATCTAGTGATAGTAGCGATAATGAAGAAGTCGCTGAAATGCAGACTATCGATACAGGTATGATTTTCATAAGCCATTTTAAAGAAACACTATAAAATGGTTATATGTTGAAGTACGTTTTTTATATTTTTTAGGAGAAGTGGAAACTATGGATTCGGAAGATGATGATCTTGTTCCAACAGTGACGGTTGCAGGAAAAACAGTTGCTATTGCGGATGTAAATGATGCATTAATTGCAGAAATGACCCCTGTAGAAAAAGAAGCATACATTCAAGCATATCAAGAATATTATTCTCATATGTATGACTAGACAGAATATGGTCAGCATTGTTAAGTAATCAACGATGCTTCGCAAGACTGAGTGATTACTGAGATTCTTGTAATATTTTGTATAGTCATAAAATAAACAATTCTATGGGTTTGGCAAAAATTTATTTTGATTCAATTTAAATAGACATGTATGTATATATAATGATTTATAATGAAATATAAAGTAAACAAACCCATAAATTCACATTTTGTAGCTTTTATATTTTTTTCTAACGTACAGATATAACTCAACAATGCCAGTTTGTAATAAACTAACATGTACAGACACGTTACAATCATGATAAATAAAAATTAATAGCATACATGTCACTTCTGGTAAGGCGGGAAAACTTTAATCTTAGCCAAATATAAATTATTCATTAAGCTTACTTAGAATCTTTTTTTTTTGTTCGTCCTTATGTGAATTTCTAACCGACCACCACCATCAGATAGAAATTCTAAGACGATATATAATTTTCATGTAACACTTTTCGCTTTTTTTTTTATATTTTCATCATTTTCTTTTATTTGCATAGACCAATGAATTACATTACGTATATTGTAATGTTTTACCTTCTGTACCTTTTTATTCTTCTTTCAATTATTTGACATATCTTACATCAAAAGAATCCTAGAATAGAAATGATACATTCTATACATATGCACATTACATTTTATTATTTTTCACTAATTCTGTTGATAATTCTATTGTATATTAATTAAATTTACTAAACTGTATTGTAAGTCCAAGATTCCTTTGAAGTAAATATTTGTCATTTTGAGAATGTTCTTTATTCTGGCTCGTTCAAACGTAAACGAGCAAAGTCTTCAAACACAATATTATCATCGTCGTCATTAGAATAACAAGAGTTTTCATAACGTGCTCTATCAATGCTCTTATTTTTCTTCAGGGTAGCCCTTTCTTTCTCTGCAGCTCCTGTTAAAGTAAAATATATTAGAAAACGTAATAACACATACCTAAGAATACATTATTCTATTATCATTATTAAAATTTATTTACCAGGAGCAGGATGCATCAACTTAAATGGAACATCTGTAACTAATTCACCACCCAACGTGCCACAATTTAATTTTACTCGTACCGAATAAGAAATAACAATACCCATAGCTTCACCAGGAGTTTTACCCTCAGCGACCATAGTTGAAGATGCTAGATTCACATCATCATCCTAAGATAAGAGTAAGAAAATAATTTAAAGTAAATATCAATTATACACCCTCGAATGATTTCTTCCGTACCTTTAAATGACCATCCAAAGCAATTCCTCGACGGTCCTTATTGCTGCTAGCTAAAGGTACAAGATAGAACTCTTTTGTAAAGGAAGCACCAGGGGTAATTGGGCAACCTTCTCGTGTTTCTAAGCTAGCCACGTGTCGAGAAAATTGAGTATTAACCATTGTCACTTCACAGTGTTGCACCACAAAAAGCTAAAAGATAGCGTATTTAATTTAATATTAAATAGTATTTTAAGTTCTATCATTATGTTATTATTATCACACTTAAATACCTTAATATTTTTTACTGCTTTTCGAGAGTTATTAGTAATTATAACGTTTGCAACTACTTTTTCTCCATGATAGTAGATCTCCCTGTCAAGTGTAACTTCAAGATTTAGTTTCCCTTGAGAGAACGTAAATCCTTTGGAAACTAAAGAGCTAGGTAATTTACGTCCTCTCGTAGGTGGAGCATATTGCAATTTCTTTATAGCTAATGCAACAGATGATCTTTTGTGTCCCTGAAAACAAATTATAATTTATTTTTACACACGTGTTACATTGTACTTAATTGATAGTTTATTTTAGATATTATATTACCTTGTCTTCTTCATGTTCACCTACATACACCTTGACAGTATACTCAACTCCCAATGGTTTGCCTTGATCATCATCACCAGGTTGAAGTGTAACTGAACTGGGAGAATTTTGTGGAAATTGAAATAAAAATGGATATGCATTTGCTCCAAGTCGTTTCAGAAGACGTTCTTGAATGGGTGTCATGTCCTGTTTTTCCTTTTTTATTGGAACTACCTGTTCACGACACAGAACAAGTTCCTTGCTGAACTTGACACCCATAACTTCATCCTCTTCGCGTCCATAGCGGAAAACTGTTGTTACCTGTACAATAGGTCAATGAGTTAGAGAATATCTTTTTTTATAAAATTCCACTCAATTTAAATAGAAGAAAAAGTTGTTGTACCTGTCCATAGACCTTCCTTCCTTGAAGATAATCATTTTCAACAACCACAATACCATCAATAGGATCTACACTATCTAAGTGATCAATGAAGTCTCTTTTACCAAGGTAAACTGTGACTTTTCCTATAACAATAAATAAGTATAATGAAATGCTTGTAAAACTTAAAAGAATATTTTTAATATTTCTTTTAGATCAATATGTTACTATTAAGTATAAACGCTTTACACATCATATTCTATTACATACCATTTGGGGTAGTCTTCTTGAATACCTTGATGGCTACAACACAAGCCAAAAACAAGAAAGGAAACATTTGGTACCTTTCTCCAATCAAATGAATTAATAGAAGTTTGTTTCCCGCCCAGAAGTGACAGTCTCTTAACATGAACAGGGAACTTCATATAGTCCTGGAAGGGCTTCTCGCTAGAAGCCATACTACTAATAGCATTATTTTATTACACAAGTTAGCTAATGAGATTAGAACAGACATATATGAATTTTGTTACGTGCGTTGCAGAACTGGCTCAGTACCTCATATACTTTCAGTCAAGAAACATGATGGAATTTAAAAGGAGTGCAAATCGTTATTGTAGTTTTTACAGTGTACGAACAACATTGTTATAAAAAATTTATAAAAAGTATTATAATAATTATGTTTATCCTATGTATATTTGTAAACAAAAATGCTTATTTACATTTATATACAATTATACATTCAATTGACACAATAGAGGCCAAAATAAAGAAATACGCGTGATCAGTCTTAATATTTATATTTATTTCAATAATAAGTGCTTACATAGTATAATATGGAGGTATTTTAATTGAAATCAAATCCCTTGAATGTCTAAGGAATCATTTATGCATATTTTTACACAATGATAAACAATATCCATGTTTCTCAAGTAGGTATTACTTATCATTGTTAATTAGAATCACTTGTATTCCTTTCTCCTTTCACATTCAGTAATCAATAAACAATTGATATATCATATTTATGTCATTGTGCAAACGCTATTTAGTACTGTTTCCAAATTGTTCTGGTAACTGAAAGACATCTTCCTTTTGGAAATAAGTAAGGCAAATGTTAATGCCCTTCCTCAAAATGTAAATTTGCAAGTAAGGAAACATTTGAAATATCTAAATCTCTTTTTAAATACAAAAAAAATAAACGCAAAAAAAAAGATAGATTATAAAAACAAATAATTATAAACTAAATAATTTTAAAACCAATAACAATATGTAATAAGTAGTAGAATTATTGTGATAAATATGTCTAATAATAGGCACAGTTAAAATATAGATATAGTATATTCATTATTTACTGTTTTATTATGCTACAGAAAGTCGTTGCTACCAGGGAACAGAAATATTTGCGAAATTTTATGAAACCTTTATTTCAAATACTTATTTTTGACAATATATTCATACAATGCTATAGACTATACGTTATCTTGATTTCTTTACAAATTTTCGTATTTGTATTTCGAACAGAAAAAATACTTTTGCTAAGAAAGAACTTGTAACACATACATAAAAGTTCATTTAAATGTAAGTAATTATAACAAATCAAAAATTTATCCTAAAATATACTGAGACATCAAAGATTCATTTCTTAATTTTAAACAAAAAATTATTTTGTGTATTTGCTGGCAATTTAATTTTATTAATTATATACGTTATTCAAGTTCGAACACTTCTATTTTGGGGGAAATGCTGCTTGCATTGAAAATTTATATACGCGAAAAGTATACACAAACAAAAATATTTCATACCCTGATCGTCAAAATAAAGCTTCCTACATACGTAAAAGTTATTCATCATATATTTTGTACAAATAAGATAAAATTCAATGAGAACAACTTTCCCCAACATACTATTTAATGATCTTTTTCATATTCACAGTGCTTTCTGCCAAGAACTTCAATGTATGTTTGTACGCTTGCTTTACAAGAGTATTTGCATACAATTGAGCAACATTTAATACAATGTACCATTAAATCAACAAAGAGTTATTTGTATTATTTGATATTATTTTTAACATTTTTTGTTATAACGTGCAAGAAATGAACATTTATCTAATTTTAATGAATTACGCGACGTTACAGAACCCTGTGCAAGTCAAGCTCTCAACTTCAAGCATAGTCATGCACTGTGTATAACTTCTGTACGTATTAATATTTGTACACAGTTATAATCTCGGTACAGTTCCCTGATACCAGCGTATTTCTAACATCAGACAGTACAAATATTGTTAGTTTCAATAGTATACACTGTAGATTTTTGTAGTATGCTGTTTACTGCAAACCTACTAAACTTACATTACTAATTTTTTTCTTTTTTTTATCAGACACGTTTTTTTTTCAATGTAAATCATAGTATGAATTTTTTTAATGATATTTCCTTGAACGAGGTGGTGCTGCATACCATGAATTAAATTTCAAGCAAAAATTTATCTCACACAGTAGAAATCTACAATAGTAAAAAAACTAATAAAAATCTGATCACATTAATAGAAGCCTCTTTTTTCATAATTATTCTATATAGTAAAGATCAAATGTCATTAGCATACACATATATTCTCACCTAATATTCTTCACAGAAACATGACCTTATAAATAAGAATCTTGTTTTAGGATAGATCTAAAATACAGAAATCATTAAAATAAAATATTCTTTAAAAAAAAAAAGTTTTACTTACAACTTGGCGCAGCTGCAGATTCAAATCTTTTTTGTATCTGATCATAGGTAAATTTAACAAAAGCATCATATTGTTCAGAGAGCTTCATATTCAAAATCTGATCATATTCCTCTCGAATCTGTGTTTCTTGTTCCTTAAGCATACGTTCACAGATCAAACCAACCTATAACATTATTTAATTAACAGTTTTCAACTCATTAACTATGGGCCCATTAAATAATGAATGATGTATACTTGTCTGAATGTAAATAAGGGTTTTTCTTTTCCACTAGGGCTATAACTATATGAATTTGAACCACATGCAGATGGGCTTGAAGGACTAGCAGGACCCTCCATATCTGAAGAATCACCACCATTGTTTTGTGGACTAAAATGCAACTGTTTGCGTCGATGCAGTCTCCGAATCTCTTCTCTTATATTGGCAGCCATTTTTTCTATATACAAAAAATATTATATTTTCTTACAAAAACTGTGACTTCAATGACATTGACACTTGGTCAATAAATGAAGAATTTAATTTATAGAAATTCTATAAATACACAAGTATCTCAAAGTATAGAATAAACATTAATAAAATTACATTTATTATAACATATTTTATAAATATTTAAACATAAACTGAAATAACAATAATAACATTTTTAATCAACATTTTCAGATAATTTATTTAAACAATGTAAAAGCTACAAACAATTTTTGAAAGTATAAACATATTTTAAAATAATGACAAAACATTAAATTAATAAGAAAAAGGAGGGTTCATTCTTAATGTCCGTTACTACATTACCATATGATTTACGCATCTCCCCCTACCAAAACGCCGCACCTTCCCTCCCCCTTTAAACGTTGTGAATTTAAGTTTTAAATCGCTAAAACGATCTAGCCCTCCCTTCTCTGTCATAATGTGGTAAGAAAGAACGAAATGGAAAAAAGAAAAATTAAAAATGGCCGTGGCTTATAGCAATTACCAGGGGTAAGTTTATGGGTTACTTCGCCAAAAGGCGATGGATTTTGTGGCCTGGAATTGGCTTGCGTTGATGTACCGGGAGAGACACACATTGGTACACATCTTCGTCGTTTACTAGGGCGACCATGACTATGCACCGGGTCGAACTCCAAAGATCTCTTTAGAGTGGCGCAGGCCATTTCTCTCGTTTACCGTCCTGTTCACGACTGACACCCAAATTATGGGTTTAGCCCGCGAGTAACGATGATTATGCCGAAAAATACAGCAAAACCACCGTATACGCGCACTGTCTGAATAGATTCTCTAACTGCACTCTAGTTCTTCTGACTTCCTTCGTGCTGATCTCCTCGGATTTCTTCGTACTTTGACTGAGCTGCACCAAAACAAACACTGCGGTAAAACAATATGGCTGGCAACCACGGTTTGTCGGCTAGGAACAACCACGGAACGAATGTCTCAACCATCAAAGCACCATCTTTTCACTGGGCACTGCTTGCATTCCGAAATGTATACGTCGCAGACTCAACTAACCCGAACCCTTCGTTTCTGATTGGTCAATAGGTTGCAAGGTGGCGTCTCTGCATTTCCTCTTTCTGACGTATTTTAATTGAAGTGCGAAAATTAAAGATTTCAATACTGAAATTTTCATTCTTCTCAAAACCGCAGTATTTGATATGCATTTATTAGAATTTTAGGATCAACGTAAAACTAATTAATCATCTGACAAAAAATGGATTCTTTTCGAAATAAATGTCGTATACGTATAAAACGTAATAAGTTGTTTGTTGAATAAAAAAGTTATCAATTCTTGCATTACTCGTGGAATCTTCTTATTTTATTTATATGACATGCCTTAGCTAAAAGATTTCAAATACTTAGGTTTATTAAAGTCACTGTTTACATAATTAAACATTTCTTTTGCCATTAAATTTGAAACGTTTCTCTGAAACGTATGTTCCCTGACACGTATTGTTATGAATATTACGTTTGAAATAACACACTGATAATTTCGAATAGTTAATTAGCTTTTAATGTTTCAATGTATTATCTTCCGTTATAGTAAAGTATTTAATAATTATGTGTCAACGATGGGCAATTTTACAGGTTTGTGAAAATAATTTGGATCTTCGTTTAAAAACGATTTCGTAAAGCATGCGCATAAACTTCTACCTTCTCTCTCTCTATTCACTTGGGGAATTTTAAGCGGTGTCAAGAAGAATTCTTACGCCATTCTATATTTACCATTTTTACTGAATTGTTATACGTTTTATCTATTTTCTTGTAGCCCGTCCAAAGAAGCGGCGAACAATGACAACAGTAAGTCCTGTGGTAATAGCAGCTACAGCTAGACATACAGCAACAGTAAGTAAAAAATATGTTTCTAAAATATTTCTTTCTTGGTTATATCTGATGGAACATGATTTTTAATTAATTATAAGTTAATTATTGCTGACATAATTTCATTCTACAAACATTAAATGCCAGTAAAATACTTTTTTCTATTCCTGTTCAAATGTTGTATGATACTTATATTTTGTCTAAAAGTAATTCAATATTAGATATTACTTTTTATGACACACATACTGTTACAAAATATGTCCATAAGGACTAATTTTATTAGTTTTACATAACACATTATTTCTGTTTCAGCTTATATTTTTTCATGGGCTAGGTGATACAGGGTAAATAATATATTGTTATGTAATAAAATTATAATAATACAATTTTGTGTCTTACATTTGTTTTATTTGTTTTGCAGGCATGGTTGGGCTAGTTCAATGGGTGCAGTAAGATCTCCTCACATTAAAGTTATTTGTCCAACTGCGTATGTATATTTAGATAAAAAATCACCAAGTACTAATAAATGAGAATATTTAGTAGGTTTTTTCAAAATCAGTATGTCATTTAGTTCTATTGTTTTAGGCCTACAATGCCAGTAACATTAAATGCAGGATTTAGAATGCCTTCATGGTAGGTGATACTTATGGAGCTCCTATAGGTCATAAATGTATGAGTAACTTACTGTACTAGTGAGAAAAAATAATTGATATGTTAATAAATTTAGGTTTGATTTACGATCTTTGGAACCAAGTGGACCTGAAGATGAAGAGGGTATCCGTAGAGCTGCAGAAATGGTACATACTTTAATTGCAGAAGAAGTTGCAGCTGGAATTCCTACACAACGTATTGTTCTGGGTGGTTTTAGTCAGGGTGGTGCTCTTGCTATATTTAGTGCTCTCACATTTCCAGAACCTTTAGCTGGTATTATAGCTTTATCAGCTTGGATTCCATTGCACCAAAAATTTCCTGTTGTATGTATATTTACATTATTATAATACATTTGATAATACATGAATATTTATAACATTACATATTTTGTAGGAAGCAATAGGAAATAAAAACACTCCATTGCTACAATGTCATGGTGATTGTGATCCTATAGTGCCGTACAGATGGGGTCAATTAACTGCATCTGTCCTAAAACAATTCATGACACAAACAGAATTTAAAACTTATAGAGGAATGATGCATACATCTTGTGATGAGGTAGGAATAATACATATTATTTCAAATTCACTACAATTTCAGGAAGTAAAGATTGCTTAAGTATTAGCAAGATTTTTATATTCTAACACCTCAGATAGTAATGTTATGGGCATTCTTGCATTAATTTATTTATTAATGATTGTTACTTCCACAGGAAATGCGCGACATGAAGAAATTCATCGAAAAAGTTTTGAAGCCGTAATAGTTATATTAAATATATATTAATGTTTTAAATATTAACCTTATTACTTTATTGTTCTTTATTAAAAATGAATTACTTCCAATTTTACTGCTACTTAATTCTAGCGCTTGATGAAGTAAAGACAGCAGTAGGTGAAAATGTTTAAAATCCTGAACAAAAATCATAATATTAGTATAATATTATTTGGGGTAAATACTTTTTTTTCGTTACCATTTATGTACATTATAATGAATTTTGTCTGTTTTAAGATACCAAAGCCGCTATTATGATACTTCCAGATTTTACTTTTATAATACATATTAGCAATTTTTGACATTTGTGTACCTTATTCTAAATGCTTTATTATGTAAAAGGTAATGATACTAAAGAGTAATACATTACCTTGAATGCATTTTTTTTAGAAGTTTAAGTAACGTTATTTTATTCAGATTATAATACTTTGTTTAAAATGAAATCACTTGGAATTAATAACATAAAGAGAATGAACTAATTAACAAGTAATTTATTTTTAAACAAAGTTGCCGTCTCCTAATAGATGTACTAATTCTAGTTGGTTTAGTTCTGGTTTAACAGCTTCCATAAAAATTTTCGATGCTAGTATATTTAAATAAAAATCTTAATTTGTATATTATAGTGGTTACAAACTTTTAAACATTCTTTATAATTTGTACATTTTATATACGTTATACGTCATGTACAAACACTGCTACTTAAAAAATGACTTTTGTAGAGATGTTGTCTAGAAGACAGTAATATGGTCGTGTAATCTGTGATTACAAAATATAGTTTTAAAAACAACAAACTTGGTACTTCTTGATAGATAGCATATCATAAATGCTAATCGTAAAAAAATACGTATATCAGGTATGATACCATTGGCAAGTGTATAGTACAGGATTGCTACTCTTCCAGTACTTGTTTTAGATTTAATTAAATGTTACTATTAAGAACAGAAAGGATTATCATCATTCATCAAAAAGTATTTAAATGAAAAGCAATACTAGTGATGTAATAAAACATAAGAATGATCATTTGTAACATTCACTTGTATTATTAAAACAGAACAAATCATGCTCATTACACAATTATTTTTCTTTGTTTAATACTTTGTACGAAAACAACTGATTGTGTAATTGATTTTTCCGTAATAGTACTATCTTTCAGAGCAAAACTATTATTTTCTTTGTTGCATCTGAACTTCCCAACTAAATGAAAGTACGGCTGTGATTTAATATCCAGGCTATCATATGATAGCCTTATTATTTAGTTATTGAAATTCAGTTAAATAATTTATTCTTCTGTAGAGTATGATAAAAAATAAAATAACATTCAATACTATGAAAGTATCCTTCATTAGTATGTCCATTATTTATTTAAATTCTTAATTTATGATAAAAAATGGTTACTATATTTGTCTGAATAAATTTGTTGTTGTTATTATCAACATTCGCATGTAGATTAGCAAGTCAACTGCATTGTTGCACTTATCAAAGATAACCATAAAGCGTTTCAATACCCTCTGTTTGTATTCTGCAAAGGTTATGGTTTTACTCGATATTTTATCATACATAATTAATAAATAACAATTCGTAAACACGTTTTAATTACTCGTGGAAGTATAATTGTAAGAAAAATTTTTAATCAATTCCATGTATTTAAATATTGTTTGGTGAAATACATTTCTGTATGCATATTGTTAAGGTATCATAAGGAATAAAATACAATCTGTTTATTGGTCATATAAACGCTTTTTACGTATTTGTATTATTCTTCAAATCAGAAGAACTAACTTTTTTATATCATGGAAAATGATGATATTCTAAGTTTTGCAGAAAATGGAATGTTAAAAGTGATACTAAATCAACCAAGAAAAAAAAATGCTATTACTATTCCCGTAAGTTGTTTTTTTCTGTAATAATAAACATACTATAAAAATATGTTTTAAATATTGATTATGTACAGATGTATAAAAAGTTGATGCAAATTTTACATGATTCTATTCAAGACGATAGCCTGTATGTAGTAGTTTTAACTGGTACTGGAACTTTTTTTAGTAGTGGAAACGATTTCAATTCTTTACTAACGGAAGTAGATAATCTTGATCCCGAAGATGTTTCAAATATTTTTAAGTACGTGATTACATATTTGTTAGTTGTTTGAATTCTTTCGTGTATCTAAACTAACATTATTTTTTAGAAAATTTGTGGATACATTAATTTCATATCCCAAACTTTTAATAGCTATTGTAAATGGTCCAGCAATTGGAATTGCAGTAACATTCCTTCCATTATTTGATATGGTGTATACCACGGATACGGTAATATTTATCTGTAAAAAAAAAATAATTTATTATATTTAGTAATCTATAAGGACTCTATAAATACTCATACAATATTACAGGCTTACTTCCTAACACCATTCACAAACTTAGGCCTTTCTGCAGAAGGATGCTCTACATATACATTTCCTAAGATATTTGGGCATTCCAAGGTATTTAAAAATCATTATTTTACTTGTGAATTTTTACTTGTAACTTTTTTTTAGGCTGGTGATATGTTATATTTGGGTTATAAAATGTCAGCTTTTGAAGCTAAACAATATGGTTTAGTTAGTGAAGTATATAAAGAGGGATGTATAGACGAAGTTTGGACATATTTAAAGAAGTTATCTCAACTTTCATCAGAAGTATATTTCAATATAATTTGTTTTTATGTAAAATATAGATGGTATAATTATTTTAAATAAACTAATTCTTTTTCAGTCAATACTTGCAACTAAATCCTTAGTTAAAAGATGGAATGAAAAAGTATTGTTGGAAGTTAATGTTGAAGAATCAAAGGAACTTTTAAAACGTATACAATCTTCTGATTTCTCAGAGAGAATCATGAATATGCTATTACACAAAAACAAACTTTAAACATTTCTTAATATAATTAAGCTAATATAAAAACTTTTATTTGTTTATTATAGAATTTTTCATTATAAAAGTTATGTTATTAGATATTTCTAATAGCATAGCTTCCTAAAAAATAATAAAAAATAATTATTATCAATATTTCATATCACAGTTTAATGTTAAATCGTTCTTACTTGAAGTATTTTATCCGGAACTGGCTGCTGATAATGTTCCCATTTTGAAAGTTGGTTAATGGTTAAATTTGGCAGAGGTGCTTTACTGTTTAAAAGAAATTGATATTCCCGTTCATTTTCTTGATGTAACATTTGAGGTGCCTTTTCTATTTTATTACAACCATTACAAGAACATTCCATCAAATCATGTGTTAAACAATTTGTATCTGTTGTTAACGTAAATAAATCCTACAAATTTTGTAATGATTGTTAATATTTTGTAAACTACAAGTGTATATATTTTTAATGAACAAACCTTTAATTCAGTCATAGATAATTTAAGAGAAGCAAAACTATTTGAGTCCACTACAGTTTCGCTTAATCCTGCTTTACTGATTTGTCTTTGAAAAATCTTTTCTTCAATTGTGCCTGCTGTTAGTAATCTACATATTTTTTACAATATTATGAAAATGCTTATAAATCGTTTTTACAGTTATTAAAAATTTAAAATATTCGAACCTTAATATATAAACATCTTTTTTCTGACCATCTCTCCAGATTCTTGCCATAGCTTGAGAATCAGATGCTGGATTCCAATCCGAATCAAACAGTATAAGTCTAGATGCCCCAAATAAGTTTAGTCCAACTCCACCAGCTTTTGCACTTAGTAAAAATATTTCTATAAAAATTACATCAATATTAACAAGGTGTTACGAGTTAAATATTTCACGCTGTTAATTGTATGTACTAACTATTGTTATCATTCTTTGAATTGAATCGTTCGATGATCTTAGATCTTGTTGTAACTGGTGTACTTCCATCTAATCTAAGGAAGTGCAAGCCTTCTGCATTACAAACAGTTTCTAGTATGTCTAGTGTTTGTGTGAAGTATGAAATTAATACCAATTTTTCGTCTGTATTTTTTAAATTTTTCATCAACGTGTGTACAAGCGAAATTTTTCCACAATATTGTGTTTTCGACATATTTGTATAATTATTTATGTCAGGGGTTCTACTTAAATTTTTTAAATCATTATGCAGAAACTCATTCTTGTCATTATAAAATAATTTCGGATGATTACAAATTTTTTTAAGAGTCGTTATCACCGTTAAGTGTGGTATATTATTATTTGGTAGTATACTTTTATTGAACCATGTATCCGTAACTAGCGAATACAACTTCTCTTGTTCTTTTGATAAACGACAAAACACAATTAATTCGTGTTTGGATGGTAAATACTTATTAATTATTTCTTGTGTCCGTCTTAAAATAAAACATTTTGTTTTTTCGTGTAATTCACTGGCCCTTTCAGTTCCCAGAGATACAACACTATCTGGTGCGTGAGGACATCGTGATGCTACGATAGGATTTTCATAATAATTTTTAAAGTCATAATTGCTACCCAAAATACTGGGATTTACGAAATTAACTAAAGCAAAAAACTCTTGTAAATCATTCTGTATTGGAGTTCCAGTCAATAGAATTCTTCTTTTGCAATTCATGTTATTTAAAATCTAAAACAGTATAATATATTGATCCTACTGCTTTATGTTTTTTTAAATAATAATTCTTAATTTTACCTTTGCTGCTTTTATATCATTGTTTTTTAATCTGTGTCCTTCATCACATACAATTAAATCAAAATTTATTTGTTCAAGTTCTTCTTCACACCTAATAAGCATATCATAACTAATAATTATCACTGAATTCCTTGCCTGTTTTTTGAAGTCTTTTGGCTTGTTTTTGGCATTTACAACATATGGACAGAGTCTATGAAAGCCCAACCAATGTTTAAATTCTTTATTCCAATTATTACACAGGCTACTAGGAGTTACTATTAGTACATTTTTTAATATTGGTTTTCCATATGGTCCTTTCTTCAATAATGTCCAGATAAGTGTAATACATTGCAATGTTTTGCCAAGACCCATTTCATCAGCCAAAATTGCACCATAGTAATTGCATGTCTTTAATCCCATGATACATTCATATAAAAATATAATACCGTGACGCTGATGTGGTCTAACTACATTTACTAAACAAGCATCTACAGATACTTCTATTTCATTTTCTGGTGTTTCATCTTCCATCCAACTTTTTGAAGCATAAATAGCAGGCATTACCAGTGGATCATATATCAATTTCAACCCTTTGATACAACATCAATGTTAATATTGTTATAATATTATAAAGTTTGACTTTTATAAAAATTTCTGTCATAACAAACCTTGTTGTAATAAATTAAATGGAATGTATGGGCCAGAATTTGTAGACTTGAATTTCTTTTTAGGTGGTTCTGGAATAGTTTCCTTGGGAACTTCATTTGATATAGATTTTGTACATAATACTTTATCAACTATCTGTGAAACATGATGTATTAATTTCATATGCCAGCAATTTATATGTATTTGCTTATACCTCAATTTCCTTATTTCCCATATACATTCTAAAACCTTCTACTAGAATTTTTGGATTAACTACACTTGTATGAATTACATTATCCTCTGTATCCTATAAATGTATAATGTAAAACTACATAATCTGTCCATTGACTTAGTAATCTAGAATTATATATAGCCTACTTGGATGTATTACCTTTAAGATTGCATGTTTTCCCTTAACTTCCAAAATTCCATCATCTTCCCATTTTTTATGTTTCCTTGTTGATTGTTTACCGATTACTACATTAAAAAACCTAAATAGAAACATAAACAATTAAATCAAATTATTATTGTAATATATCGACATTAACATACAAACATTTTTTCAGCAGGTGTAGCTGAATTTTCTACATTAGCTGAATTATCCTTGTCTTTGTTTGTGCTGATCACATCATTTTCTTTCTGTATTGTTGTACAGCTTTGTTCAGGTCTCTTTAATAGATTAAGTATTTTCGTAGTACTTCTAACAGAAGTTTGCTCAATATTTTCTGGCAATTTATTATCATTTTCCACATTTTCTTTTGATTTAGTACCTGTTGATTGTTGGTGTTTTAAGATGGATTTAAAATCTCTGATTCGGCTATTACGATACATAATAAATGCGTATATATATATATAATACTTTATTGAAGATATTTTACACTTAAAATATATAATAATATGATATCGAATGATATTAAATGAATTGTCAATACAAATTTAAGATCGTTGTGGTTTCGTCTGAGGTTGATCTATTTGTAACTTAAGAGTGAAATCTGTGTTCCCGCGTTAAAGGACGAGTTCAAAAAGAATGTATTTTATGTATAATCATTTGAAAAAATCATATTTTACATATAGAATTACAAATAAAATAAGTTGGTAAGGCAATAAAAGAAAAGTTTAATCTTGTAATGACATAAAATAGCTTTACAAAATGTAATTCTTCAAGAATATTTTTCGTTATTGTTAACAACCTAAAGGTTGTCCTCATGAAGCATTAATATATGCCAGTGTGAATGCATGTCTGTATGTCCTATCTAATTTGTGAATGTATAGTATGTAGTAGTAACTTACGTATCATATTTGTAAAATTTCACAGTGGAAATGTTTGCACGAGCATAAGTATGCATCGTTAAATTATTTCAATTTTGAAGGATAAGATGTTTCCAGAAGAATATGGTGCTTCCAAATAAGGTAGGTGGAAAGATTAACGCGTATAAACAATAAATTCATAAACAAACAAAAACACTATAATTTATGTGGTCTTTTTCAGAGGTTCTATCATAGATGAAGGAATTAATTTGACGAAGTCGTAAAATCATCTTCGACAAACGAACGAAAAAGATGTATTGCCTACAGTGGTTAATTCCTGTGTTGCTGATACCAAAGCCAGTAAATCCAGCTCTGCTACAAACTTATCTTATGTTTATGACGCTTTATTTAATTGGATTCTTCCTAGAACGAAAACCATGCACTGTTTGTAGTTTAGTATTTCTTGTCGCAGTTTTACTGAATTGTTATAGTGGTACTGGTAATTGTATACTTTGGAGCACAAATTGTGATACAGTGAAATGTGACAATAGTTAAGGTTATTAGAATATTCATTTTAGATTTAACAATTGTTTTTACCTTCATTTTTGTTTTAGAAGAATATATCTAATTATTTATCAATGATAACTATAACTTATTAATAAAATTTATACATCTGTGTGTACGCATACACGTATGCATGTATGAATTTTGTTATGTGTACATAAATATGACTCTTGATTCAATCATAACTCCTAACAATTTTTGCAAATGATATGTGTATTTATATATGTGCATACATTAGTATGTATGTACATGTATATATACTCACACTCATCTTTATTCATATAAGATGTAAGGATATACAAAACTACTAGGCCATAAAACATTTTGCATGAAACTAAGAAACTTCCTTGCATAAGATCATTACATTTTAAGTTTGAAAGATTATTAAGATATATTTTTTTGTAGATATATTTAAATGTAATTCCATTTACTTTGATCTTATTGTCTGATTATACAGTGTACATAAAATTATTTTTGATCTAGAGAATTTGATTTTCTTTATGTATTGTATACTTCGAAGTTAAGATATTTACTAATTACTTAATTAAAATAAATGTTTGCTTCACAAATTTTATAAGCAATATTTATTGTTACTTGAGTTTAAATTGAATGTTCTTTCACTTTGTGAATAGTCTTCGGATGTAATGATTATGTACTAACTGCCAATTTTATTGAATTCAGAATCCAGAATAAGCTTAATTACAGTTATTTAAAATATTCTGGACAATTAATTGAGCAATATAACTATAAAGTTTATTGATGCAATATGAAGTTTTAAGGATGTAAGATTAGGATACATATTAAATGTGACAAGCAATAGAAAAGCACATTGTGCTAAAATGTAAAGATGAAGCTAATGAACTCTAAAAGCATACTGATTATATGCTGAGTTTGAAAACTTTTACCTTGTTTGTAAAATGATTGTATATTTATTTTATTAAGCATAGTAAATAGAGGAAATTTAATACATTAGTTCAGAATTCTGTACATAAGTTATTAGTAAATGTATCTTTCAGTTCAGTGCAGGTATTAGTATTTTATTACAACAATGGAAGAAATATACAAAATGTTGCTACAGCAATTAATTAGAATACTATTAAAGAATTGTATGTTTCAAATAAGTATAAAAAGGAAGCCTACAATGTACTGCCAATATGTTTAAATTTATCATTTGAATCAATAGGCAAAAATACAAAAAAATGCTTTCTTAATATAGTAAAATAAATGAAAATTATTTTAACATGAATACATATCTGTGATGTTTGGAGTTCCATGCATACATGTCTTGTCAACAACAACATATGTACCTACAGTAAACTTATAGTTTCTCAGTCTTAAAATTGTAAATGAATTGTTTACTACTTGCTTCCATTTATGATTTTTAATGTTAATAATAAATGGAATAATCATAAAATTTGTAAGTAAATGTACATTTGTATAATGTTATAGGAAAGAAACTATTATACATAATTATTACAGCATACTTGTTTTAACTTTTTCCATTTATCTCATTAAGATTTATTAACAAATAGGTAAGATTAATAATAAAAGCAGAGAGGAACAGTGCTCATTTGTTGTAAACGCGAGCTCTCATTAGCGGAAGGAAGTGACGTAATGAGTCAGACCTGCGCACATTGTCGGTAACGAAGATTCTGATTGGTCAAAATTGGATGGCAACTTCCATTGGTGGAAATTTAAAATTGTCGTCCAAAACTTTAATACTAAACGTTTACATCATAAATACACAAGAAAAAGCTGCGTAATATATCTTTTCAACTTCCTTAAAATACCCATCTCGCTTTAAATATTAGTTGTTTGTAATTAACTAACGAATAAAGAGAAATATTAATTTTTTGTGCTAATATGGAAATCTATGCGTTTTTGCATATGCTAAATAGTTCTATGCAGTGATAAATATGTACAGTATAGAAAAGGATGAATGAAATAATAATACTATTATGTTAGGAAAGATTTATTTATTTTACATTAAAATATTATTGTGGTTTACCACGGCCGAAACCACCGCGGAATTCAACATCGCCGGTACCTGCACCAACATCAGCTTTTTTATCACCAGGACCAGCTGGTCCTCCAGGTCCTCGTCTATATCCAGCACGATCTTCTGTGGGCCTAGATGCTTCACTTCTTGCACCTGTTGCAGGTCGCGGCCTTGTTGTTTCTGACCTCGTTTGTCTCTTAAGGGTTGATGGTACAATTTCTGGAGGTAAATGCAAATATCCGCGCAAATATTCAATGCCTTCGTTCGTCAAGTACCAATAAAAATGTCTCCAAGCAAATTGTTCCTTCACATATCCCCTAGATTTCAAAGACTAAAAACAGAAACTTAGTTTTAATAACAGAATCCATTAAATAATGAGTTAAAAGATGCATAAATAGTTACCTGCATTGCTTTGATAACTTGAAGGTTTGGAATAGATTCCAATTCTGGATGTTTTGGTGCATGGTAATCCTTTTTTGCAACCATAACTCCTTCTTTAAAGAGATATTCGTAGATTGCTACACGATTCTTTTTTGGCATCAACATCCTAAAAACAATAAAATACTGATATAGAAATCAATTATCATTATTCTACATACAACTAATCATCTGGAAGTAAACACAAAAACAGAAGGTTCATTGATCATAATATTACACGATGTAATATGATGTAAAATCAAAAATAACGAAACAAGTTTATAGGTTATAAAACACCTTTGCAACTTCAGCACTTTGCAAGAAGAATAATCAACATTTTTAATATAAAAATACTATCTTCATAACAGTTACTACAATATTTGAATCCAATAGAATAATACATATTTGTATTAACAGCGAAAGAACAGAAATATTCTTTTAGGTTAAGTCTATGGTGTCAATGTTGTTAAATACGATAATAGTTGAAAATATTAATCATATAAAGGTTCTTCAATTTCGCAAAGGTTACAGAATTTAACAAACCTTCTACTTTTTTATATAATACAAATATAAAAATGATTAAAACAGATTCTGTGAGAAATTTAACATACTTGACGTTTCAACGCAAGCCTTTTATCGGAAAGAAGCTTTTCCTCCATTCGATATTCCACATGCACGAATCGATATATCGCTCGAGACTAACCGGAAGTAAGGATCGTTTAGTGAAAATAGTTGTTCAACATTTTTAAAAATGTTAGTTATATATAAATTGTAAAATAAATAAGCTGTTTTATTATACTTTGTAGTTATTTTAATACAGCACAATATATAATAGTAAAAAATTAAATTAATGGAATAGCAAATTTACATGACATTTTGTCATTAAAAAAAGAATTTAGCACGTATGTATGTACAAGAATGTTAAAGATTCGTCGTTCTACATGGAAATTTAAAGGTATGGTAGTTTTCTTTATGATAATAAAAAGTTTCATTCACAATAAAATTGTCAAACGAGTGTCTGATCTAGGCTTTTTCGATGTTTTAAAATAGAATCTGTTAACACAGGCGCCGTGGCGCCTACAAGATTCCAAAACGAAACATAAAGATGGAAAAAATTAAATGTATTTCAAAACAAGAACAAGAACAAGAACTACGCGATAAATTTATAAAATTACATATCATGTAAACGTCTTTAATATTTCTTGTTTAAAAAATCGGAATGCTGAGACGTATATTTTTCCGTAATTGAATTGAAATTTTACAGATCGTGTTGATTTACATAACATTATTATGTTGATGTTAACGTAGGCTTAAAAAAATGCGTCAGCTGTAATCGTCAGAAATATAGTTGTTGAGTGGGTGTCAAACGAATACGCCTATCGTCAGTAAAAAATCATGGTGAGGTAAACAGACGGTATGTATTCTGCGTAATTAATAACTGATGAATAATAAAACAAGAACTATAACTTTAAACAAATAATATTTTAAATTTGAATGTAATTTGCTTCTTAATTTTTTTTACTTTTCAGATGGAGTAACTTCAAGAAATATGTAATTACATGTTTGAAAATCCAATTCTCTCTTACTTTTGTACAATATGGAGCTTTTAATACAAATATTTTTATTTGTTTTGAATCATTATATGTATATTGATTTCATTGAAAGATTTTGTTAAATAAGTTATATACATGTTTATAAAGGAAAGTTTAGTTAATTGTAACTTACTATAAATTAGTTCTGTTACAGTATTGTACATATAATGTATTTTAATTATAAAAAAATATAGAGCATTGATATATTATTTTATAAAGATGCATTTCTCTATACCAGATACACAAGAATTTATTGATACAGCTGGTAATACCTATGTGGTAATTATTTTTACTATGTAATATTTTATTTTTGTTACAATACATTCATGTATATTTATTTTAATTTTAATTTTGTAGGGTTACAATATCCATATAAATGGTTTATTTCATTGTACAGTGAGATATAAACAACTACATAGTCTTCATGAGCAATTGACAAAGGATTTAAATATAAGTCTTCCATCGTTCCCACCAAAAAAATTTTTTCCTTTAACAACAAATCAACAAGAAGAACGTCGTTTTTCTTTGGAAAAATATATCCAGTCAATTGGACAAAATGCAGTGGTTAATAATTCAGGAATGTTAAATGGATTTTTATTGAATGCTCAACAAGAAACTGTAGGAGGACCGTGCAATGATGAAGTTATGGATATTTTTCTCATGAATGGCAGCAAAATAATAGTCAATGTTTCCACAGGAGATCATTCTAGTAATGTTTTAAGGGTATTTTTTTTTATTTTAAAAACTTATATCAAAATATATGTTATATAAGGTAATAAGACTTAATTAATGTTTTTTTTTAATAGAAAGTGTGTCAACATCTTAAACTACCAGACCAATATCATTCTTATTTTGCATTATTTATTGTTGCTCAAGATGAAGACAATAGTATTTATTGTGAGTCTGCTTTCATACTACTATATTTTACAGTACTATATACAATTTTTGTTAATTTTTCTTATATATATTATTTTCAGTCTTGAGAAAATTACAAGATTTTGAATCCCCTTTTATAACAAATAAACACATGCATGTTATAGGAAGTAGAGTTGTACTTGGGAGAAATTACTGGGATGTGGGGTATGATGTTAAACTAATGAATAATTCAGTGGCAATGAATTTGTTATATATACAAGCAGTTGCAGAAGTTCAAAGAGGCTGGATTCTTGTTACAGATGAATTGAAAAATCAATTAACTACATTACAAAATTATGAAAAGAAAAGAGAAGTATGTTTAAAGACTTGCTATAGTTTGAGAAACAGAGATACTAATAATCATGTTACATTGCTGTAATCTTTAAACAATGTTGTTTTAGTATGTGGATTTAGTCCGTAGTTTAAAATACTATGGTTATATTCAGTTTGCTCCATGCCTCTGTGACTATCCTCGTTCAGATACAAAAGTATTAGTTGCTATAGGAAGAAACGAATTGAATTTGCGTATATTATCTGATGAAGGAAAACGTGAAGAAATGTTTAAAGTTTCACGAATGCGTTGTTGGCGTATAACTACACTACAAAATGTAATTCTAAAAGAAAATAATGTTGTAAATGTTATTGCATAACTTGGTTTATCTAATTTTTTTTTTCTTTTTTAGGGAGCTGAAAGAAGTGAAGAAAATGACGATTTTAGCTTAGAGTTATCCTTTGAATATTTAGTAGCTAAAAATGAACTACAGTGGATTACAATTATTTCGGAACAAGCTATTTTAATGTCCGTATGTTTGCAAGCTATGATTGATGAATTATTACTAAAAAATGATGGTGGTAATAAAACTCAGGTTAATAAGCAGCCCCATTAATTATCGAATAAATTTAAATAATTTTCCACATTCAATATTTGATCATTTCTTTGTAGGAAGTATCTCAAAAATCTTGGACGTATGTTATGAGAGATGGACAAAGCGTCATAATGGGATCAAGCTCCAATGAATCTGAAGAAAGTAAAAAGGTATGTAAACTAAATAGTACTTACGCTTTATTTATTAAACTATTACATGTATCTTTTCCTTAGAATCATCGTATCAAAGAATCTTCAAGATCAGAACCAATTATGAAAAAACTTGCAGATAAATTATCAATAGTAAAAATGAAAAAATCTAATGATGCTAAAAGTAACATAAGTAACAAATCTCAAGGAAAATATCCATTGGAACATGATGTTATGGAAAACAATGCATTTCGTATGATCGGCGATGATGATTTATAATTACGAAGGGTGATTTCAGCTATTCTGAAAAACATTTTAAAACAAAGTATATTTTTTCTAAACTGCAATGAAACGATGCAAATTTATAGATTTTTTACATGAAATGTAGTAAAACAAATATTTTACTTGTATGCTACTATCATGATCGTTTTATTCATATAAATTTCGAAAAATTTATCAGTTATTTTTAAGATTTATAAAAATAATATAGAAATTAAGGGCTTGAAAATTTGTAACAAGGTTTTTCTAATATATATACACACGTTGATAATAAAGAGGGCATAACAAGTATGCAAACTTCATGGAAGAATGAATGCGTCTTGAACGAAACTCAGTTTACGGAAAGTATCGAAGAAAGTTTTAAAATGGATGAAATAAAAGAACTTAAATAACTTAGAATACATTTTATTATTAAAATCAAATATGCAAAAGGCAGTGATTTTATACTGATTTTATCCGCTTTTGTTTTAAATAAAAATCATTAATATATTTAATTTTAATACTTTTAAATGAGACTAATTCGTGTATTACGCTGTATAATCAGTTTATAATTCTAACTAGATAGGTAATCATTTGTTGGAAAAACGAATTTCTGCCTTCAGTCTGTATATTTTGCCCAAACATATAGAGAATGGTACAATTTATGAGAAAAATGTAAAGTTAAAACGACTTCCTAAACAAATAATTGTAAACTGTAATACAAAAGGATAATAATTTTCTAATACGCAAAATAAAAACATTCGCTATGGTCCTATGAAATAGACTTCTACACGTGTACATTATACTCATAAATATTATAGATCTCTATTTCATGGACTATTAGAATCTTTATAGAAAAAAATTTTTATCGTACTTCTTAATGATGGATAATAGGTAATTATATGGAAATGCATAATTACTTTTTTTTTTTTACAACTTCATTTCCGCATGTTGTTTGCATTTTAGTGATACACGTGGAAGATGAACATAGAAAATTTTTTACTACAAACGTATTTATGCTCTATCAAATGTATAATTCTGCATAAGTCAAATTTATTCATTTCTATTAGATTATTGCAACAGACGTATATTTCGTATATCGCAGTGAATGGTGTGCCCTATTTTTCATCATACAATAAAGATATCTTTTTTTTCTTAAATATAACTTAATTGTCTGTTGGTTTATCAACAGTAAAATCCAATACTATTATTTGAATAATGTTGTATGTCATGGTAGGGCCATATAAAGACTGGATTTAATAATTAATATTTGAATCTCTTCTGACCATAATGTGCATATTTTCTATATCAAAAATATGTTGTTATTCTGTATTGTTATTTTCTAAATAAACAGAAAAGTCAGTTCTGGCTATAGCATTTAAGTATTATAAATCTATTTTCGCTACTTATAAAATAGCCCAACGTCAGCAAAGAATTACTCCATTATGTCGTAATATCCTTAATAATAGGTGCATGCGTTACTGTTTCATTTGCAGAACTGGTACAAATATGCATTGAAATCTTTATTAACGCCGAAAGTAATATTAACGTGTTTCAAAATCTCAAATGTGAAAATCGTTTAAAAAATGCATTTTAATAGAATAAAAAGTTTTACATAAATCTAAAAATATAAATCTTGCCATTGTTTTATGACGACTATTCTCAACAATTTAAATACTGACTTAACGAATTATTGAAATATTAAAATACGTTCTAATACGGAAGACTAATTTTAGTACATTCATTCGTCAAATATTTTACAGTGAGATGTTACTCTCATTGTGATGTTGCATACTTCAAAAAAATAAAAAAAAATAAAACATTTCGTAGGTTTACTTTTACGGGAATTAAAAATGAAATTGTTAAACATAAAAACGAATATTTCATAAACTAATTATAATATCTACAGGTAACGCATAACTTATTTATGGCAGTAAAAAAGGAGTAAGTTTCATAACACTTTTTTTCTAAAAATTGCTTCACGAGCAAACGATACATTAGCACACAAAACTATATAAATATATTTTCGGGATGATCTCCATGCATGTGTTTCGTATGAGCGATGATACTGTAATATTATGGATAAAATAAATGGCATAGTATGTGACTAGCGTAAGATAAAAACCGAATATCAATTTTACATGGACGTCCACTTTCTTCTTCAATAAAAAAAAAAAAAAATCACAAACATGGCTTACTAATATTGTTTACTCTCGTTGCATTTAACTTTTAAAGAACGCTAAATGGACTTCGTATCTTTATAAGCATATGTAACTGATAAACGTAATGATAAAAAAAAATTAAGTATAATGATTATTTGTTTATCTAAATCGCGTAAAATAATTTACATTGGTGACGTGAGGCTATTGGCTAGTATTAGTTACTCGTACTTGATTCACAAAAAGAGAGAACATTGCTTTAAAAACAAAAGAAAATATCATTAATCGCTAATATTCGTGTTGTAAATGAATGTTTAGTCAAATGTGATCAATGTTCTTCTTTTTGATGAATCCAAGGGCGAGATGAATAAAATCTATTCATTTATACAACTGTACACCCTTTATCTACCGTCATCACACTTATTTGTATGAAAAAAGTAACCAAACTGTTAGAAGTTTTGCTGGCGTTTCCGCTTAGTATCCATAGCATCAAGAATCGGTTGTCTCTTTGTTTGGTACCTTCTTCTTAACTCATCAATTTCGCGTTCCATTTCTGCGTCCAAATTAGCCATTCGTTGCTGTAGTTCCTCGTACGAGAGAAACTTCAGCTGCAGGATATGGTTGTTTATCTATATTCAAGTTTTTTTTAATGATGCCTAAAGTGGCATTATATCGATCGATTTTAAGTCAAAGAAAGATACTACGAAGTACTCGTGAAAAACTCGTTTAACCTGACTGATGCTATTTAAAAGTTATAACTATTTAATACTTACGAAATCAAAGTCGCGTTCCGTGAAGACATTTTGGAACTTGGATATGTTATTATGAGGCTGTTCTTGTACCGGATGAGAAATTTGATTAAGTTGTAATTGCAAATGACTTTGAAACCTTTGAGATTCTGTTGGACTTCGTAATTCTAATTTATTTTCATTATCTTGATTATGTGCTCCAAGTATTTGTCCATTACCCTAAGAACGATGAAATCAGTATCTTGTATATTTTAAAATGTAACATGAATCTTACCTTCCCTATTTCCGGTGCTTCCTTTTTGTCAAAATGATCTAAAAACAGTGGTCGATATTTCTTTCCAGATTCAACGGACCCTGTATTATGACCTGTAAAAAGATAAATTGTATTAGTTCAATTAAATTAATTAATCTGTCACAATTTAATATAGAATCATTCTTACTAACGTTTCATGGTCGCTTCGGTATCTGTATCACTATTAATAACCATTGTGCCCAAGTCTAACATTGCAGAAACAAGCGTTCCTGTATCTGGAAGATCGTGACTCGGTACTAAAGTTCCTGTGTCCTCTGGTAAAGGTTTCATTGTTCCACTACAGTCTTCTTCATCCTTATAATAATCGGTAAATATTTAATATAATTGTTATCATATATTTAGTAGAACATATCAATGAATTTTAACACAATACAAACCGAATCTTCTGTCTGGTTTTGATTTTTGATTGCAACATTATTGATAACATGAGCACGATGTGCACTCTGTTTTTCTCTTATTTCATGTGCTTCTGCAATCATTAGACTGAGAATACTTGGTTGTTTAGCATTACCTGTAACCAAATATTGTATCAATACTAATAAAAAAAATGAAACTTATTTAAGTGATTCAATTAAGTTAATAATTTCACTAGCTTTTTACCTATAAATTCGTGATTTAGAAGCTCAGTAGCAGTAGCTCTTTCTTCTGGATTTTTAACAAGGCACCCACTGACAAAATCGATAAATTCAGAACTCCATTGGTCTGGTTCTCTAAAGCTAGGTGGTGGTTTAGTTGGTATCATAAATATTGCTCTCATCGGATGTATATCACCATATGGTGGTTTGCCTTCTGCCATTTCTAAAGCAGTTATACCAAGGGACCATATGTCTGCAACACAATCGTATCCAATTTCTTGTATAACTTCTGGAGCCATCCAGAATGGAGTTCCTATGACTGTATTACGCTTTGCCATTGTATCCTAAAACAATTGTTCCAAGTTAATGTTCACTCTTCTTAGATAAAAAAAAGCTTAGTTTGCATATATATAGAAATTATTAGACAATAGAGTTATTACAGTTAATTGTCCTGCTACTCCAAAGTCTGCCAACTTTGCATGCCCTTCATTGTTGAGTAGAATATTCCCTGCTTTAATATCTCTATGTATTTTTCTTCTCAAATGAAGATACTCCAAACCTTTTAAAGTATCACTGAGGATAGTTGCTATTTCATCCTCTTGAAGAGTTTTTTTCCTTAACCTCATAATATCACTTACAGATCCAGCTCCACAATATTCCATTACAATCTGTGAAAGTATATTCTGATGAATATGATCAAAGGATATGTATCATAATTTTACTCTCCATAATGATAATATTTAAAGTTACCCATAAATCAGTGTTCTTAAAGTAGCTTCCATAATATTTAACAACATATGGAGAATCACACTGTTGCATGATAGAAATCTCTTTTATAATTTCTTGTAAATCTGTGTCCACAGGAACTTGTTTAATGGCAAGTACCTGTCCACTTTCTTTGTGCAATGCTTTATAAACTGATCCATACGATCTATGTAAAAATATGATCACCATTAAATTATAAGAAATATTAATATTTCTCATTGACAATCTCATCAACTTACCCTTCTCCTAACTTGCATATTATATCAAACACTTCCTCTGGTTGTCTTGTTAAACTTTCTTCTGACAACTTTTTTAATTCACTATAAAACAGGTTATTTTAAATGTTAAATTAGATACAATTTTTCGTTTACAATTAGCTTGTTTATTTTTATTTTACAAAATTGGATTGTACAAAACATTTGTATGATAGGTGTCATACAACATAAAGCTGTGTCAATATTTTAAGATAATTACAGTAAGTAACGAATTCTAGTAGTACCAAAAGAAATGAAAAAATTCCCAACAATTGAATGCTTTTCAAATTTATTCGAGCAAGCAAAAATAATCGTGAGCATATTAAATGCAACGAAATTGATAACGCAGGTTAACAAAGAAACAAAGAATCGATACGGTATAGTTTTTTCATATAACAAACGAAATGCATTAAGGATTGAGAGTCGATTCTTTCCAGCTACGAATAACTTCCGTCTGCAGATTCATAAAGTTCTTCAAGTTTAAAAACACGAAGTAAAAACAATTAAATACCTCTTCGAAGACATTTTCGCTTTTCGCGTCAACGAGTTCTTACGTGAATAAAAACACCTTCAGTATTTACACAAATAACTTAACGTGGATAAAACAGATATCATTCCGGTTGTAAAAACATAGTCAATTTAAAATAGAAGTGTTACATTTTTGTCAATAAATTAAAGTAACCACACAACCGAAATATCGAAACAGTGACTACAGAGGCAAAAGACTGAACATGCCTTTGTTTTTAAGGAGTTATAATTTAGGGGGTCACAGACGCCCCAGATGAGATCAAGATGAGATCTTTGTGTTCAAAGAGAATCCAGATGATCCTTGACCAACCAAGATCCTACGCCTTTCTTAAGTTTGTAAATTATTCTTAAAGCACAAGGAATGGCATAAAGGTGAAAATACAATTTGCGGATTATTTCAAAAGATATAATCTTACGTGCTAGTCATTATTTATTTAACAATATTGATTTTTTAAACGTTAAATATATTGATATGATTTTTAGGACGACAAATGTTTCCATAAATTTGACGATCTCCACTTACTTTTTAACTCTTAAAGCAATTGCATTTTTTAAGTTTGAGAATATTATGAAAGCTTGTATCAGGTAGGTAATTAGCAAAAGAATCTTCATAGATGCCGCCAATCTGATTTAGTAGAAAGTACGGTCAGCAGATGGCGATGCAACTCGAGTAGCAGTTGAACACACAGGAGTTTCTAGGCCCTGTACGTAATCGCGTGTCCACGCACGGTGAACGCTAGCACTCGTTTGCTAGACGGCCGGCTAGCAAAACGAGTCGATTTCTCCTGGTGCGCGATATCGGTGGTAAAAGGTGGAGAGGAGACGTTGCTCGTCGAGGAATTCGAGGGTATTGTCGAGGATACCGGTACGAGGGGACCTTGTGGTAGTTGCAACGACGGCGGCAGCGACGGCGGTGGCGGCGGCGGCGGCGACGGCATTGTCCTGCTTGTTTTGTTGTCTCGCGCGAAACGCACAGGTGGAAAAGAGAAGAAACTATTGCGTTGTCGAGGAACCGAGGAGTGACGGAGGAGAGCGAGACGACGGTGTGTACGAGTCGTATAGAGAAGAGACTGGTGGTGTGTCGTATACGAATGCTCATAGGTGTACCGTAAAAGACAACTGCAAACGTCTCGTAAAAGGGAGAAAGAAAGAGATAGGTAGAGGTAGAGAAGAGATTTGGTACGGTGGCGAAAGAGAAAGACAAGTACGAGAAGAGATAGATAGGAGAAGAGAGGAAAGAAAAGGTGGGAGAGAAAGAGAGACGGAAATAAAGAAGAACGAAAGGTAGCCAGTGTACAGGACACGAGGAGAGACGACAGGGCGAGAGAGAAAGACACGAGAAGCGCATTAGAGTGCGTGATCCAAAATGGCGCTGAACCAGGACGTGGACCAGTTGTCGAAGAGTAATCTCGTGGTAAGGATCGATCAAAACTCTGAATCGGATCTACAGGCGCTTTTCGACAGCGTCCTGAAGCCAGACTCGAAGCGTCCGCTGCAAGTACCACTGCGCATGCGCAATCTACCAGATTCCTTCTTCAATCCACCGTCGACGGGTAGCAAGAGTCCCTCGATTTCGCATTCCCGGGAGAATTCGGCGGATTCGGCGTTCGGTACAGCGGCCGCAGCGGCGGTCGGTGGTGGTGCACCCGGTGGAAACGCGACCGGTGCCACACCATCTACCGGGGCAGCAGGTGCATCTACCGGTGGAAGTGGAAACAGCGGTGGTAGCGGTTCGAACGCTGCAGGTGCGGCTGCGGCAGCAGTCGCGGCCGCGGCCGCGGCTGGCCTAACCGTTGCTCATCCTCGCGCCCACAGCAGCCCGGCCTCTCTTCAGCAAACCTACGCCTCAGCTCAGCAGGCGCCTCAGCACGCGCCCCAGCCGCACGCGCGTCACCACCATCACCAGAAGCAACGCAGCTACGACGTCATCAGTACGGTCGACGACCTGGGTCCCCTGCCACATGGATGGGAACAGGCGCGCACCCCCGAGGGACAAATCTACTTCCTCAAGTGAGTTCTCGTTACGTCTCTCTGTCACTGTGTTTTCTTTACATCTCTTCTCTTCTCTTCTCTTACCGTCTCTTCTCTTCCCATTCCTCTTATAACACTAACGCTTTATTACGATTAAGCCAAGCCGACCGACTGTCTGCCATATCTTCCAAGTTCGAATCCGTACCCCGTCAATGGGATCGTGCTCGACTCGTTAGGATCAACGGAATCCTTTTCGAACGCTCTTAAGGTTTCCTCGTTAAACGTAGTTTCGCGTTCGCCGATCCTCTTAAGGCATTATCTCGACGAAGATACGAAGGGAATACGAAGCAGTCGTGGACGTGACATTTTCGAAATCGTTACGAAAACAGGTGCTCTCTCGTTGTCTTCTTATTCACCGTTAACTCTATCGTGTCGCATCGCATCGATTCTACATTAACGATTCAAAAAACGAATCGCATTCGATCGAATCGCTTATCGGAGAATTCATCCGTGCTCTATGACGCTGTTCAACATATTTTCTCTCTGTGTTCGGGTCCCACATACCTCAAGGCCGTTACTGTCTTTATCGCCACCTCGGACTTACTCATCGTTGTTTCTCCGTTCCTCCATTTCTCGGCCATGTCTTCTTTACCCCACTTCGTTGTGTGCATCCATCGTCCCCGCCATCTCCTTCTCTCTCATCTTTCTCCATTGCTGTCTCTCCTCGTCAATCTACAAACCGCCTACCCGATACATCCAGCCCCTTCTCCATCCTTCCTCTCCTTCCCCTCCTCCATCCCGGCACGTTTAACCTGATCCACCTGCGCCGTGACTAGGATTCCCACGTGTCACCTGTCGTGGGAAACGCTCCCTTGTCTGCTTTGTCGCCTCGTTCACCTCCTACCTTTCTTCCTTCCTTCCTACCTTCCTTCCTTCCTTCCTTCCACCCACCTGTCTTTGACCCGACCACCACGTTTCTTTGCTTGGGGTGATCGTTCTGTATCAGGACGAGCTTGAAATTTTTCACCCGTTGTTTTTCCCTCGCTCGTTTTTCTCCTTGCACACGTTCGAGATGTCTGATTACAATTTCGAGCGTGTAGTGGCTGATGTCACGTCGAGATATACCGGCGATAATCGATACGGTGCTCTCGATAACAGGTATATTGTGCCCGAGAAAAGAAAGAAAGTCTGTCGGTTCCATTCAGTCGGTCGCTTTTTCTGAATATTCATCGTTCACTCTAAAAGCTGACCGAAGTGAAGGCTATTGTTCTTCTCCTTTTCTCGTTTCTTATTTGCGAACGTGGAGAACACACGTTCACAGAGAGGAGCAGTGAGAGGGAGAAAAAAAAAAAAAAAAAAAAAAGAAAAAAACTCGAGAAGAGCCGTTCCTGTCCGCTCTCTTCTTTTCACAGAGGCTTTTACCTGAGCTTAAGCGTCCATTTCTGTTTTCACCGGCCAGATATATATCCCTTACCTGCCGCTAAAAATTCGTGAGAACGAATACGATGGAGGAGGGTCGGTTTTTGAGGAATACCAGGAACTACGTTTCACCGTTCGTGAGAACCCGACTTGACGGTCCTCTTTCATGCAAAATTTTTCCTTCTTCTTTTTCCTCGTTCGAATTTAATATCGTTGTTATATATTATTGTTAGAGCTTATCTCTTCCGGCGAGCTCACGGAGGTTAGATTAACCCAGCCTGACTCGCGATTCGTTTCGCTGAAGAACAATTCTCTTGCCGAGAAATCGAGCAATCGTTTGTTGCAACCGCGTCGCGTCGCGTTTCGTCTGCTACGTTTCCGTTTTCTTCGTTCGCATAGATATCGATGTCCCGTGATTTCAACGGGACCAATTCGATTATCGAGCAGATAACGATCGCGAAAGTCTAGGATCGATAGGTATCGTTCAGGGATCGAGCTGTTTGAAGATAACGCGGCGAACGTAATCATGTTTGTTAATTGTTATTTAATTACCCGGGAATGGGAACGACTGAACGAGAAAACACGATTGGATGATACGTGTTTCGACCTTGTTGTTGAGATTTAAAATCTTAAGATAAAGCACGAGTACAGGAAATCGGTTTAATCCTTTTTGCTAAGTCGACGGATATGACGAATAGTTGGTTGGATATTGAATTAATCAATTCTCGCGTAAACGTACGCTTTGAATGACGTATATGTACGTCAGAAAGGGTTAAATACACTGGATGGAAAAAGCGTAGGCTAGTTACAAATTTAGAAAGAGGATTATGAATCAACGTTCGGTATAGATTCTACGAAATTTCCGAGCTGTGTTACGTAGATCCGTGTTTGACTCGTGAAACGCGGTATATTTTTTTATTTTTCTATATCGGAAGCTTCCAACAGCTGTTCGTAACGCGTCTATTTGCAATGCAGGAAGCGGAATGAAAAGGTAAACGAAAGAAAGGAGTTGCTCGGCTAATAATTACACACGCCTCGCGTACGCGTATCAACGCTCGTTAATCGAGTTTTCAGGGTTCTTTCGTCGATATACGCTTATTTTAATACTTTGGCATAAAGGGTAATCAGTCGGGACGAATCGAATCGTATCTTTTTACCTTTACAATGAAACATCGAAAATCTTTAATCGCATTATTAGTAATTTAATAGAGTAAAGGTGTGTAAAACTATATATAGTTAGCGTAGTCAGAGTCTAAAGTTAGGTGTACACCTTGCAGTCGTGGATTTTTTATCAAAATATACAAAATGTCTATTGATAGACTTTCAGAATAACGTTTCAATTTTGTATGTAAAAAAGTATGCGCTATTGATAGGATTTCTATTAGAGAATTTCTCTCAATGTACGACGCAAAATGAATTATGTAATCGGTATGAAAATAAACAAGGGAACATTAACGCTTGAACTTAACGATTATTAAAAGTTGAAATCCATAACTTTCCATTGGAGGAAAAATATTAGTTCGGTTGCCTTTGAGAATGAATCGAGCCGATTGCGGTGTCGATATCAGGAACGTTGAATGATCGTTTGGAAAGAAGGAAAAAGCATGACGATCCTCGATAAAGACACGTAACAGGAGGCGGGGATAGTTGGTCGATGTGTAAATGTTTCGATGCAAAAGAAGTGCAACGAAGCGAGAGGCCACGGTTGTGTTGTATTATGGCAGTAATGACTGGCCTGACGGCACCCGGTCTTTTCTCTCTCTCTCTCTCTCTCTCTCTCTCTCTTATTCCTCTTCTTCTTGCTCGTTCGTCCAATTACCTCTCTGTGGCCGTCACCGCAAGCTTTTGGATCTTATCCAGAAGCGGGACTTATTAGAATCTAATTTGCGTAATTGAAACGTGATTCGAGCCGCGAACAAAGTGACTGTTTGAAGAACAAAAAAAAAAAAGAAAAAGAAAAAGAAAATACCACTGTTTCTAGGAAACGTCGTCTCCTCGTGTTGAGTTCACATTTATATAGGGTGTTAAATGAATCTTAACCCATTTGATCCGGCATTTCGCACCTCTGATATAGAAACCTTCTTGCACAGAAATCGCCAGAATTTCTAAGATGCTTACGGTATTTCGATTATCGTCCCCTCGCTGATTTCAATAATCTTGAGGTTAATGAAACACGTCATCGATGCCTCCGAAAGAACTACAATTGTCATTTCAAACAAAAAAATGTTTATATTTTTAACATCTACGTTAAATTTGCTAGGAAAATACCTGAGGATTTTACGATAACCTACGTAGCTTTTTTTATTCATTCATATATAGGTATGTTTATCCTGAATTTTAGGGCCGGACATTATAGTTTATTCTTCACATGTTCATTAATATTTCTGAAAATCCTCAGGTACTACGCCCCCTAGCAAATTTAATGTAGATATTAAAAATTAAATAATTTTTTGTTTTAGATGACAATCGCAGTTTTTATGGCTTGCACCGCAAAAGTCTGCATCGAGTGCAGGACTCTGCCATTCTAGCTCCTGCGCCGCTATTTTCTCTCTCTCACTTTATTTTTACATCTTGTTACTTGAAATTGTAGAGGAAGCATCGTTTTACGAATAACTATAAGAATATATTTCGAAACTTTTATACTTTTTAAGAAGATCGCTCTTAAAGTTACCTATCATTTCGAGGCCTCCTGGGTGGCTTCGTTGCTTAAAACGTGCAAATATAAGTAACTACGCTAATTCGATATAGATAATGTAGAAGTAATTAAAATTGAAAGGGATTAAACCAATCGCTTGTATTGTAAAGAATTGGAAAACGTAGGAACTTAGCATAAACAGTATTTTAATTAATAAAATAATATATTTTAAAAAAAAGCAATTTATTTATTCTATCCTCTTATCGTATCCTCCACTACCCAATGATTTTCTTCTGAAACGAATGAATTTCATTCTGAAATCCGTAAGTTCTATTTCGCAGCCCGAATACGGCTGAGCACCGTGTAGATTTCAATTAGAAAATAAAGATACCGGGGGAAGGAGATATACGTAAACCGTTTAAAGCGTTTGCTCCTCGTTAAGGAGACGAAACACGTTCTCCTTCCGCCGGTTTCTCTGCTAGCATCGTTCGCATCGCGAAATTTCTGCCAGCTTCGTTTATCTGTATCGGGATTATACTTTTTATTTTTTTCTTCGATTTTTCGTTTACCTGTGTTTAAGCGGCCAACGCAACCTCACCTCGCCGTGTATAATGTTATACGTTAGTCCCGTTACCTAGCTTCGCGTATTACATACCAGCGAGGAAAGCAACTGTATTCCGACGAAACGAAACGAAATGACTTTGGCGAAACAGCGGAGGAATCTTCTTTTTTTTTCTATTTTTTCTATTACTGTTTCATTCACTTTGATGTGAACAGTGGTTCAGTCAGTGTTTTATAGACTGTTGGCTACTGTAGTCTCCTATGTGGAAGTAATTAGTTCTAAGTAGATCGTGGAGAAATTAACTAGGCACTTGCCTTTCGAGCGCGAGTTCAAATCCCCATGGAGGAATTTTTTTTTTTTTTTTTTTTTTTCTTTTAAATGTATATCATTTTATAATTTAGGATAATATTTATCATGAAATCT